AGCTGTTCGCAGAAGATCAGGCATCAGGCCCCTTGGTGGGAGCGCTTGAGGCTGGGCAGCAAATCGAAAAGGCGGGCAAAGGCCACAGCCAGCGCCTTGTATCCTGTTTGACTACCAAGAAGGCCGATCTGCCGATCGATTTCCTCCGCGGTTGGTTCAAGCAAAGACGTGACCGAACCCTTCCTACCCCGGCGATCATTCTCAAGAATCATCCGCAGCGACCCCAAGCCAGATTTCGTTGAGAACTCGGGGTGGGTTTGTGTGGTGAGGCAGCAGTTGCCATAGGTCATACCCCAGTGCCCACCAGTGCAATATCCCCAGCTTGCTGCGTGGCTTGGCAGAACCACGGCAGTGTCCGCATGATGGCAAAATAACTGGATGGCTTCTTGATCACTCGGTAAATCAAGACTGGCTCGAGCAGCATCGGTTAAAGGATATGTTTGTAGTCCCGATTTAGTGCCTGCTGGATTCACAACGACCGTCCCACCCAGCGCCCTGACAATGGCCTGATGTCCGAAGCAAACTCCGGCCAAAGGCCGCTCCTCTTCACAGAGTTTCCGCAGGAAAACGCTCAATGAGCCAAGCCACGGCTCGTTCTTGGCTCCACAGGCCGCCGAGGAGATGCTTCCCATGATCAAGAAGCCGCTGTAAGAATCCAGGCTGCTCGGGAATTCGTTCTCTGCGATCTTACAATTGTGGAGCTCGAAAGGCTCAGCGCCGGCATCTGCAAACATTTCCAGCACCATTTCTGGCACGTGCTTTCCATATGCCTCATCGTAAGCTACATTCAAGTAGCACACACGTTTCTTTTTTGAAACTATTTTGCTTGGAATCGTCACCTGTCCCGAAAGCTCAGCTTGAAGGGCCTCGCTGGAAACGATCCGCGCAAAGCCTTTCATATTATGGAGACCGGCTGCATGATCACTCTCAGATTTTGCAGCACAGGCATCTTCGGGAACAGTTATGAGAAAGCCCAGATCTGCGGCATCGCGGACGGCGGACTCCACGCACTGGTTCGTCAGCTGCCCGCAAATGATCAAGTATCGTGTGCCCAGATTGCGCAACACATAGGCGATGTTGGTCGAACAGAAAACCGAACAAGATGTCTTCGGTAGGACGATATCATCCACCCGAGGTTTCAATTCTGGTAGCACGGCCGCATCTGGATGACCCTTCGGGACGTGCAAGGGTCCGCTGAGCTTGTAGTCTAGGGAAGCATCCCTCCCGTCAGCAGTAAGCGATTCGATGACGGTATAAACAACCTCCACCCCGGATCTGCGGGCCACATGAAGAAGCTTCGAGATGTTTGGTACCATCACCGTGTCGACACGGTCGAAAAAGTACGGCATGTCTGAGCGCTTGGTATCACGGAAAACGCCCTTCTCTGGCCGACTGCCATACTCTTGTACATCCACCACAAGGAGTGCGGCTTCCAGGGCAACACAAGGCTTGTTCCTGGTGGACCCAGGAGGAACCATGTGCGGATGATTGAAGGCATATGCCATGCTTGAAGATCTAGGCAGCACAGGGTGCAATGACAAATGATTCGATTTTGTTCTTTTATTAGCCGTATGACAGCAGGACAAGAAGCGGCAGTCTGCGGCGTCATATAGCCAGGGTTGGAAGAACTCGCAGTTTAAAGCCAAATGAAGACTTCTCACATGCATGTGTTCTCACTTCAGCAGAAGTTAACAGGGTGTCTAGCGCAGCTCACATCTAAGCTACGCTTCCATGTTAACTTTGGCCTCTTCCTATTCAACGACGTTCAACGAACTGTGGAATCTGAGACCGAGAGCAGAGCCCCGCGGTTCTTAAAACTGCGGTCGATCTGCGCCACATGTGCCTTGCACAGAAGGCTAAGGCGGCTAAGGCAAAGAAGCCAGCAGGGCGAATGGTCGAAGGCAGCAAATGCATCAGCAAAAAGCTGGGCCTCCAAGATCATGTCGCGATCAGCAGGGCTTGCAGGTGGCTGTGGCAGCGGCCTGCCTTGTGTGAGGCCCTGAGCAGAGGGCAGGTGCAGCTTGTGCATGGCTCCGCGACAACAAATTTTAACTTCTCCCAGGCCTCAAGTTGTGCTCGTCGAAGCACGGACACGACTTGACCCAGGTCTACCCTTCCACCTCCTTGGGCAAGTGGACCGCGAGAGCTCTGTGCTGCGAAATCGCATCTGGGTCTCAATTTGCCAAGACCCGGACCTTCTGCGTCAGCCAGTCGCCACAAGGCTATCACGTCTTCGCGGGTCATTCGTGAGTCCTGGCGGTGTGAGACGAGCTGTAGGGTTTTCAAGAAGCTGGAGAAGCCAAGCATCTTGCACCCTCTGGGATTGAAGTCATGCCGATGCCGAGCCTGCGCCACGAGTAGGCCTTCGAACTCAGCGTAGGACAGCCCTGTCATGTTGGCCAAGTTGAACCTCGCTCAGAGGGCCGTGTCGTCCTCTCTCTTCAAAGATTCAAGTAAATCCAGCATATCGGGGGCTGCGGCCGTCGGAACGTGTCGGGCGGGATGTTCAGGGCGGGAGCAAGTCTCCGCGCCTTGCAATGCACTTCCGCCATCGCCCGGCTTCGCTCTCTGCAGCTCCGAGGCAATGGCGACTCGGCGCAGTGCGGCTTCCGCCCAGCTGTCGGCCCCGGACCTCAAAGGGGCAAGAAATCCTCCAGTGATCCTCAAAACTCAGCTCCTCTCCGAGCTCTTTTCCAAGCCCTCCGGAACTGACGCCAGAGTTACCAGTAGCGCTGATGCCAAGTGAACCAGTCTTGTGAATAGCTACGGCTAGGAATCAGGGACAGGGAGCATCCCGAAGGTCAAAGAGCTATAAGAATGACTACCCCAAGACTCAAGCATTGAAACACCTGCATGTAGTATCACACCACAACCAAAGACCGGCTCCCTGCGCTTCACTTCTGGGTCCCTTGGCGTCGGGTTGAGATGTATCAACTCGGCCAGGCTCATCTCTGGGGCTGGGCCGTGGAGCCTGGACGAAGAAGGGTAACGGTAAAACTCTGCCAGGAGTGCCGTTCTCGATGAGCCCATCTTCCGTAAAATGGTTTGCTTGACGCTCTGTGGAGTATGAACTGTTGAACCAACATTACTGTCACCCGAGCAACTTTCAGTACATGTAGTTGCTGTCGTCCTCGAACACTGCTCGAACAAGAAGTAACACGGCGAGGACAGGATCAGGGCTCGTTGCTAGAAAAAAATTGCAACCGTACTGACCAACCTTGTCACAAACCCAAACTTAGCGTTCTCGCATTTACGGTGCTGATGCGGTCGTGACAAACCCGCTGTAAGTACGACTTTCAACAGCCTCTCACGGCAGCATGTGAACGAATTCCATGTGCAAATGGCGACGTTAATGTTCACATTGGTGGCCACAATGGCCGGTGATTTCTGTCCTCTTGCTCTCATGTCATTTGCACGCGAGAGCTCCAGAGAGAGTCTTGCATGGTGCTCGCGGCTGACGGTAATGTGTTTTTGTAGTTGTTGGCAGCAGCTCTCTTCTCTTTCCTGTCCCCTCTTTCTGTCACCAAGCTCTCTCCCCTCTCTCGCTCTCTTATCCTTTCTCGGCTTCGCTTCCGGTTTCGGAAGCTTTTGGATCTGGTGGTGTCTGCAGTTGCCTGCAGTCCTACTAGCTGCTGTCGGGCAGGTCGACCCTCACCACCCGGACTCAGATTGACCCTAACAAGTACCTTACCAGGACCATGATTCATAGCGAAATGCGCACTACTTAATGGTAGACTTCAGCTGAAGCCCGCGATCGTTGCGCACTACAAGTAGCCCTGACCTCAACCCCTCTTTATCCGCGCCTCCAAAGCCGCTCCATTTCTGGGGCTGCCAGCTGCGGCTCTAATGTGAGGACCTGCAGCTTCTAAGCAGTGGTTTTGGGGTTCCCTTGGCTCTTTAGCTCCTTTTATCGTAGAGATTATCATTATTCCTGGCTCCTCGGCTCCTCCAACATCAAAGGTTAGGCTTTGTAAGATACGAAGACATCTGGCGTGGAAGTTCAAGCTGCCCAGGGCGATCGGTTCAGGATCCGGTGTTGTGCGCGATCGGATCAGGGTTGGGGTATGGATTCTTTTCGACCCTGGGTTAGGAGCAGGACAGAGTCAGCATGCGTTGCAGTTGCACGCGGAGCTTCGGATGCTTGAATCTGGCAGGGATCTCGGCTCTCAAACTTCCGTATGAAACTCTGGGGATCCAGCAATTCGGTCGAACTCGCTGCGGTTGATGCGGTCGCCTTGGGTTTGGGATGCCGATCGAGCTGCAGACCCCTGCTCAATTTCTGTACACACATTGAGATCAACTTTCAAACCCGATGAGCTGGACCGCACAGAAACGCAGCGCACTGATTCCATGGCTTCCAAATCATCAACTAAGTTTCGAGTAGAGCCGGATGCGCACGCTGTAAGCATGCGCACACGCATATAAAGTCGAACCAGTCAGTGGATGTCAAGGATGGGAGAGGAACGAGGAGGAAGCCAAAGAGAGAATAAGCGAGAGAGATCGACCGCAAATGCATGTTCGACGGATGTGTGTTTGTATGCCGCAAGCGACCTTGCCAAGAAGAGCAAGTAAGGAGCCGGCGGCCGGCTAGTGGGAGGAAGTGGGACAACATGGCTGGCTCAAGCCTGCAGGCACCACAATCTGCAATTGAGGGACCTGTGCCAAGGCCCTACTACCAGGCCCTTAGGGCCCTAGGCCGTCCATACCTCAGCATCCGGCCAGCTGCAGACCTGCGCAGCCTGCATTTGACGACGCTGGTCCACCTGCGCAACACATCCTTTCTTCTCGCTCTGGCAAGAGTCAACCAAAGTGACTCTCCGGCCTGCGGTAGTTGTCTTGGGGGCACACGCCTCGGAAGGCATGTATCACATGATTTGCTGACTCTGCTCAAAGTATGCGACCAGCTCTGCGTCGAAAGAAAAGACTCCATGCCACGAAAGCAGTCATTTTTCGAAGAGCAATCGTTTCAACTGGCGGTGCATTCTTTCTGCTGCCGTAGTTTATGCCAGCTCGGGCCAGGTGCATCTGCTGCGCATCTCCTGCCAAACAAGCACAGGGCATCCAAAACCACGGCTGGTTGCTGTGCAGAATCCCACAGTTGATCCTCAGGTGGTGCAGTGAGCTCACCGTCCCACCTGTCCACGGTGCATGGATCGACAGGAGGGAGCAAGCCTAGACAGCAATCCTTCTCTCAAATGTGCCTGGGAGTGTGCACCCAGGCTCTCATGGGCGCCGGGCCGAGCATATCACGTTCGACCAGGCACACGTCGCTGGGGGAGTACCAGGCATCACACACTGTCGGATGCCTCAAAGTAAACACTCTTTCGCCAGGCGCGTGCGACACAAGTCAGGCTTTGGTGCAGGCTCTGACCTCATCCACCGAGTGTGAGCACGAATCTGGTGTCGCCTTCCTGTGAAGATTTGAATGCTGATTGCAGATAGTCCTTGGCAAAGACTGGAGATTCATGTAGAGCGCGTGTTTCCTCTGAGGTTGCTGAACGTCCAAAACTGCTGCTCGGAGCCAACGATTTCAATTGCGCATGGCCAGCCGAGAAGCGACCAAAGGCGGGATGCTGCAAGTGTGCGACTGACCGAAGCCTGGATTCTGCTGGTAGGCCGGCATCCTCGGTCAGTGTCCTGGCAGGATGACTACCTGAATGGCTGCTTGCTGGTCTTTTCAAGAATCTCAGCCGATGCTTCCGTCAAGAAAGTGATGACAGTCCTGGAAGCCTTTAGCCATCCTCGGACGGTGACGTCCGCATCGATCACGTGTTCTGGCTGGGGGTCCAACCCATAGCAAAGGACAATATACTCTCCTGAGGCACTTTAAGGGAAGTAAGAGCTGCACAAAACGACGGAACTTGCCAAGCGGCTATCGATGCGATTGACAGCCTTCTGAAACTGCCTTTTGCAGGTCGATCGATGGATGGGATGGGTTTCGCTGGGTCTACTGAGTCTAAAGCAGTGATATTGGAGATGCCCTTGGCCAAGGTGCAGCCAAAGCAGGCCTTGGAAAGTAGTCGCTGCCAGGACTAGCCCGGAACTGGCGACATCCAAGCGATGGATGAAGCCAAACCCGTAGCTTGCACAGTGTAACAATGGGCAGTCCTGTCAAATTCAACAGGCACGTCTTGCTAAGTTAATTGAAAGCAAACACAGCAACAAGAAATGCCAGTTTGCAGCATCCTCCCGTCGTCGGATTGCTTGCAGGTGCGCGGAGAGGCAGTGAGCTTCTGTCTGGTCCGTCGTTGTGTCTACTTCCCATCCTGGCGGCTTCAGCGCGACCAGCATTCCCGGGCTATCGATGATGACCCGAGGCTTGTCGACACCGTGGAAGGTCAGCCCCGGAGACTGCGGCGTCAAGCCTGTCAGGACCTCGACTCCAGTGTCCAGGACCCCGGCCAACTGGCGCACTGCTTGCACGATGTCACGTTCCAGCTCCGAATCCAACTCTTTCGAGAAGCTCAAGGCCCACGTCAGCGCCAGCAAGCTGAATGCCAACGTCCTTGCCTCTGAAACGTGGCTGACTGTCACCGCACGTCGTGCCACAGCTCCAGCCTTATTGGCAACAGCAGCTGCTGCGTGACGGTCTCATGCTGACTCTTGTCTTGCAAGGTTAGTGCTGCCTAGAGACCGCACTTCCTATGCCTGCCAGAAGAGGTCGGGTGCGGCTGGACCCACTAAGCACGGCCGCTGCCCAGGCGAGATTCGCCAGGCCCTGGGCATCGAATGACTCAAGGTTGATGCTAGCCGTGGAAAATGCGACATCGTAGAAGCGGCCATGGGCATCTGTGCTGGGTGAATGATTCGGACGGAGCTCCTGAAAGACAGGGACAGGTCTCCAAAGCTTTGCAGGATGTCCTCCTATTCTTCAACATGTGTCCTCTAGCTCGGGTCTTGAGGTACGAGGAGGTCTGGATGAAGACCGGCTCACTGCGGCGCAACACGCTGCAGCGACATCTCCAAGGCTGCACGTGTGCGACCCCGGAGGGCCGCTGGACATGTGCCATGGCCGAGACTGCCGAGCGGAAAGCACGATAATTGTGGTGAATCTCTGAGGTCGTTGTCAGAACTTGAAGGGTCCAAAACATATCACCAAAGAATCCTTCGAATCCACTGGTGTCCCTTTGTATCACTTCGTTGATCCGCACATCGGCGTGACAAAGCTCCAAGCGCAGGTTTTATTACCTTGAGTGGGACCGCCGCATTATGCCTGCCTCGCTGGCCGCTCACTGACTATACTGAGCTCCTCACCCCAGTGAGCCCGGGTTGACGGCGAAGACCTCGACATCAAAAGACTATGAGGCCATTCGCGACAAACTGGGTCCTGCCTGGGCAAATGTATTCACATCGACGCGGCCAGAGTTCCTCGAGACCTGCGAGTTGTTTTTAGTGGGACATTCCATGTCTCCCGGGCCCGAGCCTCGGCAAAGATCAAGTCGCTTTCCCGCTGGCTGACCTTGTGTTCTGACTCCATGACGCGTGTGCTGACATGGCGGTGTGCGTGGAGTAGATCATCTACAAGGATCTGGTTCAAGTTTCTCATCCGGAGATAAGGAGTGTGGCTCGGAGGCCACAGCTAGTCCGCACAAAACGAGTGTCGTTTCTAGGCCAGTGTTGAAGCGGCCTCCCAAGTTTCAATTTTACTAACTTCGCCACGCATCGTTTTCGCGCAGCACGGCAAAGGAACCGTGCGAGCAGAACTAGCGGCGGTTTGCAACTCTTGGAATCTTCAGACACGACACTGGCCCTGTACTATCGCCGGGAGATATCTCGAATCCCGAGAAGGTGTTGCAAAAAGTTGCAAAAGCCAGGTCTAGGACCCGAGAGTCGCAAGACACCAGGAATCTGTAGAACTCGGTTTGGTCGAGGAATCCGTTGCCTGAGTACTGCAGAACCGCATTTGGTAGTCGGAGGAGGGTCGCTGCATGCAAGTTGCGATTTGTGTCGAAGATGACGAATGCTTCTTGCACGCTGCAGCCTGCGAAACTCAGCAGATCACGTCCCACCATTCGTTGACATGTTGAGCACACACCAGATTCGCACTCGCCCTCAATCAGGCTTTGTACTTCCGTGATTCCACTATGGACATCAGGGAACCCAACCAAAACCGGCCTCTCGACTGTAACGAGGTAGCAGACTGTGCTATTCGTGATCGGACGGCCTGGCTTCAGCTCTCCCTCTGCTCGCGGCTTTTTCCCGGAAGTACGCATTTGCTGTGACAAGTTTGCAGCTACTAGGAGGTCCGAGTCCGGGCGAACCCAATCTACAGGCTTGGTCTCTTGCATACGGGAGCTTTTGGCAGAACTGCATCGGCATGCTTGCGAGCCTCATCGACATTGCTCTGCTCCGTGCCCGTCAGGAATCCCAAGCAGCGTTTAAAGCCTGCGATTCTTGAAATCGGTCGGGCATTTCTAGAACGATGCCGACCAAATCTTTCCCAGCTCTGCCTTCCAAGTCCACCATGCCACAGCCACGGGGGTCGAAATGACGAAACAAGGCGTCTAACCTCGCAAAGTGCGAACGTGCAGCAGAAGCACAAGTTCCACCAAGTGGAGTCAAAGAGCTGTTGTCCAGTGAGCTGAGGGTCGAAGGCATAAGCCATCAGGCTGACTTCGTCATGCCTCCAAAGCGGACCCTCATTTTTACAGTCTGTAAAAGCTAGCCATGGACAGTGACAGAAGGTGCCTGAGGTAGCCGTTTCCTGCAACGTCCAGCTTCTGAAAAAGGTTGCCTGCGTCAATGGCAGCCTGCCACAGAAGAGATTCCCCAAGGCTCCGTCGCGACACCGCAACTCAACAAAGCAAGCTTTCGTTTTCAAGGCATCGCGGCTTTCTTTCTCAGCTCTTCTCGTCGCTGCTATCTGGTTCATGGACTGGCTGCAGCATCGAGGAGTCTGCTCCAGTTTCTGGATCTCCCCATGTGACCACCGTCCCATCTTTTTTCACAGCTGCAAACGCCCCGAAAGTTCCACAAAGCTGTACGACCTGACAAACAGACCGGACCTCCTTTGCTAGATTACCTGATGCGGTCTGTCATGCTCAAGCTTAGGGGCTTACGGTGCGGGCCTAGGCATACAATGTGGGCACGCTTTAGACAGCAGTCGGAGGCCAAGCAGTCCAAGGCACATCGCCCCGCAGAGCGGCAGCAACTTTGGAGCAGTCTCCTCCACAGTCTGGATCACCCCACGCCACTACGGAGCCATTCGCCTCTGCGATGCTTCGTGGTACAAGTGCCGCGATGTACCCTTTTAGACCCCGCGTGCAATGGGCCTTGACGGCAGCAAAGGCCCTGTAAGTGCCGCATATTTGCATTACGCCCTCCAGTGTGAAGTTTGCCCCAGCACTCGCGTCACCCCAGCACACGACCTTGCCAGAATTTGTTTGTTGAGAACATGTCGCTCCAAACTTTAAGAACTTGGCCGAGTTGCCGATCCATCGACTTTCAGCGCAGCAAAAGCGGCGCCGTTTCCGTAAACCTGCGCCACGTCCGAGCTCAGGTCATAGGAGAGCCTCACTCGACTGAGCAGGTGTCTCATAAGCTTCGGAAACCATTTTGGGCGAAGGAGCTCGAAAGAGTTTCCACCCAAATCCTCGTTGCCCCACGTCCTGAGCTGCAATATCTTCAAAAGGGTTAGGAGGAAGCGCGGCGAAACAGAGTTGATGATGCGCACACACACACACACAAACAGCTCGGAGCCCGGCACAACCGAGCCATCGGCCTTCCTCGCAGCGAAGGCGCTGCTCGTGTGGCTCAGGTCCACGACACCGTCCGAAAGCTGGTCCCATACTTCCAAGGAGTCGCCACCACTTGCAGCATCGCCCCACGTTACCACAGCCTCTTACAGGAACCGATGACACATTAATAAGTGCTTGTATCTTTGCATCTGAGCTTGTGCAGTTTTGTCGAACTCATGCCACCAGGAAGCCCCACTCTGTGTTCTAGCTGCAAATGCTCCGCCTGTTGCACAAATCTGCTGCACGTCCTTGCATTCAGGGGTGGGCCGACATGCTCTCGGGCTCGGCTTTCCTGAGTGCGGGTCCTGAAGCTGAGACGACACCTTCGAGCAGTCGCCTCCCCATCTTTCCTCGCCCCATGCCAGCACCTGCCGGCAACAGCTAGCAGCCGACACACAAGATACAAGCAAGGCATAGCTCCGGCGAGACGCAGATCCATCTGCTGTAAGTGCCTTACACAATGAGCCCAGCACTCGGCCGCACGGGCAAACACGTCACAGCATGTTGCTTGCTGAGTCTCTGCACAAGCTTTGGCAGTGCCAGCCACCGAAACAATGTCTTTCAGACCTGTTCCATCCTTGGGAAAAAAGATGGAAGAAAGCTACATAAGACAACGCGATAGGTGTCCGGACTCTGAGCTGCCAGCCGTGCAAAGTGTCTCATCTCCCCACATGGAGACAGTTCCTGACGGAACGTAAAGCATAGGAGAACCAGTGGTGAAGTCACAAGTGCAGGCAGGGCTCCATCTTCCCTGATGCATGCGAAAAGTTTGTACAAACCTTGCTGGGAGTCAAGCTTACGGTCTCATCGGCGCAGGTATCTGGACGAAACATCGCGGTTTAACACAGCCGAGCATCCGAAGACACGCCTTGCGCCCATTCCTAACCGCAGCTGGTTGTTGTCAAGCCTTCTGAAAGTCTGCTGCATGTTGCCGGAAAGCTGCTCAACTTCTGGGTGCTTGTGCTTTGACCGCCACATGCAGGATCTCCCCAAGCAAGCACCTCAGCATCATCAAACTCTCGTAACTCCACGCCACAGATTGAATCTGCATTGCTGGGTCTCCTAGAGTGACAGCATTGTTACCTCATCAATCCAACGGACAACGAAACTAACACCCCATGCACTCGGTGTGGCACGGAACCGTCTGCCATCCGCGCGGCAAATGCCGCGGCTGTGTGGCTGACCTGATGCAAAGTACGTCTGCCCTTGGGTGATTTGCCTGATTCGGGAACAGGTTACGGCCATGACACCTCCACAACTCCTCTCAGCTGCTGCTTGACTTTCGAAGAATCGCCGCCACACTTTGGATCCCCCCATGTGACAACCGATCCATCGACCTCCCGGTAAAGGCACTTTTTCTGGCTTCGGAGAGACGGTTCGGACCCGGCCTGCCTGGTGCCTAACTGTCTGACTAACTGTGACGGTAGTCAGCAATTGTTTCGTCTCCTGGCCTTTGTGGCTGCAAAAGCACCACCAGTACCAGAGATTCTGGCCACTCCCACCAACAGTCCATCGTAGCTGGCATCGCTGCTGTCGAAAGCCTCGCACACACGTTTAGGCCCTGAAGCAAAGCTCGTATAATCGCAGGCATCTCACACACATTGATATCACACGATCAGGTTTTTCCAAGAAGCATCGTCACCCAAGAAGAAAGTGCCACTCGCCCGCAAGTCTAGGAAGGCGCGGAACGTCCCTGAAACGCACGAGATCATGTAGAGCTGATCCTGCACGGTCGAGGAGTTTCCACCCCAGTCCGCATCACCCCAAGTGACAACGGATCCATCCTCAGGGTGGGTAAGTTTTTGGAAGCTTGGGCAACAACACAACCCGGTTGGCGGCGAATTTGCGAGGAAGCATGTCACTTGGAACCTAGCCATATGACCAAGGATATGCTTGCGAGTGCAGGAGACCTCTGGGGCAAGATCGCTTGGGCAAGAAAGCAAGAATCTCTGCTGGAGTGCAGCCCACGGTGCTGTTTTCGTCGCAGCAAAGGCACCATATGTGCTACATATGTGGAACACGCGCTTGCGTATCCTGCACACTGCAAAGGACATCATGCGACACCCCACAACAGAATGACAGAACAAGGTAATATGAGGGCCTTAATAATTAGAAGAGGGTTTGGATGGTTTTGGGTCCCATTAGACTGTATTTATAATAAGGAAACCCCAAAATAGTACAGGTAATAATTAAGGCCCCTATATTATCTGCAGCGACTCCTGCTTGCCACTGCTGAGGCATCGCCGCCGCAGGCCATGTCCCCCCAAGCGATCACAGAGCCATCATTCCTCCTCAAATTCTGCGGGTCAAGGAGTCAAGGACTAAAGAGAGGGCGACAAGCAGCAGAATGCAGCAGAGCTGCAAAGCTGCGAATGCGCCGTATGTGCTGCACACCTGCAATCAGAAGCAGCAGCCAGTTCGCTGCCACATCCATCAGACCCGACGAGGTGTAAAAAAACAAGCTGCAAAGTTCTAGCCTGAGTCACGCCTTTCAGCTCCTCCTGGACTTGCGATGTATCACCACCCCAGTCTGCATCTCCCCATGCCACCACCGTGCCATTCTGTTTCAAGGCGGCAAAGGCACTGTAAGTCCCACAGACTTGCCTTGCATCACTGCGGGCACATGCTGCTGTTCTGGTGCCCAAGCTGATGCTTCTGCAGCCGGCATGCTGGACATTTCTGAGATCAGAATGAACTGGGAAGGTGTCGCCACCACAAGTTGCCTCGCCTGTAAGACTCAAAGCATCTCCTAATGAGAAGATAAAAGGATGAGGAAGCTTACTAGGCACATTCTGAGAGGCATGGCACAAAGCTTGTCAGCTGCGATGCCACCAGGACACCCCATGCCACAACAGTGCCGTCTTCTTTGATCGCCGCAAAGGCCCCAAAGTTACTGCACACATCACGCACTCCTTCGGAATGGCACCGCAGGCGACTTCAAAACCACTTTGGGCTGGCATCGTCTCGGGCTGAGAATACGACGCATGCCACAGATTGGGTCCTTGGCGGAGTTTGCCGGAGCTGTCCAGCTGCCTGCCGCCGGAGTCCTCGCTTCCCCAGCTGACAACGGCGCCGTCGCTTGTCACCTCGAAGACATTCTGAAAATGTTGAAGATGCTCCATGCGAGCTTGATCCTGTGACCCGTATGCAGTTGGAAGCCTCAACAAGAACGAAGAAGCTTCACAAAAAGACGGACACCACATCCCGTTTGTTAAATCCACGAAGACGGCTGTACAAACATGCAAGTGACACTTGCTAAGCTGCGCGGTTCTCAAGCCCTGCTTCAAAGGTAAGGCCGGGTCGCGACAGCGAAGGCTCCGTAGGTCGCAACCTCTTGAATTTTCAGTTCCATGCTCACAGATTCCTGTTAGTGATTGATTCCGGTAAGGTCACAGCTTATCATGTCTTTGCCGGTCTATGCTCGTGCAGTGTACAACATGCTGAGGCAGCAGCAAGCTGTTTCACACCCGAGCGCAGGCGTCCTTCGACCTGTCGCAGGGCTGCAGCCGAGATTTCAGCCGGCACCAAAGGACCAAGACCTGCCTCGCCAGGGTCACCACCGGTAGAAGGGTCGCCCCAAGTCACCACTGATCCATCCGCCTTAAGGGCCTTGGACATCTGGATTTGTATGCACGGCCGTCGTGGCATGCTATTCGTACAGTTGCATGCACACAAGCGTAATCCGGTATCCAACCAGGCGGCGGCAAATGCGCTTCGAGTGGCGCGCACCCTGGGATGGACAGCGGCTGTGGCTCAACAAACATTATATCGCCTGCAAAAGAAACGATCTACATAAAGTACCTGCTTCGATTGCCGTGACACAGGACCACTTCTCCCTTGATGCGCCCGGAGACCTCTGAGGACAGGCCACCGAAATCTGGATGACCCCATGTCACCACAGATCCATCTTCCTGCTACAGGGCATGTGCGAACTGCGAGGGATCTTTCACCGGGGTAGCCCCTGAGCGACACGGAACCAGCCTTGACTGCTGCGAAAGCGCCATAGGAAGCGCAAATGTGGCGAACCCCTTTACGTAGTTGTGAGGCAACTGCTGAGGAATCGCCGCCAACGTCACCGTCTCCCCATGTCACGACTGAGCCTAGGAGGAAAGCGCGTTCGGCGGCCACCGCCAATGCTGTTTGTTGCTCGAGAGCTGAGGCCAAAGCCATTGGCCTTGCCGCCAGCAGGGCAGTTGCAGCTGGATGGAAAAGCATAACGAGAGAAAAGATGTAACTCTCCATGCACACAGTTCTCCTTTCTGCGAGATCGGATCCAAAGGAACTACGTATTGGGGAGTCAGAAGCACCTGGCCTTTGTCGCTGCAAAAGCCCGCTTAGTCTCGGTGACGGGATTTTCTTGATCCAAGTCCTCGTTCTCGGCTGCGGAATCCATATCAAAAGCGCCGTAAGTTCCAAACACCTCATCGCCATCAGGTTGAGCTTTCGCGAACAGTGTCTCTGCATCAGAAGGTAGCGGCATCTTGCAATGCCGACATCGAATCCATGAACAAACTGTGGACTGAACAGCCGACTAGCCGGGACTAGCCAACCGGCCTGGACCGCTCCTTTCACCAACTGCCGCTGAACTTTGGAAGAGTCTCCTCCCCACTCCCGATCGCCCCAAGTAACCACGGATCCGTCCACATCGGACCTGACCATCAGGGCTCCAGTCTCCAAACAAAACAACAAGCGGCAAAGCTCCTAAAGCATACAAGCTCCTGCAGGAGGCCAGGCTTTTTAGCATATGGCCCCTACATCACCACGAACCCAACCGCTTATCTAATCACCCCGAAGCAGCAGAATCACCTCTTAACTAATCACCCCGAAGCAGCAGAATCACCTCTTAACTAATCACCCCGCAACAACCGAAACAGGTTCATGGTTGACAGGAGCCCAAAATCCAACACATTCCGACCTAACCGAACCACGCCAACGTACAGAGTCTCTGCTTGCGACTTGTGGGCTTGAGGGCCGCGAAGGCGCGTTCCTGTCTGACAGTCTGGGCCCCACAACTGCCGGTCCAGGCCACCTGAAGCGTAGTACCTTCAGCAGGCTTGGCGAGTTTGCAACAGAGGGCTTCGACGGCTTCTTTGCCGAGCTGCTCAGCGTAGCCTCGAGCATGGACAAATGATGGTACGGCTTCCTTGGCTGAGGCCACACATGCCACAAGAGGTCGACTGGCTTCAATCTTGCTGACGAGTCTCACTTCGCGATGACAGTGGAAAAGTCGGCATGCGTATCCTTTCAAAGTGTGAGGACAAATCTTGCCCGGATTGAGCCTGAGCCAATGTGGCCGATGCTCTGATAAGATCCAGGCCAGGCTTGGCAGCGCCAACTGCGCGAAAAAGAGCCACGGCCTCATCGCAACAGGGCAGGCTTCTGGTCGAGGGGCTCAACCCACACTCGACTCAGAACAAGTCGCTCGTTCATCGGCGTTGCTCTCTGCATGCCACAGAAAGCGACAGACTTCACCCGAACAATCCAGCAGGACGAACTCCATGGCTCTCGAGCAAAGGCGATGGACACATTCTCAAGCTGTCTTGCGCTGTGCCATTGTGGCCGCTGTGACACACTCACGTAATGTGAAAGGCTGTGGATTGCTTCGGTCGGCTTCACTCTAAGCAGAACTCCTGCAACCTGCGAACAGTTTCTGAGAAGCTGCTGAGATATCCTGAGAAATCCTTTCCGTCACGAAGGCTGTGTAGTGTCTGCTCCACTCGGCATGGGAAGCATCCAAGGTCATACTGTACTTCTTGAGGCCACGGTTTTGAGCAACAAAGCAACAGTGCTCGGTGCCTCCAGGATTGAGATCCGAATGCGATCCAAGACCACCTGCAAGGCGCCATCCAGCTGCGACAAAGACCTTCGGTGGAAACTGTCAGTGTGGTTGTTGGTGATATAGCTAGTTTACGGGTTTTCATTGTTAGGCAGCCCAGCAATGGATATCGCCAAAACAAATCCTTAGCATTCTGGTTGCATCTCCAGTGTCGTGGCTTCGTGCTTCGCTGTGGCTGGAATTTGCATGAATCTTCACTTCGCAGCTTAACGACGACAACGACAAACAGCAAGCAACAACAACAACAACAACAACAACGACCACTACAATCAGCAAAACCAGAACCACAACGCTAAGGCTGATGAGGATGGCGACAACAATCCCGAAACCGCCAACCGTAACCATAACGACGACACTCAAAGCATTCAAAATTACGGTACGGAGAACCGCGGTACCCGCAGGTTCCAGCTGCCAAGCCTTGCCGTTTCCTGCGAAGCGGGTGAGGCCCGGGGGTCGAAACCCAACGCAGCGCAGAACTCGTGGAGCTCGACGTAGCCTGGCTTGAATTTTACCGACATTAGTTACCAGTTCTTCTTCTTCTAGTATGAACACGTCACCATACACCAACAAAACATAAACGAGAATGGAGGCTGAATTGGGAAATGCAGGGTCTTTGCCTGGCACTTTCAGGTGCCCTAATACTCTGAAACTCTAACTGCGCCTGACCGATTCCGGCAAACAGTCTGGTACAGGTCCCTCAGTTCGTCGGCGGTGAGCTCTGGCCTTAGCAATGTGGGCAAGTGTCTTGCGCCGCTGGGAGCAGAAGTCCGCTGAGATGCGGGCCAGAACGTCTGTGCCATGACATTCAAATCATGTGCCGACAAGCGTCCGCAACCTGCGCAGAATCGGCAAGCTGACGACTGATGAGACGTCTCTGAACATTGAACCCTTCAAGCACGCGTTGCCCGGCTCATCTTTTGACACAACGCTCAGCTTTCCCTGCTTCTCTTTGACGCACGGACGTCCTGCAGGTTTACAGGCTCAGCTGCAAATTCTCAGTTCTGAAGGTCTTGGACAGTCATAACTGAACTACATTCAGTCCTCTGCGAGGTGCGTGCAGGTCAAGCCGAGTGCGGTGATGGCTCGTTGCCCTTCTGCGGATGCTTGCTTCAAAGCTTCCTGGCCATGAGTTAGTGAAACGCCCAATCAGCTGGAGTATATAAGTCTTGTCAGCGAGAGTGAAAGCAGTCGCCCCAGGATTGCACTCCGTGCCTCTTCCGCTCCTTCGGGTAGGCCCGTGAAACTCAGGCCGACGGCCTCAGTTCTAAAGACCGAGGCGTGTCACCCACATGATTAATTCGAACAGCGGCCTTTACTTTATCGTGGCAAACTTAGAACCAGCCAGTGTCAACTGCAAGGTGCCTCACAAAGCAGCTGCAGTCCCTCATTTTCGAAGGCATGTCGGGCGACACAGCGCTGCACCTGGGATCGAGTTCTGGCAGCACCAACGCCAATACAATTGGACCCAGGCTTTGGCAGGTCCAGAAGTGTATGTCTGCTTGAGGCCTACTTCAGCTTCTACCAGCGGGCCGTGCACGGAATTGTGTCCCAATCTCCTCAGTCAGCTGGCCAACGTCAGAAAAACGGCAGCCGAGAGCAGCACCAACGATGTAAACGAATAGTCTTCGTCAAGCAGGGGGTCCTCTCCGACGTCACTAGAAAGTTTTCAATCGCTCTCCGAGGGTGAGCGAAGACGAAAGATGACGCACAAACCTCCAAACTGATTCAAACCGAAATTGTGGGAACGAGTCGAAGATCCGATCGAAGGACTTGCCACATGCTGAATGTTTGCGAGGCTTCCATAACCGAAGAGGAGGCACAAACAAAAAGAGAGAGAGAGAGAGAGAGACAGATGCATACAGAGCGCCAGCCTTACGTGGTCAGTCATATGAGACAGTCTCAAAGAGGCTCATCCTAAATCATGAACTCTGAATCTTGGGGAACCCTGTCCGCAGCCTGTGCATCCTGGCCTTCCAGCTCCAGCTCGAAATCGTCTAAGATCCGTGCAAGCTGGAGGTGCTGCGCCTGCAAGCGCAGTTGGGAGCTCTCATGCTTCAGATGCTGCAGGGGCCACTCACTGGCAAATCAAGCCTGGATGCGTGATTGTACATAGTCCAAGATGCCACTGTCCTTCACACGGCCCTGTCTTAAAGCTGCATTTCCGAAGACCTCCATGCAGATTCAGCAGCTCCGGACCATATGTCCCTCAACTCTGAGATTGATCTCGCTGCCTTCTTCGGTCCCAAGAAGCTGTTAGGCTTCCTTTCAATGGACTCTCTGAATCTCAAGGGCAAGCACAAATCTTGAAATGTCACCATCCGAAGTCCAGAACAACAACATGTGCCAAGTCTTGCCGCCCTTCTGATCCTGGGAAGGAGGCCTCGAGCAGCATCTCCGCATAGCTGCGTGAACCACGAGCTGCTGGAGGGAAGGGCGGGGCCGCTGTGTCCTGACGCCACGAGAAAAGAAATACAACTATCATGTATCTACCGTTTGAGTTGTGTCGGGTTTAGGTATATTCGTGTGGCATACTTGATGCTCCACCTAAGGCGAGAAGCGGCTGTATGATGGTAACGACGACTGGCACTTAACCTGGGTGTACCCTGCATATAGTTGCAAATGGAAATATCAACAATGAGGCGATACTTGTTCACAACCTCAACATATTGGCAGGACATTTAGGTTATTATTAGGAAATCCAGCACTTAGCATTGGACATTCCGGAATGCACAAAGATTCACTGAAGTTCTGGAGATCGTCGTCATCTGACTCGTGTGCAAATTCACTAACTTGGCTATCCGCTTCCGACTACTACTGCGTTGACGCCAACGCCAACCCCACCACCACCAGCAACAACTACCACCAGCACATACCAGCACCACCAGCAGCACTGCCAGCACCACCAGCACCGCCAGCAGCACCACCAGCGCCACCAGCAGCAGCAGCACCACCACCAGCCCAACCCCAACAGCACCACCACCACCACCACCACCACCACCACCACCACCACCACCACCACCACCACCACCACCACCACCACCACCACCACCACCACCACCATCACCACGAACAATACCAACATCATGAACAACAACAGTGGTTTTACCAGTGCTACTGGTCTTATGAGCCTTACCGTGAGAGTTCTTTGTTCTGATCGACCTCAGCTTGACAGATATCTGAGAGAGTTGTGAACACTGCGGAGAGCACACGGAGGGCTGCAGATCTTCCTTCCATTGACTGCATGCACAGCTTTGCGATGAAAAATCGCACGTGCATGTATATGGTTACTTAATAGTATACATGCAGATATGCAAACAAAGAAACTCATCCTTGCCTACTTAGTATTGGGCTGTGTGTATGTGTGTGCGACTTGGTCCGAAGCCTGGCGTGGTGAGGAACGAGAATATCGGTCTTGGGGTGAGAATCGTAACCGACAGATAGACCTTTAGGGCATGGATGGGCATGGCACTACCCACTGCACTGCATTGATACACAACACAATACAACTACTAAGTCTGCGTTGAGCAACCCCTTGGAACTAGGACGACCCCCTGCAGTTTTCCTGTTGTGATTTGTTGGACAAATGTGCTCAGAATTCCTGTTTGCAAGCAGGTGCTGGAGAACCGATGCCACCCCTTTCCGAGAACAATGTCGAGCTCATTGACTGGCGTGTTGATGTGCTTCGGTAAGCGGGTGCCTCACAAAGGTGCCAAAGCACGCGTGCAGCGCCGCGAATGTCTGCATTGCAGAAGACCTCCTCCCAGCCAGTGGATGTGCAGCACAGACCTCATCTTCGACTGCTCCATCACTTGTCGCCAAGCCAGGGCGAACCCTACTCTTGGGCCTAATCATGTCACCTGGAAGCCTGGTTTCATGAATGGGCTGACTGAAGCCTTAATTGTGAATGCGTCTTGGCGGGTGGTCTTTCGTGTCAGTCGGTTCTGAGGGTCGCAGAATGGCTCAGCTTACAGAGGCCATGCAGAGAACGATGAAGCCACTGACGTGCCACGAAGTTGCACATGGCCATGTCAGCCACTGATGCTGCAAGACAGGCTCCAAAGCCTTGGCAACCACGATACTCCAGAGATACAGCAGAGAGACATGTCTCTTTCGCTAGTTATGCACAGAAGCAAACATGCCTGCTCAAAAGCCTGAAACACTTGCCGAACTGCTATGGGTTAACAAGCGGCGCTGTGTGACCAACTTGAAGGCTTGAAGTTTCAGGGGCGTCTGCGGAGGTGCGACCATCACAAGCCTTCAAGCAGCAGCCAAGTGGAGCACTGTCGGCATTAGTCTGAGTAGGATGCTAGCTCATCTTAAGCATACGACGGCAACGCACAACAATACTAATGCGGGCGCAAGCTCATGGTGTTGGCGATCCTCAGTGCATGTCATGCCGTACACATGTGTAAGTGCTACCCGCGCTGTAGGGTGCACGAATCACACTTCCGACCCCTTGGCCAATGAGAAACGAAGCATCTGCTGACAACACCGCGCAACAAACTTGTGCTGCTGAGGACTTCGTGCCGCTGTGGATCTGTTGCGGTGTAAGGGTCCTGTCTCTGTCCAGTCTGGGAAGAATATATCTTCGAAAGTTTTCGGGTCGAAGAAAGAAGTCGGTTCTCGGAGCGAAATGCAGAATGGATCGAAACCTTCCATGCAATGGCTCGGAAAAAATGTCCAGAATGCCGTGGTTGCCCACGCGTTCATCTGCTTGGAACAGCGCAAGGGTGCGCAGAATAATGTCCACGCCACCGAATCGAAGAGCTTTCCTTGCCAGGGCTGGTATGGACGGGCTCAGCTCAAGACTCGAGAAGGCTCAGGGTCCAGACGACTACAAAGACTACGAAGAGATACTGTCCCCCCTCACAACATTTTTCGATGCTTGTTCTGCTGACTGGTTGGCAGCATGTTGTTTGTGCTGCCTTCCTTTTGCCAAGTAGCTCTCCGAAGTAGCCGCGATGACCAGGAATCTCTAAATCCGTCGTCTGGTTCTGGTGGAGGACGGCAAAGTCATTCCACAAGTCCTCTGCTCACGGCTGCGTAGGAACTGCCCCTGTCGAAGGTCTAGGTTAGGATGGGCCGAAGCCCAAGGACCACTAATCCAAGGTTAGCAGTTCTAAAGTGCATCCCCATGGCCCTTGGGAAGTTTGAAGGGCACTGCAGCTGCCTCTTTCAGTCCTCCTGCGGCTTTCCACACCACATTAAAATCTGCCTTCCGAGCCAGCGGATGTCTGGCAACTGGGTTGCCACCGCCGCCAACTCCTTGTCAAGGCTTGAGACCCAGGACACAACAAGCCAAAGTGTTTGCAAGGTGAGCTTCCCGCCTTTTTCCACTGCACATACTTGTCTCTCTACGTTTCAACGGATAGCTTTGCAACGTCAACGGCGGAGCTCTTGGATTCAGAGCTCCAGATCCACCGGCGCTCCGTTGGCCTCAGCCATGAGCAGCCGGGTCTCCGCGAGTGGTTTTCCCTGATCCTTCAGAAAATTGCGAAACTGATCAGGATCGTCATCGATGCCCCCAAAGGCCTTATCCAAAGCAGCCATGGGAGACTCCTCCTCTTGGATGGGCCCCTCCCCTGGCAGGCGCAAAACTCCTCGAAGCTTGGCCCCCTTTTGAGTAAGGCCTGCTGCCACCCCGGCAGCTTCAGCCAAATTGGGGGTGATCAGGAAGTCTACCTGATAGGCTTCTTCCGGGATGTCGGGCTTGTTGGAGGACGCGCCCTTGCTGAGAAACTGCCCAAATGCCTCGTAGGCCACCGCAGCTCCCGTTTCTAAGTTCACGAAGATGAAGCCCTGCTCCTGGCAAGAACTATGGGCACCTATGGAAGCCTCTACTGTAGTCCTCCTCTTCGACCATTGGTATGACATGGCATAACCTACGTTTAAATACTCTCAGAAACATAAGGTCACATAACGAGGTCATTTCATATTCACCAAAAACCCTATAAACCCTAAACCCTATCTTTTATTTCATGGCTTTTGCCGGGACCCACCTGCTTCTCCCAGGGGAAGCTCCCGGAGCCTGGAGCGGAAAGGACGCCGACGGCCGCAGCCGCCTTGTCCTTCTTCTGCAGGTAGCCTCGGGGTGCTGCAATACGTCTCTGCTATATTGCTATATACTGTAGTGGCATTTCAACATTTTCAACTTATACTGCTGAACTATAGTAATTATGTCGCAAGTTAATTTTAGTCAGTACCAGTATGATATTCTGTTAAATAAATGTGCAGCCTTGGGGGTTGAAAAGCTCTGTTTCTCTTCGGAGCCGGTCCTGGAGGGAAGTGGTTGGAAAGTTGATGGGGCTTCTTTCCGGGTCGGCATGTCCGGCATTGTCCGGCTCTACTCGCATCTCGACTTCAGCAATTCAACTCCATGAGGGTTGGCACTGCCCAATTCACGCCTCAAGGTGCTGGCATATTATGATTAGTATATATTAGTATACTGAGGTGTTCCGGCTGTGAAACCGGGCCCTTCGAGCAGAGGAATCTGAGTGCAAGTCCGAGCAGCACTGTCCGCCGGGGCCGTTCTGGAGCACCGCCAAGTTGCGCACCATCATCTTAGCCAGCTCTTGCCCTGCCTTCTGTGATGTCACGAACTTTACTTTCGTAAGCTTCATCTTATCGACTGTTGGTCGATGAAAGAACTCCGGTTCTTCTGACGAGAGGAAGACATAGTCAAACTCCTCGTGCACGTTTTCGGGCTTCAAGTCGGAGCCCTGCAAGTTTGGATTGACTAGGATCCTGATTCCTCCCATCTCCAAGATGAAGCTCCCTCTGCCCGAGCCCACTGCCTGCACGCTCAAGATGTTTTTCATGCCTGCAAAGCCCTTTTCTTCAGCTGCCCGGCTCACTTGGCCAAGCAATCGCGATGACTCTAAGGATCCGCCCGGCCGTTTAAACCCTAGCCTGGGCCTAGGCAGCTGAGAGCCCCGAGCTGGGCTTGGGACCCTTTCAGAAGATGGCACTTCCTTGTGGCCAGGGCAAAATGCCGAGTTTGTCCAAAGGGCTGTTAGGGCAACCACCGTAATGCAAACAGCCGAACATCGTCGACCTGTATGCGGAGCCATGGATGGCACAGGGACTGCGCAGCGAAAATCGTATAACCTCGGCATATCTGTAGCCCGACGGCTTGAGACAAAAGGTGTTGCACAGTCATAGAACGGAGTTGGGCTGCACGCGCACACACATACAAACAAGGGCAGAAAGCGCTCCTGCCAGGAGCGACTCGAGACTCCAGGGGTCTCCGGAGTCAGCCCCTGCAAGGGCGAGGCACCCACGAGGCGCCGTGCAATGCTGTCGGACACCTGAAGATGGCCGTGAAAGCATGATTTCGCACATGATTGCAGGAAATACAAGTAGGGGCATTTTCTAGGTTCGCTTCGGTATCAAGCTCGAGTTCATCCGCCAGTGCTGCAATCGTAGTTGGGGCATGTTGGGGTTTGACGTGGACAGGCTGGCCCGAGGGTGAGAGAGGAGAGGGGTATCTGCATAGAGCTTGCTTGATCGTGGCCAAATAAACAGCCCGTCCGGAACCAACATCCTGGAAAAACATGGGTTAACATATTTTCGGCCTTGCTGGAATGACCATCCCCGCGTCACCTCCAGATGCGGCAAGCAGAACTCGGGTCCAAATTCCAAGCCGCGCCCGCTGCATGGCCCTGTCCCTGCCATAGCACTGAGCAAATCTACACGACCTGAGGGCTTGGAGTTCGGAGGTTCTTAATCTGCACTGGAGTCAGGCGCAGGTTCCACCTGTGAGTTGACATTCGAAGTGTTTTTTGAGGCTGCAACCTACATGCAGCTCGAACTCAGCAGCTGCCTTGATTTGTGCCAGCGACTTGCGCAAGTGTCTTTGAGCTACAAACACTGGACAGCCCGCAGCATGCATCACCAGCCCGCGAGCAGTTTTGAAGCTATCAGTCGTCTCCACAGGCGGCTCGTCAGAGTTCGACTTTGCGAACCAGCCCTGCCTTTCGCAACCTTGGGAGATGAGAGATGCGCTTCTCACATTCATGCATTCAGACGTGTTGAAAGGCACTGGGGCCGTGTCGGCTCCAGCAGGGAATACTCGACAAAAGCTGCAACTGACACGAAGAACACCACCTCAGAAGAACATACTCACTGTAATTTGCTGGCCTGCGAAGCGCGAGTGTAAAGGAGTGCCACGAGCTCGGTTGAGAAGGTACTGTACGAAGCATGACAAAAATGGACTCTGGCGACTCCCCTTGCAGCAAACACGGGCAGCGCGATCGCATGTGCACAGTGCACACACTTGCTTGCATGAACTTCTCTTCTGACGAGTTATGGAATGCGGAATCCGGAAGCTGCGACAAGCTTGCACCATCTGCATCTGGTTTATGGTCCGAGGATCGCATTTTAGCAAAATCGCGCCAGTCCGTAGTTACCAGGGGCCTTGCAAAGTGGGCGAAAGCATAGACCCCAATGAAGACTGTGAAGCTCCGTTTGGTGACGATGCCTCCGGTTTCGCACTCTTCTCATGCAAAGTCAGTGAGTCAAGGACATGCGACTGCGGGCCTGTGGCCGGTACCATCTGTCCTGGCAGTAGCGAATGACATGCAAGCTGCCATGGACTGTATGTGCAATCGTCAACACAAGCCGCGGCACCTGAAAACACGGCAATGAGGCCGCACAGCACCACGATTGCAGCAGGGGGCATTCGAGCCTGTCGTCACTCATGGGTTTGTGCAATGGGCCTTTGCGGGTGCTTGGAGTCCAGTGCACACCTTCAGGCTGGCCAAGAACCATCTTGCCAGCACCACCGGGCCGCCTCGCTCCTGGAAGCATCGCGTGCTACATCGTTTCGCGATGCCATCCGTTTCGCTCAAGGAGATGTCCTCTGAAGATATTGGGAAAAGGCGGTGGGGTGCTTTTGGCGGCCTGACGGCACATGGGCTTCCTATATAAGTAGCTGATATTAGCTGATGCTGATGGGCGATGTTTGCTGGAGGGCTGCAAACATTCGTGAGTTGTACATGCAGCCATGCAGGACTTCCGCCTCTTGACAACGTCGAGGGCTTGGAGCATTGCCTCGGTAGACTCCGCAAAAACAAGTCGTGTCCGTTGATGTCCGTGGCTCAGCGAAATTCGCAATTGGGGCACACCAGGCATCCGACCAAGTGGGCTGTCACGTTCCCACCAACTGTACCCAACTTGCGTGCAAACAGGACCTCACACAAGCAAGCCAGCGCCATTCTCAACGTGAAGTTGAGGCAGGCTTACTTTCCTCCGGTTTCTTGCGGCGACTTTTCGTCAATGTCTGTCCGTGGAGTGGAGGGGGTGGCCAGTCCGAATACCATCTGAGAAGTTGGCTCCCTTGTCTGCCAGTGAGTGAAGCAGCGCGTCACGGTCTGCCGGCAAAAGGCCACCCCCAAGCAAGGGACTCTTTGCCTCGGCTGCACAACACAGCAGTCCGGAGGCCAAGCCGCTACTGTTAAGCACTCTTGCAAGATCTTGCAAGTAGATCCCTGCCCGGGCTTCCGGACTCGCTTGAGGTCCGCCTGGTCTGCCGCACCACCTTCTTTTCTCGCAGGCGTGACAACGGAAACTGCCGAGGATGTGCTGTGCTTTGTGCCACCACTGGCTCTGAGCACTGAGCACCTCACAGCCCGGCCAAGGCGCGTACCTTCAACAAGAATGCAAAGAAAAGCCGTTCTTTGCAAGTGCTGATGTCAGGTCTGTGTCTAGAAGGTCCCCCAAGCAGGTCATGAAGGCACATTCAGCTACAGTACTGCGACCAGCACATCCTGTGCTAAACGCTAGCTGCATTTTTTGCTTGAGTGCAAAGGGGCACAATATGCATTCGGATCGTGCCCCGAGATCTCGTATGCCGTCCTCGAACTGCTGGAGACCCAGCGTAGCCTTTTGGTAGAGTTCCAAGTCCGACCTGTCCAAAGGCAGGAAAGTCCGTGACTTTATCATTATCTCTCTTTCCTATCATTGTTACTCTTACTACGACTCTTCTGATTTCTAGTAGCATGATCATGACTGCTCTTCTTGGCATTATTGTTACTACTCCTCCGGTTACCATTGTTATTCTCATTCAATTAGTCTCCAAGTCCCAGGCAGGTCTAAGGCCGTGTTCCCAGGAAGATGCTCCTTTTCGCGCACTTTTAACTGGCAGGGCTCAACGAAGGGAGGCCACGATCAGTGCACGAAGTCCTCCGCAAGGGCCAAGGCAAGCAAAGGCAGAACTTCGTCGGAGCATAGCCTGGGCTCGGAAAGGATGCGTGCTCAGGAAGCATCTTGAAACAACAAACCTTACAGTATCCCCCGTGTCTTAACAGGTCTTGACTTCTTAACTCAATTTCAGCCTTGTGGCGGTTCGCCCAGGTATGAGGACTCGAAGATTGCATCCGCGGCTGCTAAAGCTCGAGTACTGGTAACCCGAAGAGCATGCCGTCTCGTCAGTGCCAGCCTGTAGTCTTTGAGGTCAACTCTTGGACAAGAATGCCGACGAGCCCTGGCACATGGAAATGAGCTTGGGCCCTGGCCATTGATGGTGTTTCAGCAACAGAGACCTGACGATTCTGACCACGTGGAGGACTCATTTGGCCCACAAGATGCAATGTGAACACTGGGCAGTTCATCTGATGCATAAGCTGCAGGAGCCTGGCCCAGTGCGGCTCAATGCCTTAGTCGGCAAAGGAACTCGGACCCCTCCAGACTCTATTCATACGGTGCCACGGTCAGTGCATGCACCTTCGCTCTAGGGTTTCAGGTTTGCTTCCCCGCTTGTGGATGCCCACCCAATGACTCGCATCGCTTCGGTTCGTGCCCACGTCTTGGGGGTTGGTCGATGGGAGCGCATCCGTTCCCAAGGTCATGTCAGCTCCACAATAAAATTCAAGAGCTGTTGCTTTCACGATGCGACCTGGTCTTCCGGGGCCCCTGTGCTTTTTGATCGGCTTGCATCTCAAAAGGTCGCCTGTGCCGTAACCATCACTTGCGAACCACCATAGAGTTTGAGGTCTCCCTCTCTCCCTTCCTCTCTCCCTTCCCTTACTTCATGATGAAGAACTGAAATGCACAAACACATCTTGACAGAACATGTCACTGAGTAACTAATCAGGTTGGCAGGCACATCAGTGCAAGTGAAACCATGAGTATAAGTATAGGCCAATGCTCATGTTTTAATGCTATTCCGAACCCACACATTTTCTGATCAAGCGTTTTATACGACTGTGCACGTCGCCGTGGCCTTCCAATAGCAAGCCAGTTTTCCATTCTTACTTACGGGAATAATTATAGCATCTTATTGCTGTAATATCTGTGACCCGTGCTACTTCAGCATTCCATTGTCTCGGCTTTAAGTGTTCCTGCACAAGTGAACAACTGCACATGGCCTTGCCAGCGAGATGCCATGTGCACAGCCATGTGGCACCTCGAGGTCCCGCACTCCAGCCGGACAAATGCGCGACCTCCGAAGCGCACTGGGGCGATTCCGAGCAGGCGGCACGTCTGGCGCAAGCAACATACAGGAAGCAAAGACAATTGCAGCCTACAGCCGGTCAGTCCTATTGCGAGACAACAGAGAGAGGGAAAGAAAGAGAGAGAGAGAGAGAGACAGAAAAAGCAGGAGAGAGAGAGTGAGCAAGGGAGGCAGGCCGGAACGGAGGGAGAGGGGCTAGCAGCCCTCTTCTTCGGACCACTGCGACTCTTTGCATCTCCTGCTCAGACTCGAGCAAGGGTTCGTCATCATGATCGAGCAGCACACTCCTGAGTCATTTGTGTATCCGAACAGTGTGCAAGCGGAAGACTACACTTTTGGCTACAAAATCGAAAAGTGGGTCTCTTCTCGTTCCGTGTGTGGCGGTTCTCGTGCTTCAAGCAGTACTGCCTTTGTAAGAGCCGGGCACAACGTGACCTCTGCGATAACCCGCGTGGAAAATACAGGTTGCTGGGGACGCTTCAAAAGGGCACCATCTCGGCTAAGTTCAGCACGCAGTGGCCAGAGTGGTGTGGCCTGGTAAAAACACTTTGAGAGCATCTCCAAGGTGTCCGTTGCATGACAACCGAACGAGACCGAGCCGCTGCCACAAACACTGCTTTTCAGGAACGGCGGTTGGGAAGGTGCTCATCACCCGAGCGTACAGGCCCGTCATCGGCAGGCCGGCACTCTTTACGCCACCTTGGCCTGTATTTTGTGGCAGAGCTTGTTCTCTGCACTGGCCTTCCTTCAGGTGCCCTCCAAACTCGAGGGCTTTGTCCTGTGGAATGCTGTACATCAAAAGCACACATCCAAATATCCATCTACATTGAGATCGATTGCATCTGTGCACCTCTAAGGCAATGTCAAAAAGGGAAGAGGCACAAGAAACAGCGTGCCATGCAGCAGCCCATAGCCGTATATATACATGCTGTACATAGACCAGAACATGTGCCGCCCGAGCTGACTTGCTGGCTCTAGTAGCCGCAAGAAGGTACAAAATTGGGGCAGATCACGATACACGCGAAAGAACACTGCGCAAAAGCGATGAACGAAGGATGCCTACATACTACATTGGTGAACGGCACAAAGCTGAAAGCTGTCAAAGCCCGTGCATACCATGTGCAGGGTGCTTTGATCTGGGGCTTAGGGCCATTGAAAATACGACTCCATCCTGACTTGGACAGAGCTGATAAGTGAAACGCTACCACTCCATGAGACGGCGTATGACAGATTGCCGTCCCTTTGAACGGGAGCAGCAGCCGTCTTGCCGTAGAAGCGGTCCATCCGATATAATTCGCCAAGGCCGGAAAGCTACTCAGCCATCTCTAGAACTTTCTGTTGGTCCAACTGCCTTTCAAACGGCAATGCTTCTGAGCACCGCTTCGTAGCCGATGAGGAAAGCCTGGTAAAGCAGTGCAACACCGTGCTCATGCGGCAATGCGGCAGGGCTGGCGGTACTGGCATCTGATAGCGACAGCATGTTCTGTTTGTGCTCTGCCACGGAAGTGCTGCTGGCTGCACGAAACTTCCTGAACCGTTCGACCCTCTCTTCTACACCGTGGCTTCTCTGCCTATGCGAAAGGCGTTGAAGCGATCCGTGAATTGTCTACGCATTTTCTGAGTTCCGTGCAGCTCCTTGCAATCCACTTGATGCCACTTTAGTCGGAAGGCCACGTCCGAACAGCCCTGCAAGCTTGCGAGGCTCAGCGCTACCTATGATGTGACACGCTGCGTCAGTCAGTGCCCAGCTCGCCATTGCTTTTCCGAAGCTGCACGCAAACAAATCATGTAAGCTCTAGACATGCGAAGCGTTGCTTCCGATTTCCGGCTCCGGGCAGCAAATCCCGAATCCCATCATGAACTCGCGCGTTGCAGGCCTCGTATTCCGTCTCGTTGCAGCAACTCCTTCACGGCCTCGTGGTAGGAAATGGAGCCTCCAGCAGTCTGTCGGATTACTTTCAAGACCTCGGGTCGCTGACGGGCCAACCGAATCGATGCATGCCACACTTGGGAGGACGCAATGATCCAAATAAAATCAAATCAAAGATGCTCGCAGAAAATTGCTGCAACAATCGCCAGCCACATTCGATATGAAGCCAATGCTGGCACCCCTGCGATGGCCAGCACTCAGCAACTCGACATATGCGGTTGATCTCCAGAAAAGGTGGACTAATCTGGTACATCTTCAAGTACAAACTGATTCGTCGAGCCCGTATCTGTTGCTTGGATCATGGAACCCATTATGCAGTATATTATGCTGTAGGAATATATATATATATATATATATATATTTGTATACCTGTGCATATTTACACACATACTGTATAGGCCACATATAGCAGTACATCTATATATATATATATGTATACACACACATAAACAGATCTGTATATATATATATATATATATGTTACATTATGTCAAGTTAGTTTCAGATTAATGATGGTGATAGCTACTATTCGCATGGGGTCATAATGATGGTATTAGTATCTTGCTAAAAGCTGTTATAATACCATATCACCTCGAAGTACGATTCATATTCCTTTTTGTGGATAAGGCATGATGAGATATGATCTAATGTAAACAGGTCACATCATAATATGACGATATGCTATATAGCTGTTTTAATGTATCATGCTATAGCCTAGGCATTATATTGCATTGTATTATGTTACTTGTTTGGCAAAGTCCGGTATCACCCAATACATCGCATCCCATCGAACAGTGCGTGTTTTGTCGCACCGTGTTGCATATTGCATTCGTGTTGTATTACTCTATTTCATTCCGTTCTGTTATATCATATCATGATGTGCTATACTCTGTTTCATGTTATTGTGCCGTTTTATATCGGATTACATATTTGGTATTTGATTTGTTAGATGGTGTTGTCTTGTACAATATTGTATTCTATTACATCCCATTCTGTTGCATTCTGTTATGCCGTAGACATTCATGCGCTGTAGCCGCAGCAACAGCAGCCGGGACCTCGCCATCTCTGAATTGCCGAAGGCGGAAGTCGGCAGAGCATCGTGGAGATAGTTGTTGGTGAAGCACCAGGCATAGTGAGCAACCCAGGTTCCAGTCAAACATCCTCATCTCTCGACGCTCACACTCGCACCTCATCTTAGGGTTTTGGGGTTTCGGCGCTCACACGGGGTTTAGGGGCTGTTCGAGTTCGACTGCAGAGCCTCTCACAGAAACTGAAGACTCTCCCTTCCAAACTGGGCCGGGAATGTGTTTTTGGTCAAGGTCGGTCCTGCGGTGCCCCGCCAAAGGCTCAACGGCCGCTTCTTAGCTTCGATCATCAGCAAGGCCAGGCCCTGCTGTCCATTCACTTGCTTGGCCTCAGCGAAGACCCAAAAAAGGGACACATAATGACATGAGGCGTATTCTGCCTTGAACTTTGGATTTTGTGGGTGGCCAGTGCTCAGCTTCAAGATTATTCTCGAGGCTCGTCAGCAACGTACCGTAACCGGCTATATCCTAACACCACCATGTGCGGCGGCACGGAACGTGCGCGTACACCCTGACCAGCTGAGGCCAGGGAGCAGACGGTTGTGGCTCTGGCAGAACTAGGACTCTCGGAATTGTGCTACCGTAATCGGACACAGATTTCATCGGTCTCGAAAGACTTCCGAGAAGTGTCTCTTTGTGAGTGCCTTTGACGGATTTAAACGTGGGAGGCTGCTCAATCACGGTCTGTCGATAAAGAAAGGAAACATTGTCACCAAAGCGATAGTTGTCGGAGAGGAGCAGTGGTGACGTGCAAGGAAGGATGCCGTTGACGCGAAGGATGTCAATGTGCCCTGGACATACCGCATTTCTGTTCCGGCTGGAGCACTCCCCACTTCACTCGCCAAGGCAGTCACGCCCCACAAGTACCTGCGAAGAACACTGCCTCCGAATCAGCATTAGGAGTTCAGGATTGAAGATGGTCGCGAGTCGCAAGAGTTCTAAAGGCCACCCAGGAGAGTAGCAATCGGAGCTGCGCATGAGACAGTCAAGTCGGTCCGTCCCGGAAAGCTGATGTTCCCTACGCAAGGCTCTGCTTCTCCTCCATGAACGTCCCGGCCGAAGCCGATTGCTAATGTCCCGTTGATGGGATCTCCCATGGCCTCTGTGAATCCTTCTTTCGGTGGGCCAGAGCAGCTGGCATTGCGAGCTGCCAGTGCTCCCTCTCTCTGTCTCTGACTGTGGGATTCGTCTACGCACGCAGCACAAGAAGTCTGCTGCGGAAGTCTCTCCGGATCCCCTCGTGCACACCTTTCAAGCATGAATTTGTGAACACATGCGGGCTGGAAGTTGCAGCCTGGGAGCAGTCTGCCACGCATCGAGTGGCATGAGGAGTATCTTCAGACCGGTCGCCGCAGCAGAGGACAAAGCCGCTGTGGCCGTATGAGACACGGAGTAATTGGCCTCAGGGCACGACATCTTCGGTGCGTAGTGGGTAGACCTGCAGGTCGCTGAAAAGAGCGACCCATGATGCCATCTGGATCCTTCGGACTCTTTTGCAGAAGGGAACAATACGCTCAACAAGCCCCGTCACACCCGGATTCTCAGATCCCAGCTGTGACTGAGAGAAGACCTTCGTTAACTGCCAAACCACCTCGGTTTCTCACGAATAGTCTCTTGGAGCACAGTGCAGAGAGCCAATTTAATCAAGACGTTGCGAGCTGCCGAATCGTAGGACTGGTGATTGCAGCAGCGCAGGGACGACACCTTCCATGAAGTCGCGTCTGTGGTCTTTGTGGCGTCTAACAACCAATTTTCGGTGTGTTGATCCCCAGGAGATGCAACCATGACCGGTCAAGATGCCCAGAAACGAAGAAAAAGGACGATATAGGAGTCAGGCAAACTTGTCACCGGCAAGCGAGGAAGTTCAGGAAAGCCCAGGAGCCCAAAACGTCAGCCTGCCGACCAATAATGAATACATGGAGGCAACAGGGACCCGCGACCAGCAAAGCAAACACGTTGGATTCTGTCTGAACATAAACTCAACTCGTGGTCTTCGGACAGCGAGACATCCAATGCAGTGGAGAATAACTGCCAGGCAGCCGGATTGCAAAACCGTGCCCCCCTCCCCCCACCAGGCATGTAATGTTCGAGACTTTCTACCGGAGCCGACCTCGGTAAAAGCGACGTGGACCACCTTCTGCATATAATCTCCGAGCAACATCTAGCACTCGACCACCGTGCCGGTATTGGTAGTTCGTCACGGTTCGCCTGGGATGAGGGATGATGGGGGCTCTTGACTGGAGTCGCCTTGCAGGGTGCCCTGGTGGTGTCATAGTTTGATGCTGGTTATCGGCTCAACAATCTGATGCAAGTAGTGCTCTACTCTGCCAGAGCTCGACTTCCTCGCAGCTCACCGCACCGGAAGACTCAGCTCTGCCAGCCGGGGCACATCCACATAAAGGCTGGAACGCAGATGGCCTGGACCATGGCTGCGGCGACTCCGCCACGAAGTGCGCTGGCGGAAGCTTTGTCCATGCAGACCCTGCAGAACAACAGGAAATGAAGAGATTTCGTGTCAGCAGAAACCAAATCAAGTGGCCGCATCATCATGCACCCCGGCCTGTCCGTCTGAAAAAAACACATTGTAGCAAAGAGCTTCTTCCACTGCCAGTGGACTTGGGCAAACGCTGCGGCGCGCATCCAAAAGCCCTGACTTTCCAGTTCGCACGTCAAAGCACGACCTCACTGTTTCGATGCTTGTGCACCAAGACTCCGGCATCGTGTGGCAGCAGAACAAACATCGCGGCACCGGGATCGTCCAGCAAAGCAGCTTGCAGCAATGCCACCTCCAGAATTCCAGGGGTATCCGGGGAACTTCCGATGCTATTTCCCACTCGACCGTCAAGAAAAGCTTCCACGCTTTCCTGTCGACTTCATGAAAACACACAAATACCCAACAAACATCCGGCAATGCCTCGGCAGCCATCAGCTCGCACCAGCCAGTCGCCACCTCCGCTAATTCAATCCCTCAGATGCTTATCGTCTTGACACGTTCAGAGCCTGGCATTTTCTCTGTTCTGGACATTAACGCATCTTCTTTCTGTTGTACTCTTGTGTGTTAGCTACAACATGTCAAAGCAAATGGTATACCTTCTGTGGTAAACCTCTTTTCTGACTACAGTATGTTATAGGCCCGATGTGTGTGGAGACACTTTTCCTAGCATGCATGCTCAGGTTCTTTGATACCGACGTACCCACCTGCCCACGTTCACAGGCGTGCAAACCACTGGTAGTTGTGATTCTAGCTTTGGAACAGCATGTGAAGATATCCGTTGAGATAAAATACAAAGCTCAGCTTGATAGGAGCAGATTTAATTGAAACGTGATGCTCGTTGCCAACTTGCTGATCTTGATTGGAACCCCCCAAACCCAAATCCGCCCATCTCCCTTGAGTATTCATTGAAGGCAGTCACCCTTAACAATCGGACCCTCCAAAGAAACCGCAATGCCCTTGAAATCCCTTCATAAGCAGATAGATACCTAATAAAGCAGCTCCCAAATATGAGGATTCCAAGACATCCCTGAGACTCGGATTCTTTTAATTTGGGGGGCCCGGCCGGAGGGATGATCTTCCGAGCCCCTGGAAGCGCCTCTCGGGATCACGGCTGGGTGTGTCTCCCTGGAAGTTCATATACTACTATAATATACTAGAATGTACAATAACAGGCTATAATGTACTATAACATACTCTTTGAGGAACTGCCCTAAGCCCTTTCTGCTACCTTAACACTAAACCCTAACCGCCCGCCGCCCACGGTTGTATTTGGGGAGCCGGGGCCTCCAAATCCTACCTCACTGCCCATGTATCCGAGGTGCCTGGAGTTCTTTCACAACTTCTGGTCCTGCACAGGGGGTTTTGTGCTACCGGTGGCAAGAGCTTGAAGGTCAAAGAGCGGGGCTCGCCTGCTGCCTGCAAGTCGGTCACGTGAAAGTACAGAGAAACACGCGGCTGTTCGGAGCCGCCTTGCCAGTCAGGATGCGCAAGCAGAAGCGTCTCAATCAAGCTGACAACTATCAGATGAATATAGATGGACATTGGTCCGCCTGTCATGCCAGTTTCCGGCTGCAGCCACCTGGACATCCCAACGAAGTAACATCACTGCATGATCTTTTGCGTCAAAGGGCACTCATCACAATGCAGACCTCGCTTGGCCTTCGCCAAACCTCTATCTCCACCAAATGTGTCCGCAGCATGAAGAGAAGCGCCAAGCGTCGCTCCTGCGCGAAGCTACAGGCATCGAGCCGCAGTTTCCGGAAGCGGGGACGGACAGCCGTTCTGGCTTCGTGTCCTGGGACGTCGCCTGTGTGTCCCGCGTGGGAGAGGCCTTCTTGCCACAGGCAACGAAGCTCAGAACGCAACAAGTTAACTATTGGGAGAAGTAACAATCTCTGGCTAGCTCCATGCAACTTCGCAAACATCATCCAGAACCATGCAACTAGCCTCTGCATGGCAGTTTGCTTAGGCGAGGCCCAAGCGAGTTGATCTGGCTTGACGCGTTTCACAAACCTCCAATGTGCCAGGGTCCAGGCCCTTGCAATCTCAATGGCCAGCTCGATGTCCTGCGTTTGGAAGGGAATTTGACATACATCCGGCACAAGGTTTAGGTGTATACCCGAGTTGACAAGTGAAGAAGTGGTGATCTTTAACATCCCTCCTCTTCTTGGCTGAAGTTGCCCGATACGGCATGCCACAAGCGATTCTTTCGCTTCGAAGGTCCGAGAGTATTGGCTCGACACCGATGGCCAACGTACGACAACGTACTGTCTTCGCCAGGGTCAGACCCGGCCTTCCGAGAAAAGTTAAGGCGATCTCCCCTTCCTCTGCCCGACCAGATCATGTGTTCTGAAAGCCTTGTCGAGGCGGATTGCTTTCACAATCGGTTCCGGTTTTGCGAAGTGCTTTCTTTCGGGGACTGTGGCTGATTTCAGGCTGCTAGACTTATTGCAGAGAGTCTCCTTGAAGTGGACATTCTCCGTTCGCGTGAACAGCTTGCGGCCGAAAGAGTACCAGGCTGTGAACAAACACAGGTGCAGCGTTGCCAAGCACACCTGCAATGGGACTTCGACTCTGACGGTCAAACTCTAAACAAAATCACGTTCAGAACTCTGAAGTAGTGTTGCAATCTGAGGCTGCGACCACAAGTGCAAGCAGTGCAGCTGTTGCCAGGCAGCGCATCTCGATGCATCCCGAGTCATCAGCAACTTGTTTCGGCAGGCATCGTGTATTACTACATAGATCAAGGAACTCTTTAATGCCTCTTCGAGATCTGACTCGTCCGTGAGCCTTGCGATATCAGAAGTTGCGAAGAACTAAGATTCTAATCGACTCAGTAGTACGCTGCAGTAATTTGTTTTTCAGCAAGTGGCGGGAAGTTGCTTTGAACTGCTCTTCGAATCGTCATAAGTTTCTGAACCTGCTGGTACAGTCAGTGTGCGCGCTCAAACCAACTGGCTGTTGCAGCAAGAATCGCATCGTCTTGAAGCCGCACGCCATATGGAAAGAAACAGGCCGAGAGAATCACGATAGACACGGTGAGAGAGGGGTAGCGAGAGCTAGAGAACGCAAGAGAGAGGGACAGGGAGGGAGGCAGGCAGGGAAGGAAGATAAGACAGAGAGCGAGACAGAGAGGGAGTGAGAGTGGGCCTACACCGCTCTCCCTTCATATGGGTGGTTCCGCACCACTGATGTCAAGGCTGCGGAAGAGCGTCGAGGCATCCACCTCGTTGCAGAAGTCAGCTCCGTGCACACGGGTCTGAGAGATGCTTCTGCATGCCGCAAGCTTCGACGGTGTCCTGTGTTTGGTGGATAATTATGACCTCTTCATTGGACCAAGGAATGTGTGTAGGACCGGTAACCTGGCAGCTTGTAGCAGCTCTAGCGTAGAATGACTGCTCTGACAAGCCTTTCCAAGACGTAGGCCTTTTTGTGGAATCTTTCCGTGATGCATCTTTCGCGGACGAGACGATCGATGATAGAATGTAGTTGATGAAGTGAGGGCTTTCTCGAAGATGCGTTGTCTGCTTTGTGCTGCTTCATGTTCAAAGCTCTCGTTTGTCTTGCATCAAACTCTTCAGGCCGTCTGGGGGAGGAACTATGAATGCTTCTATAAGCGACTCGGCTCTCGGTTGGCTTAGCCACTTCGAAAAACACGAGATTAGACTGCTTGAATCGCCCATAATTGCCCACAATATGGGGAAACGGCATACTTGTATGATTCGTGATGCAGGCATGAGGCAAGTAGAAGATGCATCCAATTCTTTATGCACGGGTAGTTTAAAGCGACCTGCAGCAGGCATGAATGGACCGCAAATACTGTAGGCATGTTGCAGGTCCGCGAGCGCTCAACGGCGTCTGCAGGCCTTAAGTTAAGGACCCTAAACTATTGGAATTATGGTATTTTCGTTAGTATGGGCAATGCAGGATTTATATCAAACCGTACCATGCTTCGTTCTAGAAAGCATCCGTCCCTTTTTGATTCGCGCTACGTTTGGCGACGTTCCTGCACAGCTCATGCGTGCACGACGTGGGGCACTTGCAAATGGCTACTCGGAACATATATTCGAGCAGTGTGCGGGCTCTCCATTGCTGGAGTCCCACAGTTCTGCCCGTATCTGCAGCTGCCTAAATCATGTACAACCCAACATAAGCCGCATCATCACCATGAGGCTTGCAATTGCAAATCCTTGCCCCCCGATGCAGACTCGTCGCACTTTAGATGCGGCTCGTGTGTCGGCAGCCGACAGTGAAAAAAAAGAAACGGTGTTGGAAAGGAGAGCAAGGCTGTGCTAGTCGAGGCAGGTCGGTGGGCGATTCTATCAAGTTGGGTTGCTCATGAACTGCAAGGGCTGCGATAGTGTCAGTGAAGTTCGCACAGAGTTGGACCCTTCATCCAACTAGCAGTTGCATGGGCTATCCATGTCTGTGGCTAGTTGCGGCCTGTTTCGGCAAGTGGTGGATTGGCGCTCGGCCCGTTGAAATCTTGTTCGGGCACCTGGCAGCCTTCCAAGAACGTGAACTAATCATAATCGTTTCGACGTGCGGTCTTCCCTTCAGCTCGGTTCTGCTGACTTTTCTGCTCCAGTCTTCAAACAATAATGAGTCATGAGCCTGTAGGATAACCGCAAACACTTCAATTGGGCGTGAAGACTCCGGAAGCAGAACTGACCATGTCAAGTTTCCTTCTGGGATCTTGTGGGCTGAAGTTACAGTTTCCGGAGATGTCCTGAATCCTAGGTGCGCAAGCTGGATGTCATCAATACCTGCGCCGCGCCGCAGTGAAGCACTCGCAGCTGCCATCTTAAGACGTCTTGACGGCCGGCAGTCAAGCGAAGTCCCCTGCCTGACAGCACCATCAGGCCACGGGGTCCAGCTCAAAAGGCCCACACCTTTCTTCAGTCTGCAGCCAACTTTAAAACAAAACCTGCCAAGTCTTCTCAGCTTCTGGGCTCGGAGCGTGTACGCGATTGTCCAACCCGTAGCCTAAAGGGCTGAGCGGCTCCTGGCCGTGGCTCGGCGCTTTCATCCGAGCTGGGGGCGGCCAGTGACGCACAAGGATGGGTGCCGTGTTCGGAATCTGGGAAGCTTCAACTTCAAAAGACGATTTCTGACTCAGTCTAGCCCTCCTCTTGAAGGCTACGGGATTTCTGGTATAACAGCGGGTAGGTACAATGGCAGAGCGCAAAGTCCAAGAGTGGCCTCGATCAGCTTTCCGAAGCTCGGATTGGAGACCCGTCGCTTCACTTCCTCTGACCTCCGAGCCGTTTCAGAGCTCATCGCCGGGAATCGCAGCAACAGTGAGAAAGGAGGTGTGCAACAATCCAACCGCCTGTGCGCAGGCTCAGACCACCCGGACTCGTCACGTCCACTTAGATGGACGTTTAGATCCGGCCAGTACCAGGGCGTCTGCACGGGCAGGAAGGCCTCGCTGCAACTTCGGTTCAGGAAGTCCTGTCGCATCGTAAGCTCCTAGACCCGTGCATTCATCAGGTTCTAACAAACTTGCCTAGTGGTAAAACCTCACTCTGAGATGCTCACAGGTTCGAAGCGCTTGTACTTCGGCTCAGGCTGCAAGCCTGGCGAGCTGAGTCTCACTGCACAGATTTCGCAGTCTCGCCGTCAGACTTTTCCGACGATGCCACAAGCCTGCCTTGGGACCGCATCAAGGAGCTGCGGCTTCCTTTGTAATTGTCAATAAAGGACACCGTGTTGAAGAGTCGACGTGCAGCTTGTGGTTCAGATATGTTCAGATTTGCTGAGTCTCAGGCGACCGAGTTTGAGCCACCTGAGGAACCAAGGTCTTTGTCCTTTGCGAACCATGTCGGCGAACTCCTGCGAGGAGCCATCATGCCGGCCCATTTACATTACATGTTGGCGACATCTCTCTGGACTCATGTGCGACATCGTGCAAACATCTCACGGAACGATAGCACAAGTAGTTTCAGGAAAGTTTGGTTCCCAAACAAGGTAGTGTGATAAAACACTATGAGGTGCTACCTTTGGGAGTAAAGGGAAGTGGTTACTGTAGCTACCCAGCGCTATCTCTGAGAGGTTCCCCCGGGCGGATTTCTCAATTCAAGCGTTTGAAGGCCGCCCGTACTTGAGGGAAGCATCTGCGATTATCTGAGCCATGTTCCTGAATCGCAAGTGCACCGTGGTCTAGAATGACTCCAGTAGTACATGGAGGAGAGCATGGTGATCGTCTCTCTGGATTGGCAAATTTCATGGCGAATTGCGACCGATGACATTCTGAAGCGGCGCAGCCTTCTCAGAGTAGCCAAGCTCCGCCAGCGCGCCAAGATGGCCTCGGCATTTGCGGTTGGCCCCGTCGGGCTTACGCACTTATTGTGCATCTGCCCGCCCTGCAGGCATAAACCACAAATGCGTCCTGGGGCTGAAAGTCTCATGAGACAGTAAAATGACATCTTCTGTCCCCATGCCTGAGGCAGCAGCAATCATGCTGGATATCGTTTACCTGGCGCACGTGATTCAGGAACGCCATCTCTGTCTCTCCTGGCTGCGGGCTGTGGGAGCGCCAGGCTTTCTGCGTGTGATCTGCAACAGAAGTTTTGCTTGCCATGCCAAGGTTATTTGTCTTCTGCCTATGACCGGTTGAGTGCATCTGAACATTCTCCATCGTTTTCGCGAGCCCATGTTCTGTCACTGCTGATTTGATTGACAGTGCCGCTTCTGCACAGCTCGCACTGAAGACTTGCGAACGGCAAGACGAAGCCCAACCCTGACAGCCTATGGAGGCGTGCTCACTGCACCTCGGCGCTTGAAACACAGGGAGGCTGAGTTAACGGGTTCAAAGACTCCTCGTTGGCCAGTGGTGCCGACTGCTGAAGCATAACAGCTGCGCGGCGTCTGGGTGAACTTTTCTAGCTGTCTTTTGGCTTTTGATGGCCGAGGCTTCTGCAGGATGCCACGCAGGACGTCGACATAGGCGCGCTCGGCGGCATCTGTGTTACAGCTGCACAATAACCTGGCACGGGACCAACATCGCACAGACAACAGTCCTCATTGTCGCCGTACTTTCATCTGTCTGATAAGTCTCACGACTTCTCATAATGAACATCTGAGCTGCGCCTATCGAACTTCCAGTTCAGCCCTTCAGCGAAGAGCTCCTGCGCGGCCATGTTCGATACAAGCTGTTCGATGGAATGCAACGGCACCATGGCCTGCAGCTTGTGCTTCAAAGCTGGCCTCAGATTTTTTCCGGCAGTGGTGAAATGAAGCCCTTGGCATTTGCTGACTTAGCTGCCGGCTTGGAGGACAGGTATTCGTTCAGCTCGGCAGCGTCCCATTCAACCGCGATAGAACTCGGCAGGTGTGCCAACAAGCATGCCAACGACATTGCATTTTGAACCCAGGCTCAAATCCGGCATCAGCTGGGAATCGACAGCTAGCATGACTACTGCATGTCAGCAAACCACCGCAGCCACTCCGAGTTTCAAAGATGGAGCTGACAAGAACATTACATTATGCGTCTTCAAACGACATTGCAACAAAACCGAACCAGTTGGCCATGACAGCTGGGCAAAACATATGTTAACATTCCCTACTAACAGCATGCAGCTTGCCATCAAGAGGCTTCTTGGAAAACACGGTCGTTACCTGGCGGCCACGTGACTTGATGGTCTTGGGAATATGGTACTTTCCCGCAATTGCCACGCTGCACACATCTCTGCAACAGTCTTCAATGCTTGCTGAAGGCGCCTGCTGCTGTTTTCTACCCCTTATGTCCTCTCCGCACTGTCTCTTTCGAATTCCGCTGCCTTGTGCTTCACACCAGTGTTGCGAGCTCGCTCCACGAGCTGGAACTCACCCCAAAAGTCCCCTGGCCTCAACGGCACGGCACGGCCATCAAACTAGCTCTGAAGTCCGATGGTGCTCGGGCGCCCGGCGCTATGCTGGCAATAGCTTTCCCTCCCTGCATCTGAACGATTCCTGCAAGCAGCTTTTATTATCTGCCAGCCTGGCTTTGATTCCGAGATACTCAGGATTATAAGCTTCTCAGTTGCTCTTTCGACGTGGCTTCACAGGCTAACCCCGCTCTCCTTGATGGGTCTTGGCCTAGGTTGCGTCACCTGCGAATGGCAGAGTGCTTGGGCGACCAAGGCGTGTGTCGAGATCCCGTGTTGCAACATCCCCGCAGAGTATCCCGAGAGCCTGAGAGCCACGAAAAGTTTTGGGGATCATGAATCGGCTCAAAAGACTTGGCCCGGCAGTGCGTTGTCCTCCTTTGGCCAGCGCGATGACTTTCTGCACCACAGGCATGCCGGCTTTCGCCACGACCTGCCAAGCATGCGTTTGGAAGCGACGGAGCTCCGTGCCCGGGTACTGGCGCCAGCTCAGGTACTTGGTCCGAGGATTTCCCTTGCCTGGGGTTGGTCTACAGAGGTCCAAAAGGTGAACGGCCCCACCAAGTCAAGCGTGCCCGCAGCTGCCATGCCCTCCTCTGCACTGTATCGCTTCCCCTGTGCGAGCAACTCGCGTAGCTCGACCTCCACAGGTCTGTCAGCCAAGGAATTCTTCGAGAATTTCTCAGAGCTGAAAGCCTTGGTCAGGAACTCGCTGAAGCCAGCATCCCACAACATCTGCTCTACCTCGTCTAGCTTGAGGTCACGTCCTTGGACACGAGGCACGCAGGGGGTTCGAAAGTAAATTCAACGTGGCTGTATGACATTTGCTGAGATCCAAGCGGTGCATTAAGATTTTGCCTATGTGGTAGGCATTGATCGCGATGAACAACAAATTGAAACCTTGGGTGTGGCGTTTGATCTGTCTTATCTACGTGGCCATCGCCGCCGAACAAAAACATCCATCCAGCCGAGGATTGGGCGAACCGGAACCATCAAAGGAACCGGTTGGCAGAACCTTTGTCGTCCAGACAAAACTGCGAAGGACACTCACGCAAAGGCGATGTTTTGATATGCTTAGCGAGTTGCAGGAACACCGCCATGGATGAAGCGCATGCCACCCCGAAGCAACGCAGCAGCAAAACCTCAGCCAGCTTCACAACTCCAACGAGGCCTCCTCTGTGTCCGGTTTATCTTCGCCGGCTTATGAGCTGTATGCAGTGCATGCTGGTGACAACACGGGTTTCGTGCCGAAGCTTCTAGACACGGGCCCCATTCGAGCACTTGCTGTCGCATCTGGATGTTTTCTTTCATGCACTGGTCTTTTCTTTCGCAGTAATATGATGGTCATATTTGGGAACGCTGTGCGACCGCCAACGCAGTGCAGGGAAGGTGCATCATCCATGCACCACTGGACGGTCAGCAGCACCTCGGAGTACGGCCAAACATACTGGAGTGACAACCTTCGCCGAGAGGACTGTCGGAATCTTTTTCTCCGTGCAGCATGCCGCCACTGTGTCTAAGGAGAATACGAAGCACAACGGCTGGGCGAATGGTTGTAGTATCCTTAAGGGAGGGGGGTCCAGGGGGGGTATACAGCCTAGTGATCCCTAATTCTCCCTAATACTCCCTAAGGCCCTAAGGTTCCCTTACAGTCCCCTAAGGATTCCTTATACCCTCCCCCCTTGAACCACCCTCCAAAATGGCATGGGCCTCCATGAACCAAGTGCGGGGCGTAACCGCCAAAGCCAATGGCTTTGGAGTGCTGGTGTCCCCAGTTCCGGAGTCGCTGCAGCAATGTTTCTGCTGGAGCGGCCCCCTGCAAAACTCTTCAAGCATCTCTTCCTCTTCACGGGCCATTGGAGGGGTTCGAAAACTGAAGGTCCGCTCCGTTATGTAAAGGAAACGCATCAACAGTTTGCCTGGTCTGTCCTTATCTCTCAGAGGGCCCTGGACCCAGGCCCTTACTCCACCCCCTTCAGCCGCTGTTTGCAAGAATCGGACCCGCCTCGCGCAGCCTCCACGGACTACCTGCGGCCCCGGTGGGGCGCCGCGACCGAGGCGCCGAGACCTTTCCAGGTTGTCTAACGCGTTTGGGATTTCCAGGGTTTGATGGAGTTTAGCAGCTGTGGGGCGTTTTTGGTGGGCCACTGCGCCGCGTGTAATCTCTGACTCGTTATGTGCCTGGCTGCGCAAGAACCGCAGCTGCACAGCTCGCGAAGCCCTAGGCGCAAAGCGCCCCATCAGCCTGGAATTTTTGGGGATCTAAATGCGGCTCTTGGATTATTGCACGGCTTCCGTGTGGGACTGGCTCGAAGCTTCGAGCTGCACTGGGCTTTGTCGCAAAAGGCCCAGGACAGGGTCCTGCGGCTGAGCCCCTGACCGCCATTGATACGAACACTGCATCCGTATCCATTCCACGAGGCCTGCTTGCTGGCATGCAAGAATAGTAGTACAGAGGCTTCTCAGAATATGGATTGTCGGGGCGGGTGCAGAATCCACAGTGCATAAACAACAGTCTGCAGCGACGAGACTGGGCATTTGTTCTCTTGGAGAGTTGTCTTGACAAGCTCCCGCTGCTGTATGCTGCTGTAAGAGCTTCGCCCTGACAGCTTCTTCGCGAGCGTTCTGTGCACGTGCGTCTTCCTTCAAGGCTCATCGGAAACTATGCCTTTTGCGGCACTTCTGAAGACATCGTGCCATGGTAGAAGATGCACACTGGTGTCCCGCATGCATGTGCTTGTCACATGCAACTGGAGATCATGTTCGTTAACATAACGCGGAAGCCGGTGCAAGAGGCTTTGCGATAACCAGGGGCCTTTGTAGTGCCTCTCGTGATTATATAAGCCGGGTAAGCCGTATCTCAGTGAATTTGCTCTTGTCCCGGAGGAGCCAGGAAATAGGCTCCAAAAGAAGTGCCGGCTCTGGCCAGGCACTCTCCCCACTTGGATTTGGCTGTTATGCTGACAACATGCCAATTAAACTTTTACACTCTTGCGCCGCTGGGGAATTCCAAGATCCAGAGACCTTGAACACGTCTCGAGCTTCCTTGTACGTAGCAAGAGCAGCGTCCAACTGACCCTGTGAGCGCAACACGTGGCCGACATTGACTAGAAGAGAAGCACCGTGGGCCGTCTGGAAAGTGCCAATCGACTCCTTGGATAGAAGGCCCTGCAGTCCTCTTGTGAACTAGATGCAGCCGTGCAGGCACGTTGCTGTGTGAATGCAGAGAAGCCGTGATTTGTTCAGATGCCCTGAACTTCGGGACTCTTTCGCAAGTGCAGGCAAGCCTCCATGACTTGTCGCGACTCGGAGTAAAAATCCAGGGCTCCTGCCAAAAGTTTTGGGACTTGAGCTTTTCCAAACTAGACTAGACCCACTCCACTGGATGCTAAGACAATCCCAGCGCCTTGAAAGTCAAGCTGCAGGCGGCGAATGTGGCCAATGCTGGCCAACAAAGCTGCATGCTGCGGAGAGTCCAGCTGCTCGCTTGTGCAAAGAACCTGGTGAGCCTGCTAGCAGTGCATGCGTGCATGATTTAACCGGCTGAACCTAAGAGAGACGGAGCGCTCATTTGCAAAACATTTCGAAACCAGCAGACTTGCAAACAACAGCGTATCAGCTGGTCCGTGGCATGCATTCGTTTCAACCGCTGGGCCTGTTCATAGCTGACGAGCGCGCCAGGCAAGTCTTGCCGCTCACGCTGGATGTGCCCAAGAGACCTCATGCACATGGAGGGAGTGCCCGATGCTCTGATCAACACAAACGGCGAAGGTAGCTGAATGCCGTGGTCTTGCTGCAGCAGAGCAGCTGCAGCAGAGCGCCGCCATCGTAGCTGGAGAGAGTGTTGCAGGCCTCGTGGGCTTGTAAAGCCTGCCAGGATCTGACGTGTCTCTTTTTGCCCTCTTGAACTGCGCACATGGGGGTTTCCGAATATAGGGGACCCTGATATAGTACCCAAATTAGTAGGATCCTTGTTATAAGGAACCCCAATATAAGGTACCCCTACTTTCGGAAACTCCCATATCTCTACTGGTATCCGGCGCCTGGTTGAAGAAAGACTCGGCCGCCTCTAGGTCTTTGCTTTGCAACTTCACATGACCTCAAAGCCCCCGAAAACTTTCTTGCCGTCAAGGCATCACCGGCATAGGTTTCTGATATCTGGTCTTAATTACGCAGCTTCCCCACGCATCCAGAAAGGCTCGATCGCCTTGCAGCTGAGGGTCCAATCCGCGTGCAGATCTGCGCAGCTTCCAGGGACTCTAAGCTGCCAGCTTCCTGTAAGATGTGATATGCTTCGAAGAGCAGCCGCGCCGCCTCGTCCAGGTCTCCGCGCTCCTTCTATAAGGATGCAGGACCAGAGGCTAAGATGTTGCAATTAGTACAAGTATGGAGGGTTGGGTTTCCCTGCAGAAGCCTGTTTCCGAACCTGCAACGAGCGGCTCGTGCCACATGGCCCTTCGCACCCAGCAAAGCAGCACGTAAAGAAGGATCCGACTCGCAGCTTGCTTGCAGCACATCAGCAGCACGCCTCAAGTGCACAGCTTACGACGTCGATGGTACTCTTGGCGCTGCCTTCAGCTTCTGCTGGTGTCTAGGTCTAGATGAGCGTTGACTGAGCCAAATAACGGGCCCCACACAGCTCACGTTTATGTACGGTTCAGTTTTGCATCAAACTGGACTGCAGAGTCTTTGGCTGAAACTAGCAAGTGCACCCCAAGGACATTTACAACCGGGATGGGTCAAGAGGCTGCAGCAACCCATCCGCAGTATCGAGGTTGCCCAGGGATCGAAAGAGCTCCGCCACCTGCATGTGGCACACTGAACCCCGAAACTACCTGTCTATCTATCTACCCAATAGCCAGTGTACTCTATGTCTCTATGTAAATGTATGTCCACAGACAACGACGACAAACAACCGCAGGCGAGTGCACGCGTATGTGCCCATTGCGAGGAATGCATGCCTGCTTAGACTAAGCCCAGTAACGTGCAAAACATGCTCATTGTTCGTTCCGGCCGTTCTCAAGGCAAGCGCAGTATGCACTTCCACAGAGGTGGTGCCTCTGCCTGTGCTGCCATTTCGTTCAAGAAAATCTCTGCTGCAGCAACAACGACGATGAATTTCTATGCGCAGCGCCGATCTTCTTTGCCTTTTGAGTCTAGGTTGAGTACCACCTCGGAAGTATGTGGATACACCAGAGTGGCCAACAGGACTATGGTCTTCCACACTCGTGGCAGGTTCGTTGAACGCAGTCACAGTGATGTTCCGTCCTCCTCTGCAATTCGGAACTTCATGATTCAGTGTGTGCCGCAGAGCCCCCCCCCACCGCACACCTGAAGGCAACCTTTTGCCAGCTCGGCTGAGCTGGTGCTTTCCATCTGCCTCTGGATCTGCTCCTGGGCCATTGAATGAAGACAAGGGAAACTCAAGTCTATGCGGTTGAAGGTGCAGTCGCACACAATGAAGAATCTGTGACCGGAGGGGCACATGGGCAACGTCTGCAAACCAGCTCTGAAGCTTGTGGACCACACTACCTCAGCGGCCAAGTTGATCGGACAGGGTGTGTGATTTGCGCCTAGGGCTTGTAGAAACGAGCTGTGCCTCCTTGTGCTTCAACCCATGTACAAGTAGCACCTTTACAAGCCCGACACCCGGAACAAATGAACGAACCGCCAGATCATGTCATCGTCATCAAGCAAAACTTTCGTTCGACAAAAACCAAGGGCAGCCCAAAGCAGGCCAGCACCTCGAACATCTGCATGTTCTTCTTGTGCACAATGCCAAAATGACGAGCATCAGGGTTTGTGAGCCACCGTCGTGGCAAACACTGCTCCAACCAAACAAGTCATCATGGTTCACCCAAGGAAAGCTTGTGTCACCAGTCTCTTCATTTACATGCCCACACCAGGTCGTAGCCAGGGGGCGATTTAGCTCGGAGAATCCTGGGCTGTGCTCCACAAGGCGGAAGATCATATCCCGATCCTCGGTGACGGAGGCCTGCGCCTGGCAAAATCTTCAGCTGCGATGTGCTTCATATGGGACTTTCCGAAAATAGGGGATCCCAATATAGGGCTGCCGGATGAAGAAAAAATGAAAAAGGATCAAAGAGAACATACAAATTCAAGGATCAAAACAAAAACAAAAAAGGATCAATCAAATAGTAAAAATCGCGAACCCAGGCTGTCACGGCTGTAACACTGCGGTTGCGCACTACAATTGCCATCCTGCAAGTGCCACTGCGTCTCAGGGCTCGAGGTGATCGATGCCGGCAACTGGTGTTTCTGGCGGTATGTTGTAAAAAGTATGATGGAAGCGCAAGACGTGCTCCGGAGTCCGAGCGGCGGGTGTTCTCTGATTCTTGCATCTATCATATGTCAAGCTCTGACTTCGTTTGTTCTCTCTTCTTTCTTTCGCCAGGGCTATGGCGAAGGGGAAGTTCCCCTACGCCGCGCGCTTTGTGCGCCCCCGACAGTTGCGGGTGGCAAGAGGTTGCATGCTTGCCCTCGCCTCCTGCTGCCCTCAGTGTTCAAGGGCTTCTCAAGGCGACTGCACTCCGGGAAAGACACGGAGCAGTCAAAGCAGATAAATCACAATGCGGCAGTCATATGAGGGATTACACAGTAAGAAAGATTGGGGTTTCCCCAGAGTTGTGTGCGAATGCTGTCGGGCATTCTGCTTCAGAAATTCAGGTCAAGAAGGCTAAGGTCGGGTCAAGTAGGGTCGGGCATCTCATGGGGAGCCTGAACTGAAACAGCAGCCTGCTCTTGGGGACGTCTCCCCGTAAAGGCCAAAGTTACACTTTGACTAAACTGTTTGCGTACCTTGATTTGTCACCTGGCTTTGTTGTGTAGAAGCAAAACAGCGACGACGGAAACAAAACAAGAAGATAACCCATACAATCACCGAGCACGCCAGGGCTGTGACGTCTGCTATGCCAGAAAGGTGGGGTCTTGTCACCCAGTTCCCAGAAAGAGCGCATATTATCACATGGGGCGTCCCCCAGGAACTAAGGCAGTGGGAAGTTTAGTGAAACTGCTGAAGTGCCCCTTGGAAGGACAAATAAGATCAAATGGGACAAAATAGGGACAAAGTCTTGAGGACTTCAGCTACGGAAAGGGGGTAGCCCCCTCCTATCCAGCGATCTGCTTCCTTGAAAGTTCAGAAGACTCCCCGCTAGAACCAAACGTACCCCGGTCACAGGCTCAAGCACAAAGGCGTAAGAGCTGAAAACACAAAAGCATGATCGAGCTGGAATTGTACGGTGGATTTACCGTTAGCACATATTGCCTAAGACCTATTGGTGTGCAGTTGCCCGGGCTCACAAGGGTGACAGCAGAACAAGTAACAGGAAACCATGCAAATCATCATGATGCCTCGGGTCGGTGTTCTCTCTTCTCTCTCTCTCGCTCTCGCTCCGACTCCCTCTGTTGCGGTCTCCTCCTCCTCCTCCTCCTCTCCCTTCCTTGCTTCCTTCACTCTTTCTTTCGCTGCACGGGCTGAGAGCTAGCCAAGTGAGACAAGAGATGCACCCCTAGCACTCGAGCTAGCTAAATTCAACCTCAACCTCAGCTTGAAGAGAGATCCGCTCTCTCTCTCTCTCTCTCTCTCGCTTTCTCTCTCCCGGGCAAGGGGAACGTGCGAGGTTCCCCGGGCCGAAAGGCCCACCCATGCATTCATGAGCGACTCTTTGGAGGAACTTCTTCTTCCACAGGGCATAGGGGCTTGTCAAACCCCCCGGCCTCCAAGTCCCCCACATGTTGTGGGGCTTTGAGGGCGTTGTGAAGATTGCCGGGGTGTAAATACGTGTAGCGAACAGGTTTTATGCATGGAGGTGAAAGTGCTTTTTCCCGGTTCGTATGACACTTCGCAAAAACTGACGTGTATTCCCGCATCTCAGAAATGAAGACTACCAACACAAGTAAGTTCCCACGGGTACACACCTGGGATCGTTGCAGACCTGCCAATAAGCATACAAAAGCAATTCGAGCGAGGCCGGGCTGAGCATACATTAGATTACTTGTCAAGGCCCGAGTTTCGAATCCAAAGCCAAACAACAAACGGTTTACACCAATTCCCCAAGGCCCAGGCCTTGGCATGGAGGAACCTCTCTCTCCCCCTTTCTTTCTTTCGTCGTCCCTCTCTCTTCACTTCACTTCACTTCATGGGGGATGAGTCTCTCGCGCAGACCCGGGCCCAGGTCCCCTTTTCCCCCTATCATGGTGGAAGAGGTTTTGGGGTCGTCAGTGGTCGGGTTTGCGCCCTTTGGTCGGTTTGGGAGGTAGAGTGCGTCTGTCGGAAAAACCCCCAACCATGAACTTTATCGGGCCTCCGGCCTCATCACCGCGCCGGTTGAATTATCCCTCTTGTTGGGTGAGTATGACTGGAAGCGCAGGCACTGAATTAGACATCGCCGACATCATCCGAGGAATTTCCCGGGAGTGTTGATACAGACTTGAGAGGTGGCCTTCTGCAACTGCGTCTGAGCCAGAGTGCGCCACTGCTCCTGCACCGTAAAAACTGACTCCGATCAGACGAGGCACTCCTGCGCAGAAAGAATGACAACGCACACTATGCAGTTTCCATGAACTCCTGCAAACCGGAGCCATCGAACACTGCCCGGGTATAGCTTTCTGCCTGTCGACATGGCGCGCTTAGGCAATAAGGATGGCTCTTGTTCCCGAAGTCTTCTTGGCTGTCGCTGAAGTTGGAAGATTTCAGCGGGTCGCCACTCCATGAACAATCCCACCTCACCTCTGCAGGAGGCATGACGATCTCTAGGGTGCAGTCCTGAGTCGTGGCACACGGTAGAGTCCTTTGAAAGTGCGTGTCGCTAGACCTTCGTGTGGATGGGGCGACGACCTGAACTCCCATCTCAAGGCCAAGACTCGGGCTGCTCCGAAGCAGTATGGAGTTCGAAGACGCACCAAGCCTAGTTCATGGTTGGGATAGGATTAAAAATTCATTTTTTTGTTCCTTATTGGGTTTAAGTACCCATAAACATGTAAAATGTTACCCAACTATGGCAAAGAAGCTCTATGGCAATAGAGCGGCGCTCTCCACGGCTCCATCAATGCAATCACCTTACCTCAGACTTCACCCATGATGCTTTCGAAGCAAAGGCAGAAGTCGCATGCAATGCGGTCGACGAGCACAATAATTCCATCGCGTTGTGTGATGGATTAGACATGTGCAGGTGCGCTGCCGATGCTTTTCACACGGCCCCCGAAAGTGGCAGCGAGCTGTTCGAACGGAACATCGGAGCCAGCAAGTCTCGACTCCTTTCGCAGGGCCAACACGAATCGCAACTCACGTTTCGTGGACGCCATGCCCACTTCAGCGCGGGGCGTCCTGGATCCTATGCTGGTTCACTCCCATAAAGCACATCCATACCTTGGGCACCAATGCGCCAACGGAATGCCAGCCCGAAGAAGGGGATTGCGACCCTCTAACTGATCAGGGTGTAAAAGCATGCGTGATTTTTCTGTCATATATAGTCACATGCTTCTCGATCCTATTATATAGTCTTCGATTATGAGTTCACATTCTTACAACCGTTGATATACATTTAAGGGTTAATTAGTATATACCATTACATATATGGTCGTTCTCTGTTGACGAAGGCTTCCGAGGGTCGTAGGTCTGCTCGGGAATCAGGCTCTTCTGTTGACAGAAAGCACTCAAGGATCCAATGATGCTGTCCGCCGTGTACTGCCAAGTGTAGGAGAGCATGTGCGTAGCATGCCCGACATTGTCCTCAGAAAGAAGGCGGGGTCAAAAACAGTTTCAACGTATGAGAAGCCATCTCTGCCAAAGCTCGGAGCCCGTCAATGTGTCCACAAAGGCAGCCCCCAAACGACCGTCCCTGGCCGCTGTGATCATTGCTGCTGCTTTTCCAGCTAAGAACTTCGAAAACTGTGGAACCCGTGGCCGTTTCCCTGATATTCGTAGCTACGGTCCAACTACAGTCTGACAGTCTAAACAAAATGGTTTCGCAGACGATGCCATTCAGAACATTTGTACCAGCGGCAAAATCAACCCTTTTGGACCGTGTCTGCGCATGAGAACATGCCCCACACTGCATCTGTGGATGGGTCCGGGCATTCTCCTGGTGACAATGAGAAATGATCGAACAACTTCCGTCTTAAAGCGGCGTGTGCCTTACAGCTACTTACTGTACAGCTGAAATTGTTTATGCTGCTGCGAGCCTGGGGCAAAGCACCTGTGCCCCCTTGGCACGGACCACATGCTGCTCAAGTTCATAGATACGGGAGGCGCGGCTGAAGCCAGCGGCTTCGATCTCCTCGCAGAATCCGGTCCTGTTATGTCAGCCATGGACGATGATTCCCGAACTAACCTTAACTTCGACTGGTGGTATTCAAAGTGGCTGGCCGAGGCACTCCAAGTAATGCACGCTTGGTGCTAAGAGGGGATCTCCTTCCTTTGGATGCCCAGAGGTTGACAAGGTCCCATCGGCCATGGGTGCTGAGGCACAGCAGCTACCCATTGCAAAGGGATATTGACCGTCTGACGTATTGGTTCAGGATGTTTTCGGCTTCTGTGACTGTGAAGAGACTGGAGTGCACCATGGTTGTTGCTGCGTTGCGTGTGATCGGCTTCCTGATTCCTACGCCGAACAGTTGCTTGATGGGTTGCTGATATGCTATGGTGTTGGTTCAAACCCTCCTGCAGATCCACAAAGCTGCAAAATGGCTGTTGAGCAGCCGTCCCAGGCATTGCCAAAAGATCAGTAATCCATCTGTCGATGCAACGTCTCTCCGCGGTCTGTCGGTCTTCGACACCCAGTACCTTGTGGCCAAGCGGAGGGCCGGCCCGCAGGGTGCCGGAGGCGCCGAGCTTCGACTTGAGCCATCCGGCGTCGAGAGCTTTCGAACTGGACTTGCGCGAGCTCCGAGCTGGATCAAACGACCACAAGCTTTCGCAAGCAAAGTAGAGACTGCAGCGAAAGGCTCAGAAAAACTGCAGCTCAGAGCAAGGCCCCATTCCGCTGCAGCTCTGAAGAAACTTGCCGCAGTAGTTCCTAGCGATGCAACAGCCAGGGTCGTTGCACCGAGGATGTACTTGCAGTACTTGCTTTTCAGAGCTTTGGGCTCGTACTCACACGCCGGCAAACCAATAAAGCGCCGCGGCTGTGCAAATTCTGTTGGCTTCAGCGACGCCTGTGATGCCAGCCCAACTGGCACTTCCGGCAGGGAGGAGGCCTCCGCGGAAAGTTCCGCCAATGTTTCTCGGCACTCGAGATTGACGCATGGAGGCACTGTGGTGAGAATGCAAAGTAGCTGAAGTCCCCGCTAAGGCCGCTAAGGACTGGTGCAAAGCTTGAGATCACCCACACTTCAACAATCTCCCTGGTGTGCCAAATCTGCTGCCCAAGCAGCTCGGGGATCGATCGTGATGGATAGATCGCCTGCAAAAGTTGCAGTTGAAACCATGTGCGCAATGCACGGGTGACTGAGTCTGCTTTTGGCAAGCAGCGGCACGAATCTTGCTAGACTTAAGTCGCCGGCGTCGGGCAACCACTGGGGTGCATGCTGAGAATTATTTTAGTGAGTAAATGAGTGATAATAGAGTGAATCATTGCTCTCAGCAAAAGTGATTCGGCAGTGGCAAATAGCAATCCGTGGTGCGTCAATAGTGATCGGGTGTCTCGGAAATATTGATCGCGTGTCCCGGAAATAGTGATCGGGTGTCCCGCAAATAGTGATCGCGTATGTTGGAAATAGTCATCGGATGTACCGTAAATAGTGATCGGATGTACCGTAAATAGTGATCGCGTGCCCCGTAAATAGTGATTGGATATTTGGAAATAGTGATCGGGTGTCCCGTAAATAGTGATCGGAAATCCCAGAAAAATCATCAATGATCGGATATACCGGAAAAATAGTAGTCAGGCATCCCGGAAATAGCCATCTCTGCACGCGGACATAGGGAGGTCAAGATGGTGAGGGTTTATATGAGAGAATGAACCTGACGAACTGTGCAGTCTACAGTTTCACGTGACAAACACAATTTAGCACAATCAGCTGAGGTACTCTCAAACGCACTCCCCCAAGACTGATCTGCATAAAACAGATTCGCGCATGTGAGAGGTATCCTGAACAGGTCGTTGTGTAACACACGGTTTTTCCGTTGAAGGTTCAATGGTGCAAGATGCATTAAAAAGCGCAAGGCGGCGACACGCCATCCCAACCTAGAGCTTGAGCCGTAGCTCCGGGTGCCTTGAAGGAAGTTGTACAAATGGGACTGCTGGGAATCTTGCTGTACTTACTAAGAGTTACTAGAAGATCATCTAACCGCAGTTTTGCGATCCAGGGAAAGTCGCTTCGAGCCTAGCGGCCCAGCGTAGCCCGTGGCCCGCGAGCCAGAAATGAGGGCTCCAATTTGCAAGCGTTTTGTGATTGTGTGCAGCGAGACATCCAATTCGCAAGCATGTCTAGCAGCTAGACATGGGAAGAAGCACTTCTCAGACCCAGCTTCGACGCTTTGATCAAACTGTCTGCTTGAAGCCTGCGGTCCTACATCCGGAGCAGCGGCAAAAGAAAGCAGTGATACCTCCTGGCCTCCAAGAATCCGACAGAAGTCTAAGAAGTCCACCGCATTTCCTCCTCGGAGGGTAAGCGCTAAACTCTGGTGAAGCAAGCGGGTGCTCGTAACGGCCAGAAATTGCTGAAAAAGAGTCTATCCAGGCCCAGCCGGACGAGCACGGCTTCGCGTTCGTAGCCGGAAAGGCTTGGCCTTAAGCTTCTGCGATGGAAGGGTGAAAATCTTCCTGAATACCTCACCTGTGTGCCTTCTGCTGACAATGGCTCATTTGTGCAACCGGATCTGCCGAGTCATGCCGAAAGTCTGTGCTTCTGGGCTGCACGGACGCTTCAACGGTGCTTTCAGTTTGCTGAGGTGAGGGCTCCAAGCGGAATAGCGTCTGTTCTACCCTTGGGAAAAACGCCGCAAAACTCTTGGAACAGAGCGCCACTGCTGAGTTGCGCATCGCTCGGACTGCAGAGTTTCGTCTCTCTCTGTAGCTGTGATCTGCATTGCAAAGGGCAGAGCTCTGATCTGGAAAGCGTGGAAGCACGGGCATCCAGTCTGGTGATGAAATCATGCGGCCTGGACAGTCAAATTTGCAGATCTGCGCACATGTGAGTGTAACAGAATAGCGTTGAATAGCGTCCTGCCTGCGACCGCTGCGTGCGATTGCAGCAGCAATGCGTCGAATGACTTCCTATCGGATGCCAGCTTTGTTCATTCTCGACTTGAGTCTTCCGACACATGTGTGCAGCTCGAAGCGTTGCATGTTCCTTTCTGACCTTGCCTGTCTCTGCTCCTGCTGCCAACTACATATGGTCATGCTAGCACCGCCAAGCTAATACTGCACACTGCTGTCTGCCTCAGCCGTTGCGCGCTGGTGCTGTAATTCCTGCCAAAGGTCACAAGTTGGGTCATGCCACTACTCCGATTTGATCTGCCAACAATCTCCTAGGCATTCTAAAGCAGTCAGCATGGCCCTGTTCAAACACATGCACTACAACAACCTGCAAATGGTCACAATCTTACCCCGAATAGTGAGACTCATGCAAGTTGCCTACTAGGCTGTACTAGGCTGAGACTGTAGCAAATGACTGTTCCAATGTGTTTGAACCTCCCAAGCTCTTACCAGGCCTGAGGGTGCAAAGTTCTCTCCAGGGCGCCTGCCTGGACTCCCACGGTTTGTGCCTCCACAGTTCTTTGTGCTTGCACTCTCGAGGGGTTTGCCAACTCAAGGCCTGCAGGGGCTCCCGCGTCACAGGCCCGGGACTAAAAGGCGAAGAATGATAACTGCTAACTGCTAACGGTTCTTGTGCTAGATCGATGCTTGCGTTTCAACTTCTGGAAGCTTACAGACCTGAGGATTACCTTAATACAACTTCCCTTCCGAACTTGGTCCTTCCTGTGATGCATTTCTTCAGAGGCTCTTCCACGGCTTCTCCAAGTCCCTGACCGGTGCGAGAGGAGCCAAGCCTGGCTTCCCACTTCCCTCGTCGACGGTCATTCACATCAACTCACCCCAAACCACTGTGATGGCACTATGGGTTCCAAGGTCCAAAGCCGCAGGAGCTTAGCTTAGCTTGTAATCGGGACCACTGCGGGATGATGGATAGTTCAACTGCTATTGGAGAACTGGGCATCGGCCCAAAGCTTCCCTTACGGTAATTTTTCAAGTTCCACGGCATCCAGAGCGGACCCTATTGTCTCTGATTAACAGGACGGATTAACCCGGCTGCAGTGGTGCAAGCAAAGCCCCCGGAGTCGTTGGTGGCAGCGTCTGGGGGAGTGACAGCTGCCCTCCTGAAGAAACAGTCCGACAGAATCCTCAGTTCCAATGCTGGCCTGCTGCTTCTACTCTGCCACCGTTTTCACTCAAACCTACGGGTACCGCAAGCACCTCACTGGCGAAAGCACGGCAATCTTTCGCGGCTCCTGTCCCAGCAGTAGAGTTGCCACCTTGAATCGTGTTCCAGAACTCGGCCCAGGAAATACAGCCACTGTTGTCCTTGGACCCAAGGGCAACCCACAAAAATCAACCAGGCTTTCCGGGCCGTTGCAAGGGCAATGCACATATCGACATTAGGCTGGATAATGTACGGGCCTTCAAGATCAAAATAGGGCTTTGGAGGTTCCTTACTAGAATTATAGTATAATACCCCCCCAAAACCCTGTACTCCAATCATTAAGGCACCGATATTAGCAGGGCAGCTGTAGCCACGGTCTACAACCTGCCAGAGCTTAGCCACTGGCAGCGTCAAAGCGCTGAAAGATGGCGTCTTGCTCTGTCGGCGTAAGGCCTGACAGTCTTGTCACACTAGTTGCTGTAGAGAATGAGCCTCTGCTATGACTTACTATGAGCAACCAATGGAATGCAGGGGCCAGCTGGCGGGGTGCGGAATGCCGGTTGGTGAGCAAAGTAGACTGCAGCTGCCGGCTCTAATTACAAGGTTTGCTTGCTGGAGTTGTCTCGAATCTGATTTTGGGATATTGCTTACAAAATTCGTAACTTTGAGGTGGGCCGCCTGGCTCGAAGCGGAGAACGATGCTCAGCAGCCTGGGATGGCAGGGCAATCCAACCCCAGCTGTCGTTGTCACAGGTGAGTCGGACAAGGAAGTGCTCGCACCAAACCAAGAGGCCCAACACTCGTGCTCTCTTGCTCTGAGACTCCTTAAAGACATGAGTAACTCAGGAGAGCACTCCTGCCGGGACAGCCGGCCACTGCCATCTGCATCGAGCTTGCCTCAGCTTCTGCACCCCAGCAGACCCCTCATCTGCATAGCCAATGCTCACATCTGGTTGCCTTTATTTTCGTGAAAAACATGATTTGGTCAACACGGTGCTGCCGCCGGAAGAGCGGTGCATGCACTCTGAGCCCCAGGCTAAAAAGATCTTGCGGGCGATAGCCACCTGAGAAGAACAGGCTTCTGGGTTTCATGCAAGGTCTGCGGGTGATGATTACTGTCGCGGCCGAAATCGACTTTGCTATACATTGCTGCAGGTCACCACAGACTCATCGACAAGATGCCAGCAAAAGCATCTGCAGCGGCCTGGATCTGCTACGCATTTGAGTCAGTGTTCTCTTGTGCATATACATCCACAAACACTCGGCACTAACCCCCCCCCCCCAACCACCCCCACACACTCTGACAATGTGCTCTGCGTGTGCGCGCTCGCGTCTCCTCCTTCTTCCAGACCACGGTTTAAGGAAGGGCACAACAAGTCGCCCCTGTTATTCTATTCTTCATAGGGGTGTGGGCCCTCTCGACTCCCTTTTCTTCTCGTCTCGCACGTCAGCGTGCAGCCAACCTCGACGCAGCGAGTTGGCCAGTCGCTGAATAATCTCCTCGATTGACGGACGGAGCTATTGCCTCTCTTACATTCAAGGTGACACTCCAAACATGTGTCACAACGTAGCTTCACGAGGTGCTCAAGGATAGCGGTCCTACCATCATGATTATTGACTCGTAGTTAGGCCTAGGCCCGTGATATTGCTTTTGCAAGGCTGTTGTAAGGCCAGAGGCGTAGAAGTTAGGGCAGTTGATCAGGTGTGTGGCCCTACAGGTTTTGTCATGCCTCTTCTGCATTCTTCGACGGCAACCAACAATTCATCACCTGTTGAAGGTGGTTCTTGGGTTGGGCATGAGGCGTGTTACCGGGTTCAATCGGGTTGAATAGGATGCCCTGTATGGGTTACCGGGTTCACTCTAGGATGCCTGGCATGACCCGAGTTCTGCGGCACTCCCAAGGGCTGGACATCTGCCAGCTTTCGCTGCAGGGCTTCGCGATAAGGGTCCTCTCCACTCCAGGCGCTAAAGGTACCAAGGGCTCCAATATCCCTTAATCAGGGATGATTCCTTAAAATAATAGTAGGGATCCTAGAGTGATTTAAGGTATATAGAGTCTCTGGGTAACCGAAGCCTGTAGATCAGGCCCGATCTTTCAGCCACTCGTGTGGCCCGGTTCAACAGGCTGGGCCCGAACTCCAGGAAGTGCCATGCACGCTGGACGCTACAGATCTGTGCGCAGCTCGGCTTTTTGCTGTCGCTTCCTCCACGAAGTCTCAGTTAAGGTCTGTAAGAGAGAGTAAGGAGGCATCAGCCATGGATGGTTGGCCCATCGAGCTAGAACTCACACTAAATTTGACGGAGAGGGGCTAGACATGGCTAGACTGTTGTTACGCCCGAATCTAAGCACTAAGTCTAAGTTGCTATGTGAGGCATTTTCCCCTCCGATCCGTCGAGTCTACCTTGGCAAGCGAATGAGCTGATGTGGGCCATGTGGGCATCTTCACGCAATTCGACTCCTCGACTGATTCTTGTCTTCAAAGACTTCCATGGCTACTGGCTTGTGCACTTAGAACATCTTCAGAGAACATCTTCCGGAACAAACGCAAGAAGTGATGAGAGCTGCAGGGACTTGCACGAGCCAGAATGATGCAGGAATACGCTTCGACTACCCACACGGTTCAGGGGTGGGAGTCGAAGCTATTCCATCTCAGAATAAAGGTACACTCCTGCCGGGGCATGCCTCCGGTGTGCAAACCGTAAGCCGGCATCCACGGCGAGCCACATTCAGAGCCCCGACGAGAGTCAAGGGCATTGACCACTTCACCAACACGTACTTTCCAAAGCATAGCACGCACAATCCCGAAAAAACCACACACGGCACCAGGTGCTCGAAAACACATACTTAACTCATGTCTAGATAATTCAGCCATTTTGCTGAAGCTGCTGCCGGCAATGGCCCCTTCTATTCTGGGGGCTGGGCAGGATTTCAAAATCACACATGTCGCGGTCATGGCAGCTGAAGTCAGATGCAACTGTTCTACCGAATCCCACATTTAGGCGGCCAGCTTTGTTTCGACGGCAAGTTGAGTCACTCTGGCATTACGACTCTTGGCTGTATACCTTTGCAAAGCGTGCCAGCAAAACACAATGACGCTTTGTAAGGTCTGGGCTTCCCCCAAACAACTTTCAGAGGAAGCCTGTCCGGCTCCCCTGTGCTGCGGCTGCAAATGTGAATTTCATTGAGCACTCGGCTGCCATTACTGTGGTCCCCTAAAGCTAGGAGTATGCGGCCATACTGTCATCTATGTAAGAAAACCGCACAAGAATCTCACGCACTGGAGGGAAGAGTATGGCATATGACCGAGTCTGTCTCAACCAAGACGGCTTGTAAGCTTGTAATCGGGACCTCTCCGGCTCTGCACTGCCAGATAAGGGGGGGAGTTCATGCATAAGAACGGAACAAGCTGATGCAGTGCACATTCAGGGCCAGTCACCCTCGAATCATCTGCCAGTGTCACTTGTAGCATACTTCCACATTATGTCATCTTCGCGGGCTACATGCCAGCTGCCTTTGAACCGGTGGGCCCTGAAGAGCAAATAAGGACAGGTAGGTTGCAGCATGTAGCTGCGCCACAGAAGACTGAGCATCTGCATCTCAGCAGAAGCTGTTCATTTCCTGGGCGCACAGATACTTGAAACTGACCACAAAGATCTGCACCGAACGGTAGTATGTCGCAAGAACTATGTATGCGCATGCCGTTGTAATATAACGTGTCGCAACTACTAGCGAGACACCTAGAGAACGGAGTCGATGAAGGACTGCGACTGTGCGCTTTTGGATATGTTTTAAACTGTCATATGAGAGCTTCCGAAAATGGGGGCCCTGATATAGTACCCCAAATATTCTTGTCCTCATTTTTTGGCCCCAAAATAGGTACCCCTAGTTTTCGGAAACTCCGTTTTGCTCCTGTCATGCATTTGAGAGTCTTCGCCGGCGGGAGAGAGCTCTTCGCTCAAGGGGCCCTTGGTCATCATCGGTCTTTCGCTCAGACTGTAAGTCTCGTAGCTCAGATTTCTGATTGGCAAGGTGCCGTCTTCAATTCCTGCTTCTTCTCCTCTCCGGCACGTAGTCGCCCCCACGCATGCCAAGTACCTGTGCCATGAACTTATGGGCAGTCTCACGCTCTTCGACATCTGACCATAGTCGGACTGAAGGCAGTCGGCGTCAGAGCAGCGACCACACAAAGTACGACTCCGGATTCGCGCAGGCAGACATCGGGAGGCAAGGATTCTGCGAGATCGCTTGCATTGTGGTGCTATCTGCAAGCATAATTATTGCAGGTAGCCTCCGACGAGGGCGAAGGTGCATCCGCACAACTTCGTTGAGTCAAAGTGATCTCCCAACCTGTTGCATGACCGGAGTGAAGCTGCACATCTTTCATGTCATGCACGAGGCCTCATCGCCAAAGCATGCACACGACAGTCCAATCAGCTAAGCTGCATCATCACACCATAGCAAAGTACTAGCACTTTGTCCTTGCAAGCAAGGCGATGCAAGCTTCCAAAGCAACGACCAAGCAAACCTGTGATATGGTTAGAGGGTAGAGCTACGGTACTGTGCCAGAAAGCGTATCTTGACAGCGGCATTCCTCTGTGTCTTGCCTGCTATCTTTTGTCTGGCCAGGGATCTATGTTGGTGACCACGAGGGCAGCAGTCGCACTAAGATTGCGCGACAAACCAATGCCCGCGTAGGCGATGGCCGCACCTCATACACATGCTACGCGAAAGACATGCTTTGTGCTTCGATGAGCTTCGTCGTTGTGGAGCTGAGCTGTTTCATTGCAAGTGCCTTACGTGCTGCTTACAGGTGTTTGAGTCATCATCCGTGAGGATGTGATGCTTGAGCTTCGGTTTGGGTCTTCATGTGCGTCTGATGTCGAGCTTCCGGATTTATGAACTCTTTTCAAGCTGATGCCCATGTCCCACTGAGTAGAACTGCGAGTGCCGACCTCCAATGCAAGAGGCGATGGACCAGGAAATTCCTGCTGGAGTCCACTCGACCTGAGCAGTCTGCAGGCCAGGAGGTCGCGGCCATCTTGTCTGTCCATGTCTGAGCTCTGCTCAGGAGCCCTCAAAACCATCGACTTTCCAAAGCCTCTCGCCTCATGGAGCTCCGTGTGCATGGGGTAGAAAAGCAGCGCGAAGGAGAAAAGGAGGCCCACAGCGTTGGACACAAGGACCAAGGCCTTTGCTGCATTTCAGTGCGATTCGGAGCTTTCGGTTCACTTCGCCCGTCTTGTTGACGATGGTTCCGGACCATGCTGGCACTCTGCACATGTGCGGCATGGGCACCGAAGAGGAGAGGGACACTGGCATCTCCTGGCATCAGGGGAGCTACGAGTACGTGCATCGCTCAGTCGTCGGCAACCTGTAGATCCTGTAGTTGACAAGCTCTCAGAAATAGCGCGCGCCGGCAGGGCAGCAAAGGGGTGTCTTATTGAAATTGCGTAAGGCTTCTGCTACAGACTGATCTCCGGCCCTTCGTTGTGCCACACTGGTCCTGGAGTAGGTAGCGTTGCGCTAGACGGTCCAAGCACACGAATGCTGCGTCTAAGACCACCAGGAAGATCCCGAGGGCTTCCTCGCAGCAAGCTCACCGAAAGTTTGGGGGTCCGTCGTGGCTGGTATCATTTATGCAAACCTTCTGTCATGTCCTTAGTCGAGATGTCATCTGAACAATAGATGACGACGCCTCGCAGGCTGCCGCAGGCTTGGAACGGGATGAATCTTGCCAGCCCTTCCCACATGCTCATGATGCACAAGGTTGCGCACCCACAATCCTGCCTATCAAGATTGTGGACAAGGATATGATGGCATCCTTCGTGATCGGGACGCCGAACATCAGCCGCTCTGCTCCCAAAAGAATGAGAGGGCTGGCATTCCGGATGACTGTCAAGGTAGACAGCGATGCATACATCCTTACATCCGCAAGCATGCTCTTTCTGCGACATCTGCATCACGCTTCTGGCAAGGTGGTATGCGATCCGGCGCAAACTCGTGGTAACTGGTGAGCAATGTCACATCACTATCCCAGAGCCGGTGGCTGGCAACAGCAGCCAAGTTGCAGCGCCTGCATGCCGGTCCATAAAATCAAGCCTGACAAGACCGCGATGGGCGACCACCGTATCACCTCGTGCCTCGGGAGGGCTAGGATCCAGGCGAATGTAGAAAGGCCCTGACGCAAAGCTCTGCAGCACTTAAAGGACATCATGTGTACCGAAGCTGCATGTTTCCACGGATCTCCTTGCTGCCGAGTATGTGAAGAACCTAAGGTCAAGATGCGATTTTTGGCAGCTCTCGGAGCTTTACAAGGCCCATGTGACTCATCTTCGCGACAAGTGGCGCAGGCCACCAGGATGGTTGCTAGTTGCTGCATTGCTAGTAAGATGGTTCCAGCCTGAAGCCTGGTAGCCGCCTCCTGGCCGGGAACTTTGCATGTACATTCAGCGTCCAGGCTTCCACAAACGCTTCTGCTGTGGACTGCTCAGTTCAGTACCTGTTAGCCATTGTCACTGCGCCCGTAAAGTACTTTGCAGTCGCGCATTTCAACACTGAGCTCTGCCAGTTTTGCAGAAAGCTTCACTCGCCCTGCGTCCTTGTTTGCGACAACCATGCCAACACTGCATATCCTTTGCGCAGATTCGGCAGTACCAAGAAAGAGGCAGAAGCTGGTGGTCACATGGCACTTTTGCGTATTGCTGTGCAGACGCATATATAGCGTGGTAGCTCTGACTGCAGGATCGTCCACTGTGGGACTAAAGGTTGCTGGCAAAGAGAATCTGCGCGCCATCAGGGCACGTGGCCAGGGCCTATGCTAGGAGCAAGCTGACGAAGTCGGACGGAATGCTTGGTCTCGCTCGGTTGTTAGTAGGCTTGCTTCATTCATCTGGATTCCAGTGTCCAACTGGTTCTACTGTACCCTGAGCCAAACCTGCAGTGTCCTTTCCACCATCATGCCCATTCCTCTTTGCAGGCTAACCTCAAGAGATGGACCGTCTTGCACTGCAAAGAAGCCAATGCCATCACAGGAAGGTCCTGAGGTGGAGCTTGTACCGGTGCTGCCGGGGCCGTCGGGGCTGGCGGGGCCGGTGTTGGGGCTGCAGGGGTCAGAGTGGGGGGAGGTGGTAGGGGCCCTGGTGCTGGGGGCGGTGGCAACGGAAAGGATGGAGGCGCCGGCGGGGGCACTGTCAACATGATGCGACCTCGGCTTGGCAGGCGCATGCAGGCTTTCTCTTCTATTTGGGAACCATGCGTGCCGCGTCAGGCCAAGCTGCGAGAGGCTGCACAGATTTCATGCACGTTCGCCTGAACCGGGGTGCGAGGCACATGCATGATGACACTGGAGGTGCCGACGTGTGTTTCATAGATGAAAGGCAATGTAGTTAGTTTTAGGGCATTTGCCGACAAAGCACACTGTCTCAAAGAATCCTCTCCCCGCGTGCGATCCCACGGAAGCACTTGCACAAACTCTTGCTTTGACATAGTGGCCTCGAGAATAGTGATTAGCATCTGCTTGTACGAATGCAGCCCGCCTTGTGAAACGGAATGAAACGGACAGGTGCCCAATGGACTGTTCAAAGCCCTTCGAAAGTCTCTTGCACGTGTTGCTGGAGTTCGCTGGCTGGGGAGCATAGCCCGTCGTGCGCTGCGAGGTGTGTAAGTGTACTTCTGCTACAGTAATGTCTCCAATCATCTGACCGTAGAAGTATCATGCCGGCTGCCACTTAAGCCTAGGCTTCACGCATGATGTTGTGCAAAGTCTGCAGACAAACTCATGTCAATTGTGCTGCCGAGGCTTTGGAGGATTGCCGACAGTTTTCCGAAACGCATCCACATGGCGGAGTGACCTGAACCCATGCGCAAGTGTCTGTGGCATCCAACGTTCTTCCTACATTGCCCTTGCTTCCTAGCTTTCCTTCAGCTGCTCTAGTCTTCGTGCAGGGGTTATGCTGGTATAGAAAAGTGGAATGCGGGACTTCTAAACCCAAGTTTCTTCTTCCCGGGCGACAGGAGTGGAATGCTCCGGATGGTAAGAAGCAAGGGTTTAAGCAGAAGATGCGCGGCGTTCACTTGGAGCGCCCTTCTTCCGGGTGAAACGATGCTCCCCCTGGCTTCGGGCATTGAGGGGCGACATTTTGGGATTTCAGGCTATCTGAAGCATCTGCAGCCTGTGCTTGTCGGCGGCATCTTTATTCCGAGTATGTTGTCTTCTCTTGTCCACAGCTGCCTGTCTATCGATATTGGAAACATTCCGCTCAGAAGTTGAGGACTCGTGCCATTCCAAGCTTAGCATGATCTGATGTATGCCTTGTTGCCGCGGAGGAGCCCGTGCAGCACAACCAAAGAGCCATCTGAGAGCGCAGAGCAATCGGTGCACTGCCAAAGGGCGTCTCTTTGACACTCCCCATGCTCACAAAGACGCCTCAGCGCTAGAAAGATGCATCCCTCTCGCGATCATGCTTGTCGAAAGGCAATCGCAAGCGCAGAAGATGTGCCTTGGATTTGCACAAACTCAGAAGACTGAGCAGTCAGCTTTCGTGTTCGACGCAGATGAGGCAGCTCCGCGGCCTTCGTTTTTGCCGGATGGGCACGGCAAAAGAGACGGTCTCGTGTTTCACAGTGCAGTTGTAAAATGTAGTCGGAGCATGTCGCACCGCAGTGCTGCAGACCGACTGCCCAGTGAAGTGAGGGTCCGGAGACCTCTTTCGTTTGGCCTGCTTCTCCTTGCTGTGTACTGTTCCCATCTGCCAATGAAACGACGCTTTGCATGCCGAGCATGGCTCCATGCTGGAACACCCTCGATGACTCGATTGTCGCTGCATGTTCGAGTTGCACAGTCCCTGATACCAGTGTAGCACTTTCGGGCCTTGATAACTTGAATAGGGTTTTGGGGCCCATTGTATTGTAAGCATAGTAAGGAACCCCCAAAATGATGATAAGGAACCCCCAAAATGATATAGGCAATTAAACACGCTAGGAACTCGGATTCAGGCCCCCATAGTAACATGACACGGATCAAGCTGACAACAGAGGCCGCCTCCTCGCTCGGCTCGCTCCCGACGTTTGCTGTTTGTCCTTCCAGGTCAGAGCCTCCTCACTCAACCACTGGCACGAAGGCACAGGCTAGCAAAGAAAGAAGACAACAGCAACAACACGAACACTGGAATCACCAGCGCCACCGCCAACTACCCACACTTATACGGACACACATCCATCGTAATCCACCCATGTATCCATACATGCATGCCTACATGCCTACATACGTGCACACACACAAACACCCTAAATACACATGCATAGGCACAAGCACATACACACAAACAAAGACACATGCAACAACAAGCAAGCTCTTTCTTTCGCTCTTCCTTTCTGCTCAGAAGTGCACAGATTACATTCACAAATCCAACTCAGAGACATGTCCCCACAGGACTTGTCCTGGCTGGGGCTTCGCCCTCATGCCGCGACATGGGAGCTTCGCGACCTCAAGGATCAGCATCTTGAGTTTAGCCTGCCTGGCAAACTGGAACGAGCCTGTAGGGGTAAAGTGGCAAAACAAAGCTACTGGTAAAGTGTCGGCGCCCACTTGAGGGAGAGCTCAAGAAGCACTTAGCTTGAGTTGCCAACGCTTTGCTCTTTCCACGATGAGCTTTTGCACCTGCTCCCACGAGTCTAGGCGCGTCATGTTAGAAGAGACCATCACCGACCTCGCCCGCCTCTTTTTGTGGCAGACCTTTGTACGGCTTCGGCGGGCCCGAGGAGGCAGTAGCTGCGGGAACGTTGCCGTTGTTCAGCTCTCTGACAAGCTGAACTGTGGCCACCTGCTGCAAATGCAGGCTCGCCGTCGAGAACCAATGTGCGACAGCGAGCTCTGTGTATTGAAACCCGGACATAAGACCTCAGCTAAGTACTTTCGACATGTGTGCCCGTAATCGTTTTGGCCATGTGCTCCTGTCGTTTATGCAGCACAGGTTTTCACATAGCTGCTGGGCTGCCGGCGTAAGAAGCATCTGCCCGGGCGCTGCGCGTCGAGTCTGGCAGAGGGCGGGCCCAACTTTAACATCTTCAAAATCAACATAAACTGTGCACGTCTTTCTTTGTTACTCCGGGAATCCGGGGACTGTACCCGCGCTCCCAAGGGATGCCTTGAGGCCTCGGTGAAGATGTCTGCAAGGTGGTTCGATTGCTTCCGTACCTTGCGGGCACATGACGGCAGCCCTGACCGGGCCCAACTCTGCAAAGCGGCCGCTGATAAGGTTTGCGTCCGTGTTTCAACCGTCGGAACTTGCTCACACACAAGTCCCATGCCGTCTGTTGTAAATAAATACCCAAGTTACAACAACTTTGAAGGCGGCAATTCCGGGCACAGTGTGGTGCCATCACTGACATGACATTTACGACTTTTCGCCTCGGTTTCTGCTTGAACGGCTACGGCTTCTCCTACTCCTCCAAGAAGTGGCTGAGCTAGTCGTCGCCGTACCGAGACAAGTACCTCTAGCATTAGTGGTCGCGGCGCTGGTGGTGGCTGTGGTGGTCATAGTGGCAGTCGTAGTGGTGGGTGGTGGTGGTAGTAGTAATCGCCGTGGTGCTGGTGCTGGTGCTGCTGCTGCTGCTGCTGCAACAACGACGACGACGAGTACTACTACACCTACCTACCTACCTACCTACCACTCTACGGCTACCACCAGTGCTAGCACGGCTCGTGTCACTACTAGTATCCCCGCCCTACTACCATCACTGCTCCGACGATGGCGACTACTGTCGCTCCAGCAAGAACTACTACAACAGGACACAGAAACAACGACTACAATTTCGACTTCAACTACAACTACCACCACGACCACGGCCACTCCTACTCCAACTCCTGCTGCTACTTGCACTACCGGCTTCTTCAGATTCAAGGTGAGCAACATGACACTCCCAGTCGCCATTGCTCAGATACAGCTTAAGCTTACCAACCTTTTGAAACGAATTGCACTGAGACAATAAATGAGCCGAAATGTGTGTGTGTGTGAGATTGTGCATATGAATTATGTATATATATATATATATATATATATGTACACACACACATGTGTGCGTGTGTGTGTGCGTGTGTGTCTGTGTGTGTCTGCATCTACACACACACACAGCATGTAATGGCATATGCGATGCAGTGGTCGGAACCTAGAAGGCAGCACGACATTACGCGCGTCAGACCCGAGGTTCAAGCACTGGCATGGCATGTACTTTCGTCGTACCAAGTGGTTGAGATCCATCTAAGGCCTTAGGCTCTGGCTTAGGAGCCGGAGACGCGTGGGCCGGTGCCCCACGAGGCCTTCGAGCAGTTACAGGCTTTGCGGCATCATTGCTGTGAACATGAAATACGGCCAAAGGGAGTGGGAACGGCTTCTCATTTCGACAGTGTGTTGCACTAAACTATTTGCGAGACTGCTTTTTACTAAACTCCACGATCCAGGAGGACATGCGGGCAGCTCAGACTGCAGCTGCAAGCGGGTAACTTGGCTGACTTGTAGGTGGCGCCCGAAGAGGCTATAGCTTCAGAGTGTTTACGGCACTGCTTTCTGAAAGACTCCTGGCCATATGTGGATGTCGAACTGAGCAGGAGGATGAATGATTCGTGCAACTCCATCTGCCCGACCAGTCAGGTACAGAACAGGACCGATCCCTGTTGCGCATCCGCCAGCTGCAGCAAGAGAATCCATATCGGAACTGGCGGTTCAACTCATAATCTAGGTCTCCAACGATCGCGGCGATTGGCACGGAAGTGGTGGCACTGCCTTTGTTGAGTTGGGAGGGAATCAGCCAGACCACAAGAGCATGAGAAACACCTTCGGCAGGCGCAAATGTATGTATTCTTTGAAAGGGAAAACATGCAGACCGTGTCAATTCAATTCTTCCATGCGGGTAACACAAGCGGTGAAGCCATGGTGACCTTCAGTAGCCACTCTGAGCGCAACAGTGCTTGTGAGCACAGGGAAATCAAGAGCATTGGCCCACTCCACTTTGGATTAGAGTGGCTTGCAGCAGAGCTATGAATCTCAAGCTGAGTGGTTCATCTTTACAGGTAATACAGGGGCCTTAAATGATTAGAATCAGGTCAGGGGCCCATTATACTAAAATTATAATAAGGAACCCCAAAATAGCATAGGTAATTATTAAGGCTACTCAGGCCCTTATATTGGCATCGAACATATTAGCCGAGGCCGGAGGGCGGGGCGTTTAGATCGGCTTCCGCGGGAACCATGTAACCCGTTCTACCCAGGCCCTCTATTATCCCCCTCCCAGGACTCCTGCATTGCCGACCGTGTTTCGCCTTTCTTTGAAGAACTTTGGGAAGGGTAGGTAGGAGGATTTGTCATTTTGAGGGTCAAACCCCTCCCTGCCCCTTTGCCCCCGCATGGCCTTCTTTGCGTCTTTGCTGGGTTCCCTCCCCTTTCCCTCCCTCTGCAACGCTTGCCGCTTTCTTGCTTCTCTGCCCTCCCTTTGCCCCTTCCCCGCCCACCTCCGCTCCCACTGCCCCCAACCTGCCTTCGCTTCTTTGCTGGGGCCGGGGTTCTTTTTCTTTCCCTTCTCTCTGCAACGCCTGCTTCCGCCGTGCTTCTTTGCCCTCCCTTTCTCCCCTGCCCGTCTTTGCGGCATGACTGCACCGGAATCTTAGACACCACTCCTTGGACAATATTCCAAGAGCCGGCTGCGGGCTGCTGGCACGCATCACGGAACTCGATCCGAGGCGGCTCTGGCGCTCGACGTGGCGGCTAAGTTATGGCAACCCCCACACACACGGGTCCCGTGCCGGCAGCTGCTTGAAGGAAGCTCTCAGCCTCTTGCAGCTGTGAAGTGCAGCAGCAGAGAATGCCCCTATTTCCCCATAGCCCCTGGCGGTTCCAAGATTCAGAGCTACTCTGCACCACAACTGTCAAGTTCAAAGTATGCTGCTGTATGTTCCTGTGCATCACATGCTGATTCACGATTGCATCCCTTCAAACCAAGACCTCATGCCCACGACTGTCAATTGAAAGTGCCTAGGAAATGGGATGCATAAGGCCAAACCAGCGACTAGGGCTTTGTCGCGTCATCTTGGGCTAAACGAGCATCCGGCATCATGATCTCAAGTGGGTTGAAGAGGTATAAAGGACCTAGAAATCGTGAGATTCGTTGTGCTCCCTTTCTCTCTTGATCCCGGGCTCGGAACAACTACTACTACAGCTACTACTACTACTACTACTACTACTAATAATAATAACAATAATAATAACAACATATAACAACAAAAACAACAACAATAACACTGTCCCGGGCTCGGACGTCACGCCCAACTCCCGAGGTACCGGCCGCTCTGTCGAATCTGGTGGCGTCTGGATGATCCCCGGCGCCGGGCTTTGCCCTGGTGTGAAGCTGGGGGATGACGGCTTAAGCACCACGAGTCTCCATTATAGTACTACTATTACTACAGTATGGTATGGTATAGTATAGTACATTAGAGTACTACTATTGTATAATACTACTATAATACTATAATATATTGGGCCTTTCGATCTCCGGGCTTTCGCTGTGCATTTTTTTGCAGCAACTTTTGGCTTTTGCAACTCTCTGGCAAGCCACTCCATTGATTGAACACACATAACCACGAAACATCTTGCCGAGAAGCCACTGCTGCAATTCTTCGGATAGCTTGCGAGCCACGGCTTCCAAGTGCAATGACTATGCATCATCCCTCTGCACGTCACCTCTTCTTCGTTACAGCAACGACTTGTGCCAAGGAAAGAGCACTGCTACTGCTACCGGAGGAGGGTAGGATATGCTGGTGGCAATGCCGTAGCAGTAGGGAGTGGTGGTGGCAGTGGTATGGGAGTAGTAGCTGAAGACGTGCAGTCTCATCAGTATTTGTTCCTCACAAGGAATTCGGCCTGGCTCTGACCATGTCGCGTTTGTATCGGAACGCTTCGTTTGATCTACGCGCATTCTCTTCAAGCTTGCGCCGTCGATCTGATCCGTAATCAACGAACCCCCATTGCCCTTTATCAGTTCTGCGTTTATACCGACGTCGCTATGAGCTTTAATGCTGCCTTTCCGACAGCAAAGCGATTTCTTTTTCGCTTCTGGTGGACATGTTCATACATATACGTGTATATACGTATATATAAGTATATGTCTGTATATATATATATATATGTATACATGTAAATGTGTGTGCGTGATGCCCGGGCCTGCCCGGACTTGTGATCTCACAGGCGACCTTGCAGGCGATCCAGCAACGCGCCCATGGCCTCTCGAAGTCTGACGCTTGGATTAAGCACTTCTTTGCTGGGTGCACAGCAGGTAGTATACGGTCCAGAATAATTACGGCAGGGTTTTGGGGCCCATTGCACTATAATGCTATAATTGTAGCAAGGAACTACCAAAATAGCATTGGTAACCTACGCCTGGGACTTGGAATATCTTACAGTCATCCACACATTGCAAGTCTTTAAGCTTCTTCGCTTCAATTTCGAAACCCCAGGGCTGAGTCAAGCTCGAGGTTGAGGGCTAAAAATGCTTGAGAGATGAAGGCAACTACCAGTGAAACTTAAGTTCGGACTGCCGCACCCTTTGCAATTTTTGAGCATCAGCGGTCTGATGCGAATGCGGTGCTTCCAGCTGCGATGAGCCTTGAAAGCAGTTGAAGCGAATCCCTCCGAATTACACTGCGCCTCTGCACTGATGACCCGGTGTAACTTGAGACGTTGGCGACATCCTCAGACAAGGCATGGCTTCCCGTGGTTAAGCATCTTCAACTTTATGCAGATCTGCAAAAAGAGGGAGCAACAATCGCACAATCGCATGGGCAACGCTAAAGGTGACGTTCGAAGCGTGCCGGGTTCCAGGCATTGTTGAATCGGGTGGCTGCCTGCCTCAAAGATAGATGTGCTTGCCATCTACTACAAACGTTTGGAACTGTAGCACAACGCGACCCTCGAACTGCAGTTTGCCGCAGTGCCAAGCCTGGTAAAGCAGCTGGTGACATGCTGCTGGTCAGAATGCTCTTCGTGGGCCTGCAATGATGAGCAGCAAGAACAGAACCGTCTTTCAACAAATTCTTGGGCGTTTTCCACACATGACAAGCCATCAGCATTCATTGCAACGTCTGGCGTCACACTGTCAGTTTCCCAACCGCACATTCCAAGAGGCTTGAGACCTGGGGGTATAAACCAGCCAGCTTTGCGTCGAAAGCATGCTTTTTGATGAAGCTACTGGCTGAGACGCGATGCTCTCTGTAGCAGCTCTAGGCCTCACAAGCTGCATCTTTGATTTGCTCAACATCTTGTCTGGGTATGGACATGAGTATGACCTCCAGTAGCTGACGGTAACTACCGTAAGGCCATTGCTCGCTTGCGACTGGTTCCCACATCAGCGGGACCTGAATCGATCGCTTTGTCAGGATGCCACCACTGTGAAGTCGGATGAAGTCGGACAACATAACTCAAAGTCTTGTTTTAAGTCGATCTCAATCCGGGCAAGTCTGGTGACAGTAATTAGTTTGATGGTGGATTTCGACCTGCAGATCTTTGTGCAAGAGACATTCGTTTTCGGGTCTCTGTGGAGTGCTGATGGTGTGAAATGACTGGGTTCCTGTTGCAATTTCAGTCGAAGTCGTCAGGACATGCCATCTTCATCTCCTGCACAGACGCATCACGGCTTATGGTCCGCCGCTTTCCATAAGCCTCCTTTGAACATAGCGACAACGTGCTACCTTCTGCCCATCGTCCCCAGCTCTGAGTGCCAAGCAGCAGGCTGAGCATGCTTGACCTCCGGCGCAGCCCCGTCCAACGCTTGAAGGTCGTTTCTGAGTCGTTTCTATCAAGTTATGGTCCACAGGCGGGCACATAACAACAAGATGTGCCGTGGGTGCTGCGGCTGCCTTTGGAACAACATGAAACGGCGCTCTGGGATGATGATGCGCACTCGTAGTAAGCATCCCATGTCGGGACATAGGTTGTGGTGCAATTGACGCTCCTCGCTTCTTTCCCTCGGCACTTTGATACTCGATGCTACTCGCGTAGCTCTTGTCTTCAGAACTTTCATCAGGGTACTCATGTGCGATCGGGATCTTTACGTAGAGGATCTCACTATATGCAGGGTATTGCAGGGTCCTTCACCCCCAAGCCCCAAAAACCGAAAACCCTACATCGCCCCATTCCCTGCCCACCCCCACAAACCTTAAACCCTGAGCCCTAGCCCCCCCTTTCACACCCTTTCAACAACAACATTAATGATAATAGTAACTATAGTAATAGTAATAAACTTAAACATAATGATGATAATAATAATAATAGTAATAAAAATAATGATAACAACAACATAAGTCCCCCTAAACCCGAGAAACCCCAAGCCCCGGCCAGGCCTGGGCCCAACGCGCAGCCTCGGCGGCTGCCAGCGCAGAGGGTCGGAGAGGCGAGGCCACGTCGCAGGGCCGGCTGTTTGGGCCTTTGAAGAGAAGGGATCTGTAAGGGTTACTATAAGGGATCTATGGGGCTTAATAATCCTGTAATAGGTCTTTGAAGAGAAGCGCTTCAACAATAGGGGTTTCGGTGCTCACACTCGGACAATCCAGGCGACGTGCATGGTTCGAAATCGGCGGAGTGAGACTGCAACTACATGAGAATGAATCAATACAACAGCTTCCAAATTCAAACGAGTACATCGGAGGTGTCAAACGGGATTGATACAAACACAACCCCAGCACTCCGAGTGCGTCCACGAGCGTGGAAAACAACTACTCGTTGAGAATCGTTGTGCAACGTACAACTACACTTGCTGGTGCTCTCTTCGGCCGTCCACCCGAATACTTCCCTAAGCAGCCTGCATCAGCCTAGGTACCAACAGCTGTGGACCAAAGCCTGGGCAGCGCACCGCGGACCAATTGACAATTTAAGATTTACATGACCGTCCACAGCAGGGGCGACAAAAGCACCCACAGGCAGGGACTGGAGGCGTACCCAGATCCGATGCTCGTGTCAGGGGATGGGGGCCCCTGCCCCGTGACTGCAGGGTCGTAGAAGGCGATGTTGTCGGGTCCCGGAGCTTCCATCGCAAAATCCAAATAGAAGGATGTGTCGCTGATCTTCGTCACCGTCACAGTGGCACCGTTTGCATCTGACTTCTGGGAATCCTTGCGACCGGTCGTCACCACAGTAGGCAGCTCGATTTCGAGAAACATGCTGGAGTTCGAGCTGTCCTCGAAACGGATCTTCGAGACTGCTGTTGAGCCAATTGTGTCGAGAGTCTTGTCCGAGTTGATGGTGATCGTGGAGAAGATGCCAACCTCGACCCTGTTCCGGAAAGTGAGAGTGCAGTTCGGGCAATCGAAATGCGACTCCTGGTAGGCAATGAATGTGTACTTGTACATGCCGCTGGTGAGGTTCTTCACATCTGGGCACTTCTCTGCAAGCGTCGTGGCATCAAAGCCAGGGGTGTTGTTCACCATACCAAGGCATCCGTCGTCATCAATCGCACCATCGTTGGTGTACGTGAACAGCGGCATAGACCTTGCTGAGAAGCCGTTGCTGATGATCAGCTGTGCCAGCATCATCTGGAGTGAACTTCTGGTCGGTTCCCATGGGGTCCCATGGCATCGCAAAGTCCGTGGCAACCAAGAAGCCGTTGTATTCGGACCCTGCCACACCATCCACGAGCTCGTCCATGCCGCCCATCATGGGAACTGACTGTCCGACTTTGACCTTGACGGTGGAGCCGTTGACGCGAACCAGATCGCTCTTGGTGCCATTGTAAGTTATGGCAGGTGCTTCATAGACCAGCTTCAAGTAGTCCGTGGTGTAGCCGTTGGGCGCGAGCAGAACCGACAGGCACTCCTCCAAACCGGCATCGGTGCTCGGGTCTGAGCAGGCGTACTTTGCCTGCATAGGCCCTGACCCAAACCACGTACCCGCTGCATTCACAGGGAGCGTGTCGTAGGTCAAAATGTTGGCATCCACCAGCCTGGCAACGAATGCAGCCAGGAAAGGACGCATGGCTCTCTGTGCAGATCCGATGACTGGATTGCTTTCGGGGTCGCTTCTTGGGCCAAAGTGGCTACAGTACCAGTACGGTTTGCTCAAAATAACGGAGCTTATTTCGCAGTGGTTTCGCAGCTTGTCAGGTAAGAGCTCGATGTGCCTCGGTGTGTCATAGCTTGCAAGCATCCGACGGTTCCACGTCAGATCCGGGCTTACGGAAAGGCCTTTCGACACTGCCGGTTTGCCAGGGCATGATCCGGTCGCGCATTCCCATTGCATACCCGATAGTCAGATTTCGGTCTGAGGTGCACCGCGTCGCATTACACATGCACATGCGATTACATTTTTTGCGGTAGCCGCAGCAAACGTGTCAGGATGAACACATGAAACTTTCAGACAGGATCGTGAGGAGCGGACGTGGCGACCCGGGCAGCTCTTGGGGCAGCGTGCCCTGGTTTTCATGGGATCTGAACCGTGTGCGGCTGTACATTCAGGTTGAAACGCCGCTGTGGAAGCAATTTCGTGGGTGTTCAGTCACCTGTGCCGAGCCTTGGCCAGATTCTGCTCCTCCCGCTGCATGGTGCGAGGGCCTCCTCCTGCCACAAGGGGCTCTGAGCCAGGCAGGTTTTGCAACAACTCCAGCGGACGGCCTTCACAACCACTGGGAGCGTGGCCTCCACCTCAGCAGGCCAGCCGCCGCGTCCGACATTCACACTCTATAGCAATGACAACAGACCCCCTCGACGTCACATCATCATGGCTTCTCGTCAAAGGTTCCGCTGCTGCGCGATGTGCCGCTGTCCATGGCAGTGCTTGTCGAGTCATCATCCTTTCGCGCACAGGATGCTTAGCTCAAGTAGCATGTACTTGGAACTTGAACCTGCTTACAGACAATGCAAATTGGCATCAGAATCTCTACACAGTAGTCACAATGTCATGGCCAGCGAAAGTCCGACACAATGCCACTGTATATATTTTGCTGATATGTATACAATAACACAAACTGTGTGAAATAACACAACATGCACTATAACACACTTTGCTTTTGACAGTTGTCTGCAGTATATGTAATGATTAGGTCGCATCCCTCCCCTCGCAACACGAGGCAGATCCTGGCCATGCTCCGGGCTTGTCGGATCTTTTCGTGCGGGCGTCCCATCGCTGGCGGAGAATGCAGGCTCCTGAGCTGTTTGGTCCAAGAAAATCACGTATTCCGACATCAAGCCCGTTGCTTTTTCGCAGATCGCCCTAGGAAGGAATGATCTGCACTGCTTCTGCAAAAAGCTGGGTGCCATGCTCCTTGCGCCGTTTGCAGCTGCAACCTCACGCAATTTCCGCAAGCAAGATCGGCTAGGGTGCTATCAATCTCGAAGACTGACTGGAGACTGTGAGCATCAGGCACTGTAAGACTCGGACAGATGCTGTTTCACAGCAACGAGGCTTTGCAGCATGCCGAGGGCATCTAAAGGCAAGTCTTGGAGAAGTCTCGGATTCTTTGTCTGAGACATAGGTTCCGACGTTTGGCTCCGTGAACAAGGAGATGCAGCCGGAAGAGCATCGCCAGGGGCAACGACCGTGGCTGGAGATGCATCCGGTGTCTGTAAGCTCGCTGTTGGACTTGCGTCCAGCCCGGAAGCAGATTGGGCCGTGCAACAATTGCCGGATCTAAGCGAAGGCGGCATGGAAGCCACTTCGCGCTCGCTTGCAGCTTCCCCGCCTGCCGCGCTGGCAGCCCTTCGACACAAAGGTCTCGATTTGCTTGAGCTGTCACTCCCAACCGGATCCGGAAGTGTCGCACCCAGTGGCACCTCTCTCTCAGACTTGACATCTGTCTGAAGACCAAGTTCCTCCGATTCGCCGGTCTCCGCAATGGGCTCTTTGCCAGGATCTCGTTCTTTACCCTTCCTGAGCGTGCCACCGTAATAAACAGCAGCTAGCTCAACAGAACCGACGCAAAGCCTCTAACAAGAACAACCCCCAAACTTCAACATCCCCGTATAGAACCCCTTATAGTACCCTTACCATGTCTACGATTCTTCCAAGTCTCCTGAGCACACCCAGCTGCTTTTCTAAATGCGCGCAGCTCCTTAGCATGGCACTCACAAGTCGAGTGTGCACCAGTGCACCTCTGATGGCAGTTTGCAGTTCCATACATACATATTTGTATATATATATATACATACACACATACAACTGTATACATAGATACGGATATACTTTACTCGCCTGGTGATTCTCAGGCCTTTGCGGCCTGAGGCTCTGGAGCAAAGCCACGAACTGGCGCGCATCAAACTCCAGTTGTCGCCGTAGCTCCACGTTGTCTGCAGAAAGCCGGGCCACCTGCATGGCTACGGAATACGGAATTGGCTGCTGCATGTTGCAATGACCGATCTAGCTGCTGCGACGAGTGCCGCGATGTCTGTATCCCTGCGTACCACCCTTCTACCCTTTAACACAGCGCTCATTGACACAACTAGCCGGAACTAGCATGTTTGATCGGGGGTGGGCGAGAATCCCGCTCTTTCATTTCAGGGAAACACAAGGTGTCGTATAGATCCAAGGAACTACAATATACTGTGGTCTGTTGTCTGTGTGCCGCAGAGTCGCCTCCTCAGTCGCTTCCGTCTTATGTGCTGTGACGTTAGCGAGTTGATCTCGAGCTGCACACACCCGAGAGAGGTTCCTTGGACCACGAGACTCTCAGAAGGAGTCGCCGCTGGGCGGCAAAGCTGGGGTCGAAAATTTCCCATCCACTGGTGCCGAGGCGCGCTTCAATGTCTCGCCTTCTTCGGAGGTCAGTCTCGCGAATCTCCTGCGAGGCAGGACACAGTCTACATCACTCCATCGGAGCAGCTCCTGAAATCATCAGGAATCAATCGCACCGACCAGGAGGCACAAATGGCTTACGGGCTCTTGCAGTTACATCGATGAGGACAGTCCAAACAAGCAGAGTCCATGGCCTCCGAAGAGTTTCCTTGATCGTGTCTGTTCTACGGGTGTGCATATGCAATAACGTATATATCATGTGATGTATGTGTAATATATATATATATATATATATATCTTATTTCTTTCAACTTTCATATACTGTACCTATATAAACATTACATGCTGCTGCTGTCGCATCATGTTACTTTACAACATGCTATTTAATATCTTGGTGTATTGTATCATATGACTCGCATTTCAGGATTCCCAGCTCTTCAGCCCATCCCACACCACCCGTCATCACCTCCAGGTATCGCTGGAAGGCTTTCGTCAAGGTCCGCAGCTCCTAGCAAACACTTGGATCATGGGACTTGGTAAGTAGGGATATGAGTAAAGAAACTACATTTACAATTTCTTATAACCCCAATTAAGGTACTTATAAGCCTTTTGCAACTGGCCTGCTACAACTCCGTCAGGACGAATACTTGACCACAATCATTATAGTACCCTACTTGAGTAGATCAACCTTATCCGCACGCTCCGTAGCCTTAGGACAGGGCTGCTCTATAGCACCATGTCCACTGCCGCTCCTCGCTCTCGCTACGCCATGGACCCTCCTGTCGTAAGGTACCTTATCAATCGAACCGATCTTTCGCGCCAGTTCCGGCTCAGGCTCAGGCTGCTTGCTGCAGAGCCACCACCCCTAAGGCCCTAAGCCCAACCCTGAGAAAAAAGGAAGCCGCAACAGCTTGTCCTCCCAAGACTTCCACTCCACGGCTGTGCGCATCAGCTGCAGGGCTTGCGAAGACCTGTTGCAATTTGGGACTTGCAGTGAAGGAAGGGATTGACAGACCAAAGGAAGGACAAGCACAGCCAGCAAGTTGCTTTGTTGACAGAATGTCTACATATGTCTTAGCGATCTACAAGTAATTTATGTATGAATCCTGCATGCATGCATGCCTGCATGTATGTATGCATATATGTATACATGTATATATGGATGCATCCATGTATGTGTATGTGTGTATGCATGTTTGTAACCTATGTGTGTGGATGTATCTAATTAGTAAGTTTCGCCTTAAGCTTCGCCAGGACCAACAACCAAGCATGCCTGGCCTACCTAAACAACCAAACTATGCAGTCACGGTCCGAGCAATTTGTAGAACTCTTCAACAGTATTGAAATCCATACGAAGACCCCAAATCCGAATAATGTAAATGTATACGGACATATGTAAGCACATGTACATGTATCTGTGTATGTCATGTGCTTCTTAGTTAGCTAGGTAGGTAGGATAGGATTGAGGTTAGCTCTCCCTACAGCTGATTGCCACGCATGTATGCACGCATGAACACATACCAAAACATACATACAAACAGTGCATACATGCACACATACATACATACAGTACATGAGCACAAGCGCACTCTGTCTCGATGCATCGGTGGCATATGAGCAGAAGTACTCTGAGTGAGTATTGCAGTACGTGTAGTGCGCGTTGCCCTGAGCAGCCTTGCCTCTCTTGAAGCTGTCGTGCTCGACTCTCCTCAAGGCGGTGGCTGAGGCCAGCCAAGGAGCTGAGACTCGCCATGGCCGAAGCTCAATAAAAAGCTGTACTGTGATGTCGGGCATAAAAGTCATATCCCTGATTAAACTTTGAGCCTGTGCTGTAAATATACATGTGTAAGCTGGAAAGGATGTATGAACAAAGTGGCCGCAGTCTGTATGTGCAGATGCACACTATCAACACAACTATCAGATATCGGAGGCAGGGATGCTTTTATGTCAACCACCGGACGACCCTTAAATGATCATGATGCAGCTCTGAGCCGTGAACAGCCGGGGAAGCTGAGCATGGCACCACCATCCAATCATAATCAGGAGCCGAATGCCAGTGATCGCTTGTCAGCATGCACTTGCTTCTCGGTGGGTCCCAGCATGAGCCAGCTGCGAATGTCCGTTCTTGCGCCAGCCACACTTTTGCCGCCCACAGTCTGGCGATCTCGTCTTGCACTACTCGGTCAGGTTGTACATACACACCCGCCCCGAGTCTGCATGCAGTTGGCAAAGATGCATTTGCTGAAGCTCATGAAGTAGACGCAGTGTGGCCTGAACGGACCTTCGTGTCAGTCTTGCGGAAGTTCTACCGCCCTGGAATTCATCGGATTACTCGGCTTACGTTTTGAGTGTTCTCTGACAAGCTGAGAACCGATGCAGAGCCTCGAGGAGGCACGATTTGTAGCTGCAGCCACAGACGTCACGTCTGGCTCGACATGGCACGACCTAGGAAAGAGCTCGTCCCTTGTCCAAGGCATTCGACTTTCGTGATCTGAGTCTGACACTGTGCAGATGCCAGGAGAAGCAGGGCATGTTTCCAGCTGCCGCATGCATCGACCCCTGTGCTTGGAGCACTTGCTGCACAGCGACTGAAAACTTCATTTCCTGTGAGCAAGCGCCTGCGTGCCAAACGGCCTGGTGCAAGTGAAGCCCTGCCAGCTGCCCCAGCTTCAGCAGCTGAAGGCTGGTCACCTCAACCGCAAGCTGAACAAGACAAGTTAGCATTCTCAGCAAAAAAACTACTAGAGTCTAGAGCAACAAGAGAGACTCACTCTTGGCTCCTGCCATGTGCCCTAGGCTTAGGACCTGGAAAAAAAACAAAAATAAGAAAATCACCATACCATAATCATAATCAGGACCCCCCCCCAAATAGTATAGGTAATTGGTAATTACATAAGGGCCCCTATATTTGGCATAAGAAGCTCACATAGCAAGTCCAAGCGACCCAGGGCTGGCCTTGTCGAGCGACTCCTAGAGCGTTCGTAAGATGGGACGACTCCAGGCGAAGCATCTGAGTACGCAAAGAGGCGAGGAGCCCATGGGCTTCCAAGACCTGCCATACCCCAATGCATCGGTATGTGTGTACAGAGAGACGCGCACACACACACACACACATCTATATACATATATATATATATATATGTATGTACGTATGTATGTGTATATATATATATATGTACATACCTTTGTGTACAGGTGTTCTACTCCGTTCAATTCCATCATCGCGCCGTGGAATCCGTACTTGAGAGCGCCACACTTCTTCAACGGATTCAGGCTTTGTGGGGAACTCGCATCTTCCCGTCGTTGTGTATCATTGGCTAGCCTCTGTAATCTTAGAGTCAAGCGAGGTAGAAGCTTCTAATTTTTCGTGAAGTTGCAGGTCGAGTGCCTGGCTGGTGGCAACCTCTGATTTGTGCCCAAAGTTCGCACACAACTACCAACTCCAGGATGCATGATGAACCTTGCCTTGCCGGTAGATGCCAGCGCTGTCAGAGCTGCTGCAAAGGCTTCTTGAGGTGGCTGCGATGAAGCCCTGATAGAGGGCTACGGCTATGTCGGCATTCACAAGCACCAACGTCAGGTCCGTCGCATGTCAAACGCTGGGAATCGATCTTGAAGCAGAGATACTAAGTACTCTAGAGCATACAGTGAGTCGCGGATGTGGGGCTGAACCCAAGCACGTGTGGGTTTTGCTTCCGGCCTTAGCCAGGCCAAAACCAGTTGCCATCTTGCTGCCTCTGCACAAAGGCCCAGGGCAAACACCCCTGCCGCACTTGCGAGGTGCGTGGGCCTGAGCGATTGCAAGCGGCTTTTAACGTCAAGACGAATTGAAAACAGAAGCCCTTGGTCCACATTTTCAGGATGAGGTGGCGAGGCTACTCGCCTTCTGATACTTCTGGTTTAACGAGCATGAGGGCACAGGCGTGGACTGTGCGGTCTTTTCAACTGCAGACGAATCCACAACAGACTGTCTCAGTGCCACAGCTACTGCAACAGCCTGGTGGTTCGGTCCATCCCGACACGGTTTCCATATGTCTCAAAGCTCCAAGAATCCAAGATATAAGTTCTGGTCGCATGTGCCATCGCACGAGTGGCGAGCGGTACTGTCTGGAAGTCTGTTGGGGGTGTGGCAGCATTCACGTCTATCAAACGAGGATCATGAGAGAACCCAGCGGGTGCATGCATGCCGTGCATGTTTATGCGCACCCTGTAAATACTTGTACATGTGCCTTTGCCGAGGTGATTGCTGATTGCCGCTGTTCTTTCGAGCGAATAGCCTGATATTTGCAAGCTGAGGATCGTGATTTCAGCGACCATCTGCAAGCAATGCCGCCAACGGTGCTGCATCGCAACACCTGCATGGCTACTGACTTTCCCTCGCTCGCACATCACCGGACAGGTCATGTCGAGGTCGACAGTGCGAGGCGGTAGCGCTCGATTGCTCACCACATGACCAACATCGAAGATTGGGCTTTGCGATGCTACACACACTGACGAGGAGCTATGCTTCTGATATTTCGTCAGTGCCTGGCACAAAAACCCGTGAACTGCTAGCAACTTCGGCTGGCCTGAACAAGCACTTACTGGAGTTTGCCAGTCGGCTTGGAGACGCCGTAGGCGTACAGCTCGGATCAGTTCGCAAGAGATTTCCCAATGGCCTGCGATCACGATATGTCAGCTTCATATGTCATCTTCTTATGGAAAGTTGCAGCTAAAGTCCTATGTCTCATGATGCCGGGGAGTTCCTGAAGTCTGCATGCGCTCATAGCTGCCATAGCGGGGCATGACAGTTCAACCAAGGCCGTGATCGAAATCCGTCCTGGTCTTGCGAAGTGTTTTTTTGGCTTGCAGAAGGCACACCTGGAGGATGCGCCAACCATGCTTGCAAGCGAGATGCCTCGCTTGGCCGCACCACGAGCTGCCACGTTGTGTATATCCGTATCAAGTAGGACAGCTGCAGAACATGCTGCGTCCAAGACCTTTCAGCAAGCAGTTCCTGTTTTGCGACGCTTGCTCTACGATCCGTTAGACTATGCATGGCAGTTTCAGGATATCTCACACACCACCAAACGAAGCCAGGCCTGCATGGAAGCTGGCCAACACTGCGAGCTGCTGCAGGCAGAGGTCAGCATGCCAAATGTGACAAGATTTGCCTGGCAGGTAATGCCAACCTTCTGGGGGTTGAAGCCCTCTGATACTCTCAGAAGTCCCTGGGAGCCGCAGAGATTGCTTCGAGTGACTTGGCTCTGGTCGGGTCGCCCAGCAAACCCAGCAGAAACACCCACAATTTGACTGGGTTGGTACTGTCTTAAAGGTTAGACTGGGGGTGGCTTGATTGTTTAGAATCGTTGCAAGAAGGGTCTTGCTGTTTAGGCTGTTCAGGCTCTAGAGCTAGTCCCGAAATGTGGCGAAACTCTCGTTTAGGTAAGTGCACATTGAACTTGAGAGACAGGAGGTCCACACAACTGCAGGAACCAAATGACCTTGACAATGACGGTCGTGTGTTGCCGGATGGGCTTCAACGGGACGGTGATTGGTTTTCAGGCAGGCTCGGATAAGATGAACCACATGTCAGTTTTTTGGCAATTTGGATCGTCGGGCGAGATAATGATGAAACTGATTGGGTAGGACTTTTACACACTGTGCTTGATGTGGCTTGGCATGGCTTGGCTGTAATACCTATCTACCTACCCACCTGGCTTTCCAAGCTTCGTACCGGCATGCATGCAGAGAGAGAGAGAGAGAGAGAGGAGAGAACAAGTCAAGAAACAGTCCCCTATCCCTGTGTGCACACACAAAGGATAGATCCCCCATCTTCTTTCTCAAAACCCACCAAACAATCCCGTAAGTGACGCACGAGCCCGGCCCCAGGTTTGCATATGAAACTGCAGGGTTGTGTTCGTGGTTTTGGCATGCCCGGCAGAAGTCTGCTCGGTACTGACCTGCAGATGCTGCTGCTTACTGGTCTGCAGCAGGTGGCCGGCTTCCTCAGCTGCTTCTGACGGCCCATCAGGCACCGACAGAATGTTCGGCGGGCAATCGTCGCCGCAGTTCTTCAAGCTTAACTAAGCTTGACTAGAAAGTATGTATCGCTTCCCACAAGCATACCATAGCATACCCAGGCACCTGCCAGTGTTGTGCATCCTGGAGTGGCCTCGCCAGTGTGCCTATGGCCACGATGTTCGAGCGCATGCCACGCCGCCCACACACCAATGACATCGACCTTGGGACTTGCACCAAGGTCTGCCGTATACCCTGTGACCAGCTGCTGAGGCAGAACCGCTGCAACTGGTAATCTTGTCATGGTCAGAAACTGGCCACCATGCTGCAGACGCTCGTCTTGCAAAAAGCCTGAGTACTGGGCAAGGACATGTTCCAACTGCTCGCTGATGTGGTTGTCGCGGCGCACATGCTGAAGTCTTGTCGAACACGCCGGCGCTCCAAGAGATCAAGCCACTGAAGTGATCCTACAGGTATAGGAGTCTAGGCTTGTCTTGGACCAAGCGAACATGCTTACGAAGTGCCGCCGCAACACAAGACAAGTGGCCTGCCTTCCCAACTGTGGCCCGCAGCCGTCAACATCCTTCGGTGTAGCTGGGCAGCGTCGGCGCACAGCCTGGGACCACTGCCGAAAAAGCTGTCGCACCACCCAACCCTGATTATGCCTGATTGGTGCGAGTCGCGCAGAAGCATGGTGCCAGGCACCATTTTCCGCAAGGGCTCCTTGTATTGCTGAATGACACGCATGCAGTGTTGGTTACGTGCTGACTCGAAATCGATCAGCCCTAAACCCTAGACCCTAAACCCCTAAGCACACAGGCCTGCCACGGAACCTTTGACGATTGCATTCATTTCCACGGTGCTGCGGTACATGCTCCGAAGCAACAGGACAGCCAACAGCCAGCAGGACTCCAAGCCGGCAGCCAAAGCACCGTAGCCTGAGTATAGTAAACCATAGTATTTTAATTATACTGTAAAATATTGTCGTACATTATAGTCATAGTCTACTGTAGTATATTCTAGTTTCGTACGGTAGAGTTTATGAGATCATAGTGTTTTATATACAGATACAGTAAGGTATTATAGTCTTACATTGTACAGTCGTGAATTTGCGTGGGGCTGCGCCCCGCAGCTCGAGCCGAGGCGCTCTTCACAGTGCATGCTAACCTGGCGCACCTCATCTTCTGCAGAAAGCTGAATGAAAGCTGCCAGACATCTGCCGTCGTCGCGTGGATCATGGTGTTGAAAGTAACAACCTTGGCCACTGTCACCATTGCTGCGATTGCAGCATGGAAATGGAGGCTCCATGGTTCACGGGACGAAAAGAAGAAGAGAGGGGCATGCCAAGACACATCCGGCTTCGAAATGCTCTTGCCGACCTTGTCCAATGCATTTGCCCAGAGCCCACCACCTCGATTTGTCCCAATTACCATTACCACATATTACCATCTTCTCCCGCTCAACCAGGTAGGCCGAAAATGACAGAGATCCATGAAGCATTGGCTTTCGGCGTTCTGTTCTCATCCTACCACCTGAAAGCTTGCAAATTGAGATTAATGTGGCCTGGATGCTGAGAGTGTCTAGCTGGCCGTTGAAGTGTGCCTTGGCTGTCTCTGTCTGCGTCAAGTGCGTGAACGCGACATCTTACACAAAGTTCCTACGCAATGCAGTCTTCGAGGTGCGATGTTCAGGATTCCGCCGCTTTGGACGAGCTGGCGAATTAGAGCTTCAGCAGCTTGCCAGCTTGACGGCCCATGCGCAGCAACTGCTGAGCAAATCGCGGCACTGAGTGTCTGGAGGCACCAGGCTCTCCTGTTCGCACAGAATTGGCCGAATCTGAGTCTTCGTGGAAGGGAGGGAGCTACAGAGCATCGCAAAATCGCGGAGCTTCATGCCCTCCCCGCCTGGCAGCGTGGAGCAGACGAACAGCCTGCCGCCAAAGTCCTCCAGCAGCTTGGCCTTCACAAGGCACAGAAGGCTGCGAACAGTTTTCGAATTTCTATCACATGTTGACTCAGCGACGATCTTCAACTCAAAGGCAGCAGCGTGGGCCGTGGGACCGCATTGTCCTTACCGCTCATGCAAAATCCTTGCGTTCGGAGTGAACATCCAGACATAAGAACAACCTCAGGACCTTTGTTTTACCACTCGCGTTTGACAGTCAGGCGAGGTTTGAGGCAATGACAGCAAATCCTTACATGTGGAGGAATCTCTGGTTCGCGGTGGACCTTACGCTCCTCGTTCAAATAAACAAGGACGAGGGTCCTTCTACGGGAAAAAGGAAGATGAATTGGAGTGGAACAGGTGAAACGGAGTAAACTGCACGGAATGACCATTGACTGTCACAAGACTACTCTGCACAACTCAGAGTCATATTCCGATTCCAGAACGGTACTAGTAACATGTCGACTCGGATCCCGTAAAATGGCTCGGAGTGTCTCCGATCTGGCCATATCAATGGGTCGCAAGCCTGCATTGCCTCGGATCTCCGGGTCTGCCTGCGAACGAAGCAAAAAGGCTGAGAGTCCATGGTTGTCCAGCAAGGCGCAAAATCCCAAAGGGGTCGTGCGCAGGTGGCTGAAGACTCTCGCAAAAATGCCAGGCTTGGGTCTGCAGTAACTATAGGCCTGGCACATCAGGTGAAGCACCCTAAAGAAGCCTTCCGGCTTCATGACTTGGTTGATGTCTGCCATGTTCTCCAGCAAGAGCTCAGCATTTCTGAGATCGCTTGTGGCGTCACCACTGAAAGCAATGTGGTGCAAAGGCGAGGAATTTGCCAGCCCTCCTCTTCCACCACTTACGTCTGCTCCCAGCTCCAGCAGTCGGGCCATTACTTCAGGAGGACATCCCAAGCCTGCCGCCACTTGGATGGGGCTATACTGGGTAATGCACTTTCCCTGGAAGTTCACACTAGCACGATATTGAACCAGGAGATCCACCGCCTCCCGTGTCCTGCAAAACCCCAAAGCTGGGGAAACATGGATGGTAGAGCTGTTTGCTTCAGCTCGCAGCTCCAAGAGGGTCTGCAACACATGTAAGCCTCCGCTGTTAAACCACAAGGCCAAATGCAATGGCGTGAAATCAGCGGCATTCAAGGTTTCTGCCATTTTGGGCGCATGGGTGTCCAGGGAAGCCCTAGCAGCGACCACACGGCGAAGCAACTGTGCATCGCCCAGAAGAGCAGCACAAGCCACTGGACCAAGGCCTGTGTACTGCTGCAATGGCTTGGAAAAACCGAATTCTGACGCAAACTCGTCAAGACTGCGTAGTTTCGGAGTGAGACCTGTCACGTGTTCAAAGAGGGACAGGTATAATCGATGGGCGGTCCCGTCAGTCTGATACAGATTGGCCAAATATGTCGAGAGTGCCGCTTTGATGATGAGCTTGCAGGAAGCCCGGTCTTTCTGAACTGCAAAGTCCCCCGCGTGCACCTGGAATCGGTGCCACAGAGGTGCTGTGAAGCGCATTGCCTCCGGACCCTTCACCTCTACGACGGGAATCTTGGATCTGGAAGAAAGGTGGTAGCACCAAAGCTCAGTGCGGCACCAACCACGTTCAAGCCAGCTGTGCATATTACATGCTTTTTGTGTATCAGTGTGCAGAGCCGGCGGAACCAAAGCAACAAAAACGCTGCAAAGCTCCACATAGCTAGGAATGCTCCTGATATACAAAAGCTGCTCTTCTCCAGTCACCAGAAACCCTCTCACCAGTTGAGGGACACAAAAGTAGTCCATCCACATGTACCAATTTTGAACGCCATCAAGCTGTGCAATTTTATGACCTCCGAAAAAATCAGAGACGATATCACGCTCAATGGCGACTCGCTTGGTCATCAAATTGTTCAAGGCAGCCTGAAGAACTTGCATTTGGACCCCATTTGCATCAGGATGGTGGAAGCCCAACCACTGGTGTGAAATGAACAGGGTGAACATCTTGGAGCTCCACGGTTCCAAAAGACCCTGAACTTTCAGCGTCTGATGCGGCAACATGTTCCCGGTCATCTTAAGGAAGTCCGCAATGCGCAGAACCCACATTTGGGCATGCTGTGGGTGCTCATGCCGGGCATGCACCGGGCGACTTCCACAAGATCCCATGGAACGTGGTTCAGTGCGGGTGAGACATGAAGCTGCTGGTGTAGTTAACGGATGCTTGTCACCATGTAAGCTTGTGGCTTGCGCTTGCGTGCGTGTGTGTGTGTGTGTGTGTGTGTGTGTGTCTGTGCCAGCATCTGAAACTTGTGCAACGTTGCTTTCAGCCGGATCCCTTAGGATCCCCTTGACCCATGTTCTTGCAAACGAGTGGTGCGCATTCTACGGTCAGTAACTCTGTTTTTGCCCTGCGGGCCGTGTGGAACTATGTTTTACTATGCTAGATTATACTATATTTTACTACATTGCACTATACCGTATTCTAGTTTATTACACTGCGCTATATTATACTTTGATGTCCTGAATTATATATTATACTATTTTGTATTGCACTATTCCACGTTGTGCTACTGGTACACGGTACTAGATTGTACTATACTTATATTTTGCTAAAGTATATTGTACTATACTATACCAAAACCTTAAACCCCTAAACCCTTCTTTGCATCCAAACCCCTTTGAACCACTGGACTGAAGTCTAGCCAGTCTACGACCCACAATCATCCAAACCCCTAAACCCTGAACCCCTATAGTCCCTTTAGCGGCTGAGAAGCAAGAGCCCACCGCAGCTCCCAGGGATGCTGCGCGCGGCTGAAGGCCTTGAGCCCGCAGCCCAGACAGGACCTTCCGAGCTTCAGTTTTGCGGGCCCTTTATTTTGGATTTGGGGGCCTTTCATTAGGTTTTGGGAGCCATTTCTTGAGCTTTGGGGGCCCAAGGCAAAGGAGTTATCTTTTTTTGAGACCTCTTGTCGTCCCGACGGCGTGCCCAAACCAAAAATGCCATATTGGCTGAGGCAGCGGACCGGGCAGGCACCACTACCCACCCCTCACATCCATGCTGAAGTATGACCCACTACAATTCAGCTCCTTGCCCTAGACCCCGTAGCTTGGCCACACTGCCACTGCGCGACTTAAGCAAGTTCAAAGGCTACTTGTACAGCACGCCACACCTCTGACACCCCTCATTGCGGTGGCAAGTGGCTGCATGCTCCTTAGTCCACCCTGTGCGAACGGGAGTACAGCCTTGTACTAACACCTCTAGCTCGACCCTCAAGTGACAACACCCGACATGCTTGGAGCCGTAAAAGCTTGAAGGTAGGGTTCAGGGTTTAGGGTGGTGGGCGTGGAACATGTACATGATTCTGCGCTACCCGGCATCCTGTGTTGGGCCTCAGAGATAAATCCATTACCTCACCAAGGTCAAGGCAGATTCTGTGCCGCCTTCCTACTACGTCTATGTATCTGACAGCTTCGAAGCCCCAGGAACCTAAACCTGAGCATTCTGCAAGAAGTCGCACGCCCTGCTCCCAGCAAGTACGAAATAGGCTTGTGATGTTGTTTCTCTAGTATTTACTGGGCACGACTCCGGCATTCAAAGGCAAAAGAAAGGTGAACGCCAGAAGGTAAAACAAAGGTGATGAGGCAAACGAAAGGTGCGGGAAAGGTACAAGCCAAAAGGTAAATAAAAGGGTGAGCCTCAGCCTGTGCACTGGTCAATGATACAGAGAGGGTCATGCTGAAGAGCAACAGTACGGAGAGTGTTGGGTGACAAATGTCACATGAAGCAAGAGCGAGCATAGCTGCGGCTTCACCACACTCACTTGCTGACTCCCTTTGCGAAGTGACGGTGGCTTATTCTTGTTGTGCCGTCTCGGAGTTGTGGGCTTCTCTTCAAAGGCAACCACTGAACAAAACAAGCAAGGGTGGGGGCCTTCACAATCTAAACGAATCATGAGCAGAGATGCGCCAATCATGCTTGGAACGGAACCTGCCCTGAACCAGCTGATGCTCACGATCTTCGCTTCTGGTGGGGGCTGTTTGCTCACGTCTGATGATAGATTCTAGATGCACCCATCCGCCCAACCCTGAAACCACCTTTTCCGGTGAACGCTTTCCGCGCAGCCACCTTTTTGTCACCTTCTGTTTCAGGCGCTCGCCTTTTTCCACCTTTTGCAAAACAAATCACCCCGGGGAAGTGCAAGGGCTGGGGATAGGCTCAGTGAAGATTGGAGCCATGGACTACAAGGTAGAATAGGGAACGCAGCCGGCACTAGGTGCGTGAAAACATGTGAAAACACATGGGAGTTTCCGAAAATAAGGGTTCCTAATATAGTACCCTAAATAGTAGGATTCTTATTATAAGGACCCCAAAATGAGGTACCCCTAATTTTCGGAAACTCCCACATCCCAGTCCAATGAATGGGTATATAACAGCTATATTAAGGGTCCCTCCTCCTTTTCCCCTTTTTTGAATGAACTCAAAGCGGCCTGAAGAGCCAACTGCCACTGCTTTGCCCGGCTGAGGCCGCAGGCAACGGCATTGAAGCTGAGGGTACTTGCCTGGAGCCTGCGAAGGGACACTGAGCTCTGCGACTTTACTCTCCATGGCGCGAGTCAGTGCTAGGGGCCCTCTTCGATTCAAGGAACAGGTGAGTAGGGTTAAAAGGCTATGAACCCTGGTGTGAGGAGCCATGTCATCCTATGACTGCGCATGGTAACAGCAATGCCTCATGTTGAGAACAGCAGGGTCAGGCAGGGTCACGGGCCTCGCACGGCGAATGTCTTGGAGGACCTCCAAGACGTCCTGCCACCGAACGAGGTGTCCCGCCCGCGCGGTGAACCAGGCCAAGCCTCTCTCCTGTCGCAATCAAACAGCAGTTTCCCACTTCGGTACCCAGAGCCACCGATGAAGATGAACACATATGATGAAGGTGTGTGAAGATGAGTGTTGCGCGCCTTGCCATCTGCATTGAAGGGCCGACTGCCACTGGCTTCTGGCCAATGCGCTGGGCTCCAATATTCCACGGCAGGCATGCGCTTCTCGCGGGCTGCCCTGTGATAAGGTGGTTCAGGTTTTGAGCCACATAGGCGTGCGACGCAGCGGAAAGCCTGGCTTTGGCAATGGCCTCGCAACTTGCCACAGAAGTCATTCAAGCAGCATGCTTGGATAAGGGGCTCATTCCGCCTTTTCATAGCACATGCTGTGCCGGGCTCTTGCAGTGCTTGGAGGCCCTGTTGACTTAGTAAGTCTACTTAGTATCCCCTAGAAACCCCATTATAATCCCCATAACCCACCTTACTAACCCTACTTACTAAGTCAAAAGGGCCTCCAAGTGGTCGGACGCTCAACCTGCCAGGCCCCAGTGGAGCTCATACACCCCAAAGTAGATGGCCAGCATAAGACCTTGGCGTAGGCAAACCTACTTCATCGATGTCCAGCACGAGCTTTCTGCTGGGATTCAACCCATTTACGCATTGAGCACTGTAGTCCGAAAACTGCAAGAAGAAAGTGTAGTCTGTCAGGAGCTTCTTTCGCTTCTGGCCTGCATCTACGCCATCTCGGCTGCCGCTGACCCTCATGCAGATGCACCCCACGGCCTCGAGCGACGAATTAAAGAGCAGACTTCATGATCCTGAAACACAGGCATCACCTTGCATGCGCGAGCTTTTTCTGGCTTGCAAAGATCTACTCTTCTGGTTCTGGGCGAATTGGGCTGGCAAGAGATCACCCAAGCTGGCTCACAGCGGTGCACAGGGATTCTGAGCAAGAAGGCAAGGTGGACTACAACAGAATGAAGTCTCCCGGGCAGTGACATGGAAGCATTGCGCAGCTAGAAGGGTGGAAAGGATCCGATGTAGAACTCAAAATCTCCTCGAAGTCGCTTTTGAGTCCATGAGAGTCGCTGCTCACAACGGGCCACTCATGCATCAGCAAGATCAAATTCCAAACCCTGATTTGTTGAGTCTGTTGTTCCGCTGCTGGGTAACCCTTGCCAGCAAACTGCTGAGCTTCTTGTCGTCGCGAAAAGCCATGTTGCAAAGGCCTTCTGGCCCAGGATCCACAAGCGTGGCCACTCACTCAAGCATCTTCACACCAACCTCGGGCTTGTCACAGTCGCTTCTTGCGTAGATGCGATGCGGGAGCCACCGGCTTTGAACTGAGCCTGCAGCGATTTTCCTCTCGAACCTGCGCCTCCTGTAGCAGCTCGAGCATGCAGAGACGACCCGGGCGACAAGGGGGCAGGCGTTTTTATGGGGGGCCTCCTCTGGCGTGAAGTCGTTCACGATGTTGAACTGCTTGCGGATTTCCTTTCGGCAACAGCTTATTCCAGCTTTTTCTCGGCGCTGCAAGGGCACTTACACCCGTTGCGGACCTCAGTGTTCTTGCCCTTGATCATGGATGCAACCTGAGGGCCGTGATCAAGACGAGAAGTCACACCGAAGTTGCCCTAGAGCCAGGCATTGCTTAGTTTGCTTGAGATGCTCGCCTTTGCACAGGTCAGGTCGAGGAGGCTCTTGATATCCAGGTAGTTGGCTGCAAGGATCAGCTCGAAAAGGACCTCTTTCTTGCATCGTATCTGAACGGATGTAACAACTTCATGTCAAACATCAATGTTACCTCTTGTTCGATGTTCACGTACTCGTTGTCCCACTCTGACACGCCACACCTGAATTTCTGCGCAAGCTTCTTCGACTGATTCGTGGCGTCTGAGTGGTCGCTGAGGGAACTGCTCGACCAAATTGGTGCTCTTGAGAGGCTTCTGAATTTCCTCAGGTGGATTGTCCTGCGAGCTGCTCAAGTTCACGACCCTGACCTCTGCAAGCTTGCAGAATCGAAGTTACCACGGTTGGACTGAAGGGTCCAAACTTCTCACAGAGCTCGGATAAGCGAGCGATCCTTGTGGTACTTGCAGTAATCGATCACCTGTCGAGACATGTCTGACAACCAAAATGTACTTGGAGGAAAAGCCGCGAGCACAAGTTCAGCGCCTTGGACAGGATTGCCGTTTTGACCTGAACACGTGCTTCCAATCGAAGAAGGCTTGTTCCACCGAAAGTTGCTGTTCCATGCACAAAGAACGAACTTGACCATTTGCAATGCCAAGGGGCATTGGGCAACGGGATCTCCTCATCAGTGCCACTGTCTTCCACCATGTTCTTCACCAAGGTGGACATGCATGCCACCTTCCAGGTGCTCGCAGGTCATTTCGACTGCAACTTTTGGCCTTCGTGTTTCGCTACGGATCAGCGAAGCTAAAAGCGCCCACACCTCAGGCTCCACTTCGAAGATCTCGCCCTGGGAGGACTTGAGCTGAACCTTGTCGCCTTCCTGACATGCAGCTGGAGCAGGGTCCTCTAGTGACTCGAGCGCTTACGGGCTTGCTTTTTTGCATCGGGCGTGGGGGAAAACGCTTGTCCTTTTGCCGCAAGTGCATGCAGGCCCAGCATTTGGCCACCCCGGGGTCAAAGCGCGCTGGAGTGTGTTGCAGAACTGGTGCTCGACTTGTCTCGTTCTTTATTCTTTTTTCGCCTGCTTCATGCAGAAGATTTGGGACACTTGTTGGCAACATCTTCGGTTCCTCATTTTCAGCGATCTCGCGGTTGTAGCGCGAACTTCCTTCCCGCAGTCGCGACTTTCGTCTGCAAATGGTGGCTAAACCTGACGGCCGTCCGTGTACTAATTCAGATCGAAAAAGGAGGATTCTGCAGCTGAACTTTCGCGCACTGGGGCACCACCAGCCACTACAGGGTGGCACTAGGCTTCCTGCCTGAGACATCCTTCGATGCTCTAGGCACGACTCCTGACGCTAAGCACGCGATAGACTGCTGCTGCTGGGCTGAAGTCCAGCGGGAAGGTGACATGGTTGAGTTCGGGGTTTGTAGGGATTTAAGGCATTGATCGGCTCGGCTTCAGTGTCGGATCCTCTCGCGGTGCCGCGTTACACGCAGATTTAAGCCAAGTCGCCGGCATGCTGCACCAAAGGGTTGAAAACCAAAACCACGACGACACACAGCACAAATCGCAAGGGGCTTGGGCCGAAATCGTTGCAGAGGGGCCGCGAATGTCTGAGCACGCGGAAGGCCTACACTGCTTGCAAGCACAATGAGTGGGACAGAGTCTCAATGGGTTCCGGCGTCGCTGAAGGGAGCGTTGGCCGAGCTGAAGGTTTCCACCTCGCCCAGAACCTCCTTGACAGCGCGAAACGATGCGAAACAGTTCAACTGTATTCCATTCGGAGATGGCAGAAAGACAACTGACTACAGTGTGCTGACGTAGTCCTGCTGTGGATCCGAAGTTGGTTTAAAGGATCATGCTTTCTGTCTACGTTCGCAACACGACAGGGAAGTGTCCTGCATGTCGTCTGTCAGCAGAAGAGCGAAGTCTTCGTACACGCCGTCGCAATACATGCGGGTCTTCAGGGCAGCTCAAACATAAACTTGCTGGTGTGACCAGTGCGAACTTGAAAGACTACAAAGGGCGCATGTACGTTGCACAACATGCTGCTCCTGCCATTAACCGATGTCTGGCATACCTGGCCTCTCCGTGCTCACCGCACCGCAGGCAGTACCGAGAGCGCCTCACTTGTCACGTAGCACACTGAACTTGACTGAATCGTCTTCTTGCGCACAGGTCAGGGCACGCGCACTGCAGTCTCAACCCTCGGTGCATAGCGAACTCCCTCCAGTCCACCCCCAATCTTGAACTGCCCATATGCAGCTGCCCTGTCGCCTGTCCGGGTCACGACCAAGACGACCAAAAAAACGTCCATCTCCATCAACAATATCCATTTCCATTCCTAGCAAGCATCGGCCGGGAACGGGGTCATGATTGAATATCTTCGTGAGGTGCTGTGTCCAGAGCGGAGACGCATGTGCAATCCTATGGTGCTAAGCGCTACACGACGAGTCCGGCCATGCAACAGGCTCATTCAACACAAACACTTGCTGAACACATGCCACCAGACATCGCGGAAAAGAACAGCGGGAAGGCGTGCTGCATTGACGCTGCTCTAGGGTGCAGGCCGTCACTTCCTCGAACGAGGTAGCCTTGGCACGAGCAAGCACATAATTAAAGCCCGTCCTCTTTTCACAGATTGCGTCATCACAGATGACACTGCAGACAAGCAAAGCTTTGCTCTGCTGGATTTTTGCAGCGGCAATGCAAGATCAATCTTGGGCACCGGCCCGCTGATAGAATTTCTGGCTCCTCAGCTGCGGAGACATCGCCAGTCCTGTTCAAGGCCACGTACTTGCACGTGCTCTGCCATGGGCTACTGGTCGCACTAAGAAATCTGTGCGGCAAGCGAAACAAAGCCAGGAAAATGGAGTCATGCCCATGCCAAACCTTCTCGCCATGTGCACATTACTGACAAAGGACTAGGACGAAACCCGCAAAAGCGCGAGTAGTTCGGAACAGATTATGTAAATCAGCCCGTGTGCGAATACATGGAGTGTTGTACTCGTTCCATTCGCTGAACACTTGCTCTAGCCGCTAGCCGAGCAGCAAAAATGCAACCACACTGTCAGTTAAGATACTCAAAACAAACAACCAAACTTGGGGCATCAATGAATGACAAAAAACAACCGTGAGTAGCCGACGCGAGTGCAATTTTGAACCGTGGCCAAGATAGATAGACCGTCCACTTGTGCCAGCTGGCCGTGCCTGCGCATCTCTGGAGGCAACCTGGGAGAAATTAGAGAGCAGAAGCTTTGGTGGGCTCGCAGATTTGTCCGAGACGTCGACGTGGTAAGCACAACCGTCGCATGTTGATCGTTCCTGCACGCAGAGGGTACCGAACGGAGGTGACAGGCATGCGTTCAGGATTTGCAATCAGCCCAGTCTGCCCTACTGGGAAGGTAGGGCTTAAACTGCCGGCAGTCAAACACATCGTCGCCCTATTTCTGGTTACGCTTGAATGCGGCAGACTGCCAATTAATGGGGAGGCTTGCAGTCATAAATCGGTTTGTGAGCACGACAATTACTGAAACAGATACGCGAACATCGCAATGTCAAGTTTTGACAATGCAAGCATTCTCGACCCAATCCCAACTATGCGATGCCCGGAAACGTTCTTACTAAACCTATGTTGCGTCTGGGATCAGGGTGAAATCTTAGCCGAAGACTTTCTGTCAAAGTGGCCTCGCCATCGAGGCACTTGCGGGAGGCCAGTAGACCGAAGTCCTCAAGTACCAAGTTCCCGATCATGTTTTCAATGTTCCCTACTGTCATTACATGCCTCCTTCCCTTTCTGGTTTGGACCCCTTTCCATATCCCACTAAATATGTGTGAACATCTGGGTGCGTGCGTTCTCTTAGGAGGTGCTATGCTACAGCATGTAGCGCACAGCATCTATGTGCCGACTCGTTTCCTTGCAAATTCTTGTGTTTTCTGCTGGCGATGTCTCTTAAGCAGGGCAACTCACATGCACAAGTATGTAGGAAAAGATAGGAAGGTAAATGCACAGACGTGAGAACATATATATATATGTATACATACTTGCAGGCATGTTTATGAAACAAATGATAATGTAGGTCTATGCATATATATATATATATAGTTACACAGACACACATACACATATACACCGAAGCACGCGCACACACACACACACACACACACACACACACACACACACACACACACACACACACACACACACACACACACACACACACACACACACACACACACACACACACACACACACACACACACACACACCACCACACACACACACACACACACACACACACACACACACACACACACACACACACACACACACACACACACACACACACACACACACACACACACACACACACACACACACACACACACACACACACACACACTCTGACACTGACTGCAACAGCCACGGGTACGTTGAAGATGATCGGTTATACATATAATGAATAATGAAAATTCAGGCAGTAGCAGGCAAGGGCTCCACATGGCTGCTCAGTGAAGAGCACAGCAAGAATCCTGAAACACAAGCGCAGTAGGGGCCAGCGCTGACTGTTGCTATGAATCTGACTACTCACTTGAAGGTCTGCTCTAGTTGCTCTCATTGTTCCAGTTGCAGGTGGTACTGGGATTCGCACAGGTCCCACGGTAAGTACCGTAAGGTACTGCTCTACGCTGCCCTCCTTGAATGTGTACATACGTAAAGTGTAAAGATAAATAAACGTGTACATACGTGGCCTGAGCGCATGCACGTGCCACAAACACAAGCACACCCCACCCATCCACCACCACCGCCAAGCCTACATTGCCTTGCAAGCCGACACACCTGAGAACCAAGCATGGGGCTGCCACAAGGAGGTTCGCAATTGTGTCCCCTGTAGACCTGAACAACGGAAAGATCTGGCTTAGTTGGAGACAGACGGCCCGGACCTGAATTCGAAAGCATTACGCCGGTTTCGAGCAACGGCACAAGTTGAAAATGCAGCGGCACATCGGCCCTGCTACTGTGCAGCAACTGCCCGAAACTTACGACAACGAACGCCTAACGAACCTCTAATCGAGTGCTCGTTCTAGGGTTGCTGGCTTGAGCACAGCCCAAAGGTTCCTGTCCACAGGCTAGTTTGAACCTGGGACTTTCACACCTGTATTTCGTATTATATTGTACCGTAGTATACTGCAATATGTTATCGCATATTATAGTACATAACAACAGTATGTATTTCGGAGTCTAGCAGGCTACAGTTATAATACATGATACTACTTAACAGTATGTAAAAGTATCATACCCATATAGCATATGATACTACATAATAATATAATGTTGCGCACATAGCAGATGATAGCACATGCTATTAGTATGTGACAGTATTATGCCCAAGAACCCTCACCAAACGAGACCTCTCGCCTCTGCTCTGAGCAGCGGCTGGCCATCAGTACCGAACACGATGACGAAGATGGCCGACCTGTCCTGGCGTTTGGGCATTAGGAGTTTAGGGTTTACGATTCTTTTAGAGTTTAGGGTTTAGGCATTATGTTTAGGAGATTCGGGATAAGGAGTTACGATCAGCAGTTTACGCTCTCGCAGCTCGGACTTGCAAGATCAGGAGTTTAGGGTTTACTGTAAACATAATGTACTGATCGTCTTGTTCATGACTACCCGTTGGCTGCCCGAAGCCTTGGGCATTGCAATGCACTGCCCCGTTGCACCAAGGGCATACTGCTTTGTGAATTGTCCAGCCTATGGGAATTCGGCGGTGCACATGACACGTGTGCGCGCGGGATGAACCTTTAAGTACGGCACGGTCGCTACTCACGTACAAGTAGCTGGTTAAGCCCTGTCTTCGGGTTTGCTGCCCGGTGGAGAAGCTTCGTCGGGGATCATGAGGGGAAGAGCTTGCCTCTGTGAAGTCGCTTGTCTTGCCAAGTACTGCAACCAACCAACCCTTATTAACTTGAGTGTCGCTTCCTGTGGCGAGGGGCTCGGGCGAAGCACAATTTCCGACTAGGTTATCCACCTAAGCCTGTTGGTCGGACACACCCGCACAGAGAGAGAGAGAGAGAGACACGCAGACAGACACTCACACACACACAGTGTTCCACATGAACGTCAGAGTCATCGTTTCAGCATGTATTAGAGAAAGCAGCAGTACCGCGAGCAGTGGAGGTTGCTTGCATCTCTGTAGTCGGCACATTGCTGTGGTTCCGTTTGCTAGTCGTAGCCAAAGTCGTGGTGGCAGTCGTCGTACTCTAATTCTTTTGACTGATACCAGCAGCTGGCAGTAGTGGCAGTAGCAGCAGCTCGCAGTACCAGTAGTAGAAGTAGATGCACTAGGCCAGGAGTAGGTGGAGAACTCTTCATAGCCCTTTGTCTGCCTTCGTCGGGATTGGTATGACCAGGCAGCACTCCGAGTTCCGAGGGACTATTAGCCTAGGTCTGGCCAGCAGCACTTCGAATCCGAGCCGTGATGCTTGAAGATTCCTTACGAGAAGCGGTGTCATGACAATCAAATGGCGATTAGTGTCAGTTACTTAGTGCAACCGTGCCGCTGTGAAATCATCATGGTCGCCCACAAACTACTCACTGTGGGATCTCCGTTCTCACGGGATCGTGGTTTCAGCTGTGTTTGACAGACTGAGAGTCCCACCCCGGGCACAGGGTCATCGGTGGTGGTGGCGAATCCGACGTCGGCCAGACTTGGTCATGCTGAGGTGCAAGGACTGTCTGTCTAGAGTGATGCAGTCTCCGAGTTTCCGAAAACGGACAAAACTGTCTTTCTCTCTGCTGGTGTTGACTTCGTCGATTTGCCGGGGCTGCGACACCATGGAACAGCCTCCGCCTGCCACATCTGACTGGTCTGGAAAATTCTGGAAAATCAGTTCAACCCTTCTTTCAGGCATCAGTGGAACAGCACCATTCTGTCAGCGCAGACCCCAAACAATGAACAAGCACCTAGTGGCCTAGCGATCCAACCCGGAAACCCAACCCGGAGCGATTTTGGCGGTCTCCTGTTTGGGAATGCTTGAAGGCCCCAGGTCTCTGGAATCTGCTCGGCTGTGGACCCCCTGGCGCTGCTCGGGTAAGGAGCCCCATAGTGTTGCCACATTCATTCGCTCTTTGGAATATGTACAAGCGAACGGACATGGCCTGCACGTCTCCACCGTCTGCAAGGTAAGGCAATGACAGGCTGTGCTGAATCCTGAGCGATAGTGAGCCGCACAGTTCCGGCTGTGCAGCACAGCGACAAGAAGTCCCGGTAAGTGCGCCGCAGTCTGTCGCTGACTTCCTGGCTTTGTGTCGACATTTTGGGTGTCCCTGGTCTCTCACTTCATGACTGCGCGCTCCATGCAAGACGCTGTGAGAATCTGGCTTCTAGGTGCGCGGTATTCTTGCTTCTGGGCCTCTTCGAAAAGGGTGGCAGCTCCTTCGTCAAATGATGCGCTCCTCGAGACCGTGAGTCACTCAGAGAGCCTGTCACTGTCACGAGCAGCTCTCTGAAAAGCTTGGCCCATCGCTGCGGCGTGCCACCGCCATACCATGGAGGGAAAGCTGTACGCATGGGAGGCAAATGTAGAGTCCCTCCAGCCTCGAGCGACCACAAGAGAGTTGAAGCAACCGGACTTGATCCGGCTCTTAGGGACTGGTCGGGGATTGTTGCTGTTTGTCGTCTCTTTGTAGGCACTTGGAAGTACTGGTCTGTGAGCAAACTCGCACATAAAGGAATTTCACGTAAAGATCTCGCGGAAGCGGCATCGGGTTTTCTGGGCCACTTTTAAAGCACAACGACTCATGTCAGATCCTTTTTTTTGTGGAGTACAAAACTGATCAACGACAACTGTCGTGCCATGTTTATGCGATACTGGATAAATAAATCATAATCAAGAGTTCGCCTGCCAAGGTTTCCTGAAAATCAAACGGTGGCACAGGCCGAGTTGTTTCCGGCATTTCCAGCTCACTGGTACACCCAATGAAGTGGGAGGTATTGATTCCCAAGGTGGGATCTTCATGTTTATGTGGCATATTAAAGACTTGTTTGAGCGGAACTCCATCCCTGGCACGGCTGGCGGTACTAGCGGCCTCCATGTCCGGCGAATCCCACAATGCCTCTTCTGGTGCTTCCTGTTTGGAACACGCAATACTTGGATGGTGTTGGATAGATGCAGCAGGGAATGCTCACACAATGCGCAATCTAGCAATAGAGACCTACTGATTGATGCTCTTCTTCCTTCCTCTGCCGGGGCCTCTTGCGGAGGGATGATTGGGCCTTCTAAGCTCTCCGATGGTGTGCTGCTTCTGACCTTTAGAGCACAGAAAGCATCATCGACTCTCAAAATGGACCATGCAGCTTGTGATGCTCAGGCTCACGTTCAGGACCCTGCCTCGGGCTGCAGGGGAGTAACGGCGGGACCTTCTGGGCCTTCAGCTGGTGTTGTTAGCACCTCCGAGACAGGCAACATGTGCCATAGATTCATGCAGCAGGCACATTGGCAAGAGTGCAACGATTTGACTGCAGATCCAGCTTATAACGAGGAGAACGAGACTGGGTCCAGCCCGGGTACAGTGGACCGGTGGCCACACTCCGAAAACTGACAGCTCTCGGCTCTGCGTGACCGCCGAAAGAAATCCAACCCCTAAATCAAAGCCGCAAAATAGAGGTCGGGTGCCTGAGAAGTTGCCGCACACGGCTGTTCCGCTGGTCTCTGTGAAGGCAAGTCTTCCTCCAAAACGAGACCGTCAACGGCAAAACGACGTAAAGTTGAACTGTGCATGGCATAGCAGAACGGGCTTCCTGCGTCTCTTCGGCCACATTCGGGTTGTCTTGGCGAATGTTGCTTCCAAGTTCCTGAACAAGGCCCCGTGCAGTGTGCGTAAGACTCGGAAGTCATAAGCTCCGCCCCCAGGACGAAGCGTTTGGTTGTGTGACAGAAATTGGACGGCAAGGGCAAGTAAAAGTAGGCCAGACAAAGCCGTGTCTGCCTCCGGAACAGGAGCCAAGACCGCTCTTTCCTCTGCAAGACGATCCTGTGCGAGAATCTGCTCAAGACGTTCTCGTACGTTTAACAGCGGCACAAGCAGGGAAGTCTCCTGATATTGTCGCTGGCTCCGCTGAAGGCCATTGCATGCCTCTCCAAGCAGCTTCAAGTCAAGATTCTTTGAAGGATTTCCCATGCTTCAGACATGGTTTGCATCTGGCCTTTGCGGGCCGGAGCTGGGCCCGAACACCTGTCTACGCGCGCACATCATATCGCCATTCAGCGGCTCCTCGTCTCTTTGCTACGTCTGCTAAGTGCCCTGCTCGACACCCCTGCAAGTTCCGGCTCTAGCTCGGTGGCTTTGTCCTCGCAGGTCGTACCGTCAGCCACGAAATGCCAGGCACGCTTGGTTGACGCTGGGACATCCCTAGACTCCTAGACCGCAGATCCAAGCATTAGGGGTGCAAGTCTGAGTCAAGAAAGCAGCTTCCACAGGAAACGTGTCAAATACTTCTGGACATCAGCTCCGTGCTCCTCGAGCTCCAGAGGAGCTTCGAAGCAGGCGACGACGAGCAAAGAGCCTTGGCTCCACACCGCAGCCACTCCACGATTAACAGCCCAAATATCCTAGAACGTCATTCAGGGCTGCAGCCGAGAGTATTTCCTTACTCGTGGTATTGACTGGCGCTCCCGGGACTCTGAAGCGCTTGACTCGCAACTGGAGCCTGAAACGACTAGCAGCACTTGGCGGATTGCGCTGAAATCAGTCTCTGCTCGACGGAAGGTATGCTACGTACTAACTCGACTTTCTCACCTGTCGGGACGTTCAAAAGAGCTGAAAGGGCCTAGGGCCAACCGCAGGAGGACCGCTACAACAGGTCAATAGGAATGTTGTGCGGTATGTTCTCTTCAATTAACAGAATCCATCCGGTGGCTTGGCCCGGCACCCAGGAGAGTCAGGAAAATCACGCCAAATACCACCAGAGCACCGCCTACTGCAGTCTGAGCGCTTCGGGTTCACTGTGTTGTTCCACTATGTATGGCGTCGTGTCATCAACACCTTCCACATTGTCGTCATCCTGAGTTTCGTCGTCATCATCGTCATCACCATAACTTCCACTTCGTCATCCCTCATCCCCCTCCCCTTCTGGTACTCGTCGGCATCATCCTCGTCTTGCTGTTTGCCCTTGTAACTCGGCACTGTGTCGCCGTCGTCCTGTAGCACAATCATCACCTTCATCGTCGTCATCATCGTCATCAGCATTACAGTAAAGATTATCATCGTCGTCACCGTCGTCTTCCTCCTCCTCCTCCTCCTCCTCCTCGTCCTCCTCCTCATCAGGAAGCACCAACATGTCCCCGCGGTCACGAAGTAGAGAAGGAACCGAGCCCTGAACGACTAGGTTGTCATGATTACTCCTGCCGACTCTGCTATCATCACTTGCGTATTGCGGGAACCTGTCGCTGGCAGTAACCATCTGTGTGCTTGTATGTCAGCTCTGACTTTCCCAGCTGTGCCTCCGGCACCGGGCTCTTCGAAGATTGGCATCGGTTGAAACTCGCCACCGTCCAAAACAAGGCCGGCAGCAGCAGCACGCAGGGAGAAGTACGTCATCTGCTCCTGCATGGCATCGGGGTGACTGGGTGTTTCGTGTCAGGGTAAAGCTTCAAGAAAAAAGGTAGCTTCTTTGTTATGCTTGGGGCGGCTGTGCCCAAGTAGCCGTGTCAATGAGCCCATGTGCACATCGCAGGTCCTGCTCGGACAAACTCGAATTCTGCACTTTCTCCTGCGGGAGTAAGCGACGACGCCGGCGTATGGTGCATAGTTCACGGGGGCTCGGCACTGAACAGCAAACTCACGACCGTCCTGGAGCCCTCGAGATCTTGCCCATCCCAGCTACCATAGAACTCCGGGATACCCCGACCTCAGCGCCGAGATCCATCACCGGCCGACCGGATCCAGGGTGGCGTGTCTGCTGGGCCACCTGTCATCTCGCTTTGGAGCACATTTGAGAGTATGGTTCGGTTTTGGGACTGGTCTACGGAATCAGATCTCTGGGAGAAATGTGCAGTGAACCTGGTTCCCGCCTGAATGAGGCTCCCGCGCCCATCAGTCTTTAAGCCATCCTGCTCAGCAAACCAGGGCGAAGGAATGGTCTTGCATGCCCCACGTCCGACTGTCTAACCTCCTGGTACCTGTCAAGCTTCAAGGAAACTAATTATGCCTTTTGTCCCCTCATGACGCTAGTCAGCTACTTATCACATGAGCTAAGACGGCCCCTTGTCATGCAACGGAATACCATACATAAAATTGACAAACAGATCTATGAGAAGCTGGGTAAATCACAACTCAGGCTTGGACCACATGCCGAGGACAGCGCTGGCTTGTGTCCACCTGCCACGACGTTCCAAAGCCGAGAGATCAGATGCGCCGATACCAGAATCGTCGAAGTGAGAGGCGACAAAAGCTGAGGTTCGAAGGGCTGAGGGGCCACAGTTGTCAAGGGAATCTGGCATTGTCTCGACAAGGTATTCATTCAGCCACAAGGCGAACAATCGACCTGAAGCTGTGCCCTTGGTCAGTGAGATCTGTTAAGTTTTGTACATCTTTCGTTGTATGTGGAGCCTCAGATCAGCTTGTACTGCCTCGTTCGCAGGTATGCGCAGCTCCGTGCAGGCCTATGGGGCATTGCATCTAACTGTGAATTGATCGGGAAACCCAATTGCCAGCAAAATTTCGCAAGCCAATCCTGATCCCAAGACATTTGCGGATTCCGTGGAACCCACCAAACACTGCGCACGGACCTCATCAGCCAAGGTCACAGGAAAATAAAACCTCAGTTTGCCGCTTAGGGCGTGTCTGGGTGCAGCACCACCATCGAACCCTTGAGTACACTTACTTCCCTCATAATCCTTTGCCGCCACCTGCATGGCTGAGTACACGAAGCAGGGACTTAAGTACATTTTTTTGAAGATGTGCAAGCCCTCTCGAGGTTCCCTCGAGCTTCTGCATGGCTCGTCACGATGGAAGGCTATACACTGAGAAATCGCAGAGCTTTGATAAAAAAACATGAGAGCCTGAGAGATTTCAAGCACCAAAGTCTGCCATGAAAAGCTGCGGGTGCTCGACTCCTCATCGCTGAGCAGCCTGCACCACATCCTTGAACGTGTAGAAGCCCTTGGCAGCTGCCATGGCATCCAGCGGATTCACCTTGGAGAACATGTTGCTCGGGACGGACGCATCCACCACGCCAGCCAGTGAATTGTAGACGTCCATGACGGTTGCCTTGGGCACTGATGCCACCACACGGCCCAAAGCGGCGTTCACGGCCTCGTAGTCTGCGGCAGAGGTCACGCCCTTGGAATCGATGCTGCCGATGGCTTTGTGGTGGGCTTCGGCTGCAGCCTTCAGGAGGTTTCCATCCATCTGGCTTCCCATCACGATCATCTTGTCAATAGCCTGCTGCAGAGGACGCAATTTAAAAACGACAGGATGTCAAAGTCCTAGACTTCGAGGGGTTGGGAGGGGATGGAGGAGGCTGACCTTCAGAAGACACATGCACGCAAGCTAACCTGCACACTGGCACAGACATGAATCAGCCAGTGCCTTCAGGGTCTGCGGCGCAGTCTTGCCCGCCAGCGGCTTCAGGTAGATGTCGCTCAGCCAGTCCACCTCCTTCAGGAAAGGATACGAGGAGTCGGAGAGGGCCTTGGCCGCCGTGCCAATGGCGTCCCCGCATGGGACACTTGCTTTCGGACCAGCCTGTGCCACCTGATTTTTGGCCACCACATCCTTGAACTCCAGGAAGCCCTTGTAAGCCTTCTCTGCATCCTCAGCCTTCACCAGCGACTTCATGTAGGCCGGCACCTTGGGGTCCGTGATGTCCTTCACGGAGTCGTAGACTGCCATGACCTTCTCCTTGGGGACGGAGGCCACCACTCGACCCAGGGCGGCGTTCACGTTATCCCAATCTGCTCGGGAAGTCACACCATTGGGGCCACTGATGCTTCCGATGGCCTTGTGGTGAGCCTCTGCGGCCGCCTTCAACAGCTTCGGGTCCGCAGCGGCTCCCATCTCGATCATCTTGTCCTGTCTTCTTCAATAATCGGGCCTCCCCAAAAAAGCTCAAACTTTCTAAGATAAACCACATATATAATGCAAAAAAGTACCGCTCTCCCATTGGCTAAGGGTCGATTGCTTTCAAAGCCTTCAGCGGCTGGAACTTGCCGGGGGCCTGGAGAAAGATGCCGTTGTTCCAGTCGACCTCCTTGGCGAAGTCGTAAGAGGCGTCCCCCAGCTTTTTCGCTGCGTCACCGATCTCATCGGCGAACGCCGCTGGAGCCATCATGGTGGCAGCCGATGCCGCAGCCAGAGGCGCCGCGCTCCGGCGCAGGGGCCCGGGCACGAAGCTGCGAGAGAGCCCACAGACAGCCAGCACGCCTGCGGCCACGGCCATGCAGGTGGTCGCCTTCCGCACGGAGCGCACCATGTTGAGAAGCCAAGCAAGAGTCAAAAGTTTAGATGATCTTAAAAGGGGCACCACGCCGCGGCAGCTTGAACCACAGTTATCAGGCGCCGGCTAATAAAACGATAAAAACACCCACACCAAAAATCATCCTGAACCCCATACGCTCCTTCATGCAGCACTGGCTCTGGCCCCAGGCCTGGCCGCCTTGGGTAGGGTTGTCAAGCTTGGAGCTTAGAGCGTAAGACTGCAAGCAATGCCTTTTCTGAAACGGATGCATCGACGAAGATGCCATCGCAACGTGTGCAGAAGCTCGAGATTCTGCATGGCTCGTCACGACGGAATGCTATACACAAAGAAATCGTAGAGCTTTGAAAAAACCATCAAATCAGGAAAGCCTTGTGACAAGGCACCAAAATCTGCCATTAAAAGCTGCGGGCGCTCGACTCCTCATCGCTGAGCAGCCTGCACCACATCCTTGAACGTGTAGAAGCCCTTGGCAGCTGCCATGGCATCCAGCGGATTCACCTTGGAGAACATGTTGTTGGGGACGGACGCATCCACCACGCCAACCAGTGAATTGTAGACGTCCATGACGGTTGCCTTGGGCACTGATGCCACCACACGGCCCAAAGCGGCGTTCACGGCCTCGTAGTCTGCAGCAGAGGTCACGCCCTTGGAATCGATGCTGCCGATGGCTTTGTGGTGGGCTTCGGCTGCAGCCTTCAGGAGGTTTCCATCCATCTGGCTTCCCATCACGATCATCTTGTCAATAGCCTGCTGCAGAGGACGCAATTTAAAAACGACAGGATGTCAAAGTCCTAGACTTCGAAGGGTTGGGAGGGGATGGAGGGGGCTGACCTTCAGAGGACACATGCACGCAAGCTAACCTGCACACTGGCACAGACATGAATCAGCCAGTGCCTTCAGGGTCTGCGGCGCAGTCTTGCCCGGCAGCGGCTTCAGGTAGATGTCGCTCAGCCAGTCCAACTCCTTCAGGAAAGGATACGAGGAGTCGGAGAGGGCCTTGGCTGCAGTGCCGATGGCGTCCCCGCATGGGACACTTGCTTTCGGACCAGCCTGTGCCACCTGGTTCTTCGCCACCACATCCTTCAACTCCAAGAAACCCTTGTAAGCCTTCTCTGCATCCTCAGCCTTCACCAGCGACTTCATGTAGGCCGGCACCTTGGGGTCCGTGATGTCCTTCACGGAGTCGTAGACTGCCATCTCCTTGGGAACGGAGGCCACTGATGCTTCCAATGGCATTGTGGTGGGCCTCCGCCGCCGCCTTCAACAGCTTCGGGTCTGCAGCGGCTCCTCTCTTCTCCAACAACCGGGCCCTAAAAGGTTCAATCTTTCTAAGACAGACATGAAGGCCAAAAAGCTTAGTGCTCGCATTGGCTAAGCGCCAATTGCTTTCAAAGCCTTCAGTGGCTGGAACTTGCCGGGGGCCTGGAGAAAGAAGCCGTTGTTCCAGTCGACCTCCTTGGCGAAGTCGTAAGAGACGTCCCCTAGCTTTTTCGCTGCGTCACCGATCTCATCGGCAAACGCCGCCGGAGCCATCATGCTCGCAGCCGACGCTGCAGCAAGAGGCGCTGCGCTTCGGCGCAGGGGTCCGGGCACGAAGCTGTTGGAGAGGCCACAGAGAACCAGCATGCCGACTGAAGCCACGGCCATGCCGGTCGTCTTCCGCGTGGAGCGTGCCATGCTGAGCCGAGCAAAAGTCAAGAGGAACCTGAGCCAGAGGCGCCTTCAGCCAAAATGCTGTTGGTACCCGTAGTTGTTGTTGCAATTCGAGATGCAGGCGCACTGCCATGTGGCGTAATTGCGAAATGCAAAGATGAAGCGCAAGATCGGATGCCATAGCATGGCAATTATCTTGCTGTCGGAGGCAACGAACGGTCTCAAGGCAACATGCACATGGGGCCAAACCAGGTATTCAGGTGTTTTCTCGACTGTAAATGTCGCATTGGTTTCGACACGGTCACCCCGGCCGCTGGTGGCAGTGTTGTCGTCGAAGGCTTCATTGACAATCTTCCCAAACACTGCAGTGCGAGACCCTTGCAGTGAACAAGCCTGGCGTGATAGCACTCTGCTTACTGCAGCTCGAAAGGAAGTGGCATCACCACACTGCAATCCGAAACTGTAGCACACCCTTAACCTCGGCGCAACCCACTCAGAGAGTCTCGGGATGTCTGGGGCACCGGCACTAAAGAGAGCAAGCACGCAATCGAAGCCTAGGCTGACCCCATGCAGGCAGGCTCTTGTGGGCTGCTCCGGCGCCCATTTAGTTTCTGAAGTTTGCCAAGTTGGAATGAAGTTTCTGCACTTGATTGTGGAGTTCACATACTAGCACGGTCTGCCTGCCATCCTGGCCAGGCTGCGATCATGAAACTCTTCGTCAGCTTGGCGCCGACGACCTCAATCCGAGACAGGTGCCACAGTTCCGTCATCGACTTGGGGGACATCGCGCTACATATCGCGACCAAGTGGGACTGGCATGTGAACTTGCATTTTCAGCATAACCAGTGCTGCCATGAACCTGAATAGCTGGCTGAGCCGAGCGCCAGTAAGAATGGTAAAATGCTGTGGGCGCTTGCCTCAGGCTCTGTGGCAGCGCGACCGAGCACCGAAGCATGAAGGGATGGAACAGGTGCAAACGGAAAAGTAAACTGAAAGACGTGGCTTTAGCTGCATCGGACTCCCACCGGCTGGACAGCAGTCTCTCTCTCTAAATACACATATAGTGTTATTGATAATCATATATGTATATCTACATATAGAGATGTGAAGGCTTCGCCAACCAAAACAGCGCTTTCCGACTTCACATGGAAGGCTGTCGATCCCTGCCAGGATGCATTGACATCGGCCCCCCAAGCCCCGTCCGCGCCCTTTGGCCGAGCCAAGGCTGAGAAGGAGAAGTTCGCCGATGCAAAAACGCTAAAGAATTGTAGCATTTCCCCTAAACCCTAAAGAATGGTACTAGTAACTACTAGTAGCATTTCCCGGTGAGAATGGGCGGCTCAAGAAGAAGGGCCTCGACACTTACTCACGATCACACTCAAACGATGGAGCAACGTGATCGCAGTGGGTGCGTCGGGAGGGTTGGTGGATGAAGAGGAGGAACCTGTAAAAAAACCCTGTAAGCCTTGCCGGAAACCCTGAAGGCTCCACTCTCCACTCGCGAGGGTCTCTTTTCAAAAGCCATCTTCTCGAGGTGAGCGGCTCCCTGAGATCACAAGCACTCTGGTCACACCAGCGCATGTTCTGCGGTTTTCCCACAGCCGTGACAGAGCAGCATGCGAACTTTTCTAAGCTACCTACATGTGGAGTTTTGAAAAGCGGTGCAGCCGCCTCACGCTGTACATGCGGCATACGCCCAGCATCACGGGCCGGCCTCCCCGCCTGGAGCACATCAATTCAAGTCTGCCAGCTCAACATGCCGGCTGAGGCTCTGGCTCTGTATGATTTCTGTGACAATCTCTTTCACCTCCGGCGCGGCACAAGATAGACAAAAACCGCCTCCCAAGAGTGCTTTCGGCCGGTTGTGACGAAAAACATTACCACTGCGACAGTCTGAGCCTGCTCAACAAAACAGCAGAGTCTCGTCTTCTGGCAGTATGCACCAATCGATTGCCAAATCGCCTCGTCCTTGCGTTCTAGCAGACCATCTGCAGGGAGTGACAGCACTGCCTGCAGTCACCGATAAGTGCAGGACTTTTGGAATGACATCTAGATTGGCGAGGGGCGCTGAACTGTATATGCTACATCACTTACTAGAAGTTTGCTGTCTCTTAGAGCCCGGCACAGGAAAAGATAGAAAGAGTAAGCATGGTTACCATCGAAAACAAAGTTTCGAATGCGAAGGACAAGCTCCTTGCGAGATGCAGCAGCTGAAATTCCGCTCTGCTGGGGCATTTTAGCTCATCCCGAATCCCATGCTACTGTACAGCTCTGGCCTCGGGAGTCTGGGGTCTGGACCGAAGGCCTCAGAAGTACCCGTTAACTTTAACCGCCACCTCAGTTATGAAGCTGCAGTCAGTGAGGCACTGCCGCGTGCACAGAGGGAAGCTCAGAGTGACTCCACAACCTGGCGCCTGAAAATGAAGTCTTGAACCCTCCACTGCACGTGCAAGCGACATGCCTCCAACTCGCCACGAACTTTCCGCAGACTTATCTCCTTCAGGTCACGGCCTTCAGCAAAATACGCGAAATCATGCAAGATCATGCAGGCCAGAGAAACCCACATGTTCCGGAATCTCGCCTTTCAGGATTTTGCGGAGCTCGTGTTTCCACCTCAGATCGTGCTTGATCCCTCAACCTCATAGCACCCGCAGCACCTGGTCGAAGGTCATCCTCGCAAAATGAGACAAGTTCTTGTGTTGGAACTTGAAACTCAGCCCCAATCTTCCAACGCGGCTTGGAACCACTCGTCACTCGCTCCAGATATGTGATGGCAAAGGGACTTGACTTTCGACGCGGCGCTGCCCTCAGGTGTCCTAAGCTGCGATTGAATCTGATTGAATCGTCATCGTACTTACAGACTTCGTCCAAGTTTGTAATGTCTCGCATCACCGAGGGCCTAGTAGGCTAAACGTCTAGCCTGTTGGCACCTGCCAATGAGAAGGCAATTGCAGTTGGATGCATCAAGCACTACCCAACTACACCACTGCCGCTACTCCGCTCTGTGGTCGCCTCGCCGATGCTTCTCAGACAGCGAAGCCGCAGAACCCATGCGAACCCGAGTTCCGTCACGCCCGGGATGTAGTGACCAAGAGGACTCACGATGACCCAAGCAGTGCTATCGCGAGATGATTAGACTCATGCCAATGCCAAGTTGCTCCGCCTCTTCGGGAATCTCCGGCACCTCTGGCTTCTTGCTTTTGGCCTTCTTCGCTGGTGGGCCTCAGAGCACGTGATCGAGCATGGTAGCTTTGCTGCCAGCCCCATGTGCCTAGTGTGGCCAATTACCAAGTTAAGAAAGAACGCAGCAGTTGCAGGCAGTGTGAATGTGGCCTCCTCCTTGATCCAACTCTTTGCTGATCTCTGGCATTTCTGCCTGAAGGTTGGATATCTTGCCATCCCAGCACAGTTCCATGCCTGACATTAGTGGAATATTCTTGGGCCTGAAACCTGCTCAGAGCCCAGTCTTTGAGATTGGGTACTCCACTAGCCTAGAGCTGGAGGATGCCTAACGCTTATCTCACCTCCTATGGTATCAGCATCTTCCGAGACGGCAGTCAGTCCTCGAATTTCCACACAATGAACCCCGAGACATGTTGTTCTAGGCTGCCGAGTTTGCCCATCTGGACAGAATCTGCGACCCAAGCACAGCAACTAACATCACTCGTCGTCGTTCCACAGAAATACTACACCTACACCAATGTCAGCACGGGCAGACCTTGAGGGAGGGCCACAGCAGTGCTCCCAGCCGAATGCCTTTTTTGCCTGCTAAGGGAGAGCAGCACAAACAACGTGTGCACACAACCACATCTCTTCAAGTCAATACACCCTGCGTCATGACAACTCCACATTGGACCACAACTCATGATACGCTACTCTCAAACGTCCACAACCAAACGGCCAACAAGAAACCCACGCCTTTCAGATTATTATCATTACTGATTCTGTTATTGACTGTAACTCTTCTGATTTATGTAACTGATTCATGTAAATAAATCATTCTGAAGCAACCAGACATTTGATTCCACAGGGGCCTGGCTTAGACAGCCCATCGTTCTTGTCCTGAGTGGCGGGTTCTAGGAACCCACAGTCTGGCCCTAAGCACGGCTTCAGCGGATGCAAAGGGGTATATATGAATATATCTATATCTATATCTATATATATATATATACACATGTATATCAACATTCCAGCTCTCGCTGCGCAACTCCTGCTGGTACTGCTGCTAATTACGTTTTCCATTACTACGATTTCTCCTTCCTTCACTTTCCCCGCAATTCGGGCAGTCCGACACCACAGGTCCCAGCAGTCTTCGGTTCCCAAACTCTTGGAGAAGTTGTTATCAAGCTGGAAGAAATGTCCAAACCGCACGCAGCATTCGAAACTACAATCAGTCAAGACTAATCCGTTGCCAGCCAGGTATCCACATAGTATCGACGAAGATCGACAGCACCAGCTGTGATGGAGATTGTTATGTCTGAGATGAGCTTCCATGACTTTTCGTCATCCTAGCGGCAGGGGTGTGACATGTTGCGCATCGCCGAACTCTTCATGCCTTAGCCCCGGAACAAAAGGGCATTCGTGCTGGTTGACATTGCGTCGCATGCAGCGAAAGAAACCTTCGATTCGTTCAGCATGGTACTCACTTATCTCACTTACTACGGAACCGACCCTCCCTTGTCAGAGCTCGAGACTCACCAAACAAACCCCGATAGATGGAGGTAGTGATTGTAACCAAGCAGACCGGGATGATGTAATGTGCAGATACAACTCCGGTGCCAACAGCCCGGTCAAGTTTGGGTGTGGCAGTTAGGTGGCCGCCGCTAGCATTCAAGTGTGAAACTTTTCCACGGTTTTTTTTGACACTGACACTCGGACAAAGCCTGGCAAGGTCTATAGCGATCCTGGTCCTTCGTTAACTTCCAACTGGCACGTATCACCAGACGCGTTTACGCTCTCGCAACTCGGACAATCCAGACGAGGTTCTTGGTCGGCAACTGAGTAAACTAGAGCGCTCACCCGACGGCTGTCTTGTTTCGACTCGCACACTCGCACAATCGCAGGCACGGCTTCCAGCAGGGTTTAGGGTTTTTGCAGAATGTGCCGAAGGCCACTGTCGGCTTCATCGCTTCATGCATCCGCCTTCTGCAACGCTGCATCAATGTCGGGAACTGCTGTGCCTCAGCTACAGTGACAAGTTCCACCAGACTCGACTGCATACCTTATCCCTGCTTAAGACAGGATCTTCAATGTTGCTGCTAGTATAAACCTGGTTGACAGTCTGTAGACAATAACAGCTACTGTAGGTTGTATGACCAAGACTGGCAAGATGATTTCTCTGCAGGATTAGAAAGCAGAGGGTTATCGCGGTGCATACTGACAGGGATCTTTGTAAGGCAGAATTTTGTGCGCAGCACCGATGCCACCCGTTGAGATGTGGTGTGCATCGTCCCAGCTTTGTACTCTTCCTCTGACTCATTGCAGCACCACCGTCAGCACGGTAGCAAACGTGTCCCCATGTCACGATCGTTGATCAGCGTACATCTATTCCGAACCCCAAAAACGTCGATGCATGCTTCTTGCGACACCAGGCGTGGGGTGTGACCGAAGTTTCACTTTTTGAACATCCTGGCCCAAGTGGTCTTGCAACTTAGCAGCTCAACCTCCGCAACTGGACATGCAAAAGGCAACCTTTAGTTGACAATGAAGCTTTCTCTGAGGCAGCGGCAAACCGCATCCCACTCTTCCTTCGACACCCGAATGCCCTGGCCATTATCACAAATGCTGGCGGGCATGCTCGCATGTTGATATGCGGCACACGCGGCATTTTCCTTTCGTCGGTGCGCCTGCATGACTGCAACTGCTAGTGCTGAAAGTGGGGCTGGTGGACTGGCACGGACCCACAATCCATTACCCAAGTCCAGTCGTGCTGCGTAGCCGCCGGCGATGCTCCGCAAATGCCGGCTAGCTTGCGACAGAGTTTAAAACAATTCGAAGTCCGCTTCCAGATTCCAGCTGTCGGTTCCACAGCTGAGTCACCAACCCCTTCGGGGTTGAGACTATTCCTGGAGTGCGGTCCTAGCTTGTGGTCTCGGCCCACTCCTGCAATCGACAAAAACTGCAAGAGAACTGAAAGAACCACGGCAGCAGCGAGTGCATGGGGATCACTGCTGCGGAAAAATATACTCCAAAAAGGGGCATTCAAGCCTCCCCTCATCTACGCCAAGGGCTTGACAAACTCGGATTTCACCACATACTGAGAGGCAACCAGCTTGCGAGAGCCGTGCGGGTAGAGGTCAGCGTACATCCCATAGGTCTCACTCATCTGCTTGCACAGATTGTCAAAGGACTGGGGCGAAACCTCATGGCGTATTGTCGATGGATTCCGAGTTAGAGGCTCTTCGTTTGCTTCGAGATTGATCCTTATTGAGCTAACCTGCACGGGCACCTTGCTGGGAAACAGTATTCAACTATCTTCATTTTCGAACGACCCTCACCTGATGGCAATCCTTGTCCACGTGCCAGGTGATGGAGTAAGGAGAGCACACCTCGTTGTCGTGGCTCTGACCGGTGGTGCTCCCGGGGTACATGACGGAGTTGTCGTGGCCAACCACAGTCCAGCCGTGCAGCATGTCATCGACTGTGTCGGCACCATTCACGATCTGGAAGATCTGCCCTTGCACTACGATCATTGGGTTGAGGAGGCCACGGCCGTTGGCGGCACCTGCACGAATACTCGCAGAAAACCACAAAGCCGGATGCAAGCAAGCTGCTGGTGCTGCTGGTCACAGCTTGCCGACATCTTCCGCCCACCTCCCAGGCCATCTGCCAGCAAGTCGGCATTGACTTCATCCTAGATTGCAATCCATCTTGACGAGATAGCACCACCCACAAAAAATACTTTGCCACCCAGCAGCCGTCGCGTTGTTGTCCATCCCCGCGGAGGAGTGCACGTAGTGGATCTCATAGGATTTTCCGACCTGCACATCGCCTTTGCCTTACGTCTCCGATCGCCAGGCAAAAACTAGCTTTCAAAGGCAGGCAGCTAAAAACGTCAAAGCAGCTTGAACGGGTGGAATCTTGGATCTGCTGCGGCAAGGTTGCAGTACGTGAAGTTGTAGGCCGCCAGCTGAGTGGCGTTCAGAGAGCTTGTGCTGCACATGAACCCAGGCCGAACGTTGCCGGCAAGTCGTCGGCCTGACGAGGCGGCATCGTACGCAATCGAGTCCGTGTCATCGCTGTAGGCCTCGCCAAGGTTTTACATAGGATTTACAATTGGAGTAGGGCTCTACTTTAGGCTCTATTATAGTGTAAAGCTAGGCAGGCAGCCGAACAAATGGAACTAGTAGTTGTTCAGGTTTCTATATAGCACAGTGTCCGTTGCTGGACCGAAAAACCCCGACGAAAGCTAGGACAGCTAGGAGCGCCAGAGTGCCCAAACTCACCAGAAGAGGGCTGAGGACTACAGGGTCCTGCCTCGGTCTTGTGCTCTGCACCCAGGTGGAAGTGCACGTTCACCAGCGGTAGGAAGTTCGCCTGATCATCGGTCAGGGTTGCTGCCTTTGGTGTCATTGACCCGACGGCGCCGGCCGTCAGGTCACGAGGCGTCTGAGGTTCGGCAGTGGAGCAAGCAGGCTTGGCGAAGGAGTACGGACAGGCAGCGGTTCCGGGCACTGGAGCAGAGACCTCTTGAGTGGGCTGCCCACAGCACTGCTCGTTCTTGTAGAAGGTCTTCAACTCACCGCAAGTCACAGCATCCACTCCCACCGACCCAGCTGCCAACGCCAGGGCCAAGCCGGTGGCAAGGCTGGGCCGTGTCGAAGCCAAGGGCAAGAGCAGGGCCATCCAAGCTCCGCTTCGGACGCCGTGACTTGTTGCCTGTGCGTCTACCTCGCACAGGTCTACCTCCGGATCATCTGGACACATGGCCGCAACTGAACCGACCACGCAAGCACACACGGCAAGTCGGGACCACATGGCACCAGGCAGATGCAGGAGTTCGTGCGGGGCACTGGTTCTGCTTGACTCACACAAATGCTATGCATCCACCAGAAATGTGGCAGCATTGGTGGAAAGGTTCGCCTCTCTGTCTCTTGGATTGATCGGAACATTCCAGGGCTCGAGGGGGCACTTTAAAGTAGAGAGTACGCTGCATCTCCATTGCCTTGGGTGTTGGCCGGAGCTCTCCTGTGACCTGGCGCAGCCAAGTAAGCCGTCCATGTCTGTGCAAGGTTCTCCCTGATCCTCTCAAGGTTTGATCTTATGAAGTTCGTGGCTGAGCGAGCAACAAAATATCAATGGATTCCTAGAGCTTCAGGTTGCAGCTCCCACCTTCTCGGTGTAGAACTTGCGAATGTCAACGCCTCATGTTCCAGTTTCTTCCGTCACAGTTGAGAATTTCATGAGAAGCCCATCGAAGGAAGGAGGTGATGCTTCCATCTGCTGCCATGCTCGAATAAGCTTGAAGGCAGAGCTGTACGGCATTCTAAGAATGCTATGCAGAACAGATCCAAGAGCGCTCAATTGCTGGATGCCCGCTTCCACCATCCTGACTATTATGCTCACAGCAGACATGCGGCCATTCGCGCCCGCGAAGGTGGAGATGGAAACTCTGACCTTGGGATCCGGGAGGTGCATGGCATCAGCTGCAGCCCGTAAGGAATCGCAGACTTCCGTGGTCTATACTACTGTAGAATCTTGTGTAGCACGGTTGCAGCAACACGGTGAATCATACCGGAAAACCAGAAGTCCAAGCTTCTCAGCTTTTGACACTTGGTAAGACGGAAATGTAACGACAAGCGCAGCGAACGGCCCGAAGCCGAGAATCCTTCTGAAGTCTAGCAAGTGGGAGTTTCCGAAAATAGGGGACCCGAATATGGTACCCCTAGTAATAGGATCCCCCTTATAAGGACCCCAAAATAAGGTACCCCTCTTTCTCTCTCTCTCTCTCTCTCTGTCTCTCTCTCTGTCTCTCTCTCTCTCTCTCTCTCTCTCTCGCGCCAGGCGAGTGGAGAACGGCCAGTTTCAAAAGCCCACATGCATAAGATATTGCAGAGATCAGAAGCCTTTGGGTAACCAGACGCCTAAGCAGAGAATGCAGAGACCAAGTGAAGGTACATGAACAACCCGTATAGTCCTTCCACACCCTTTCTGCGACAAGCGTGGCAAACTGTCATCCCAATGGCACCGAGAGGCATCGTCTACCAACTCAAAGACCTGCCACGATTGGCTTCATGAGTGTGTGTGTGGTTGGGAATCAGCTTTCCTGTTCAGTTATTCCTGAGTGCCAGTTATCAACAAAGCATGTTGGATGGTGCAAGGGATTCCTAAGTATGATCTATTCTGCAGTTCGGTTCTGGTCACGTCCGGAATCGGCCAGAAAAACGCAAATTTGCAACAAAGCCACTGTTTATGCTCTTTGCCTCCGGCTCAGACAGGACGATACAACGCCCCTTTGGGGTTACCGATCTCGTAATGGCCTGTCGGAACCCTCAGACTACACACTCTTATGCCTGATTGTGATGCTTTGTGCGTCAGCCCTTGGGCTGTCGGGATCTGACTGAGGGGATGTTGCCGCCTTGTCTATCCGCCATTTGCTGCCTTGCCTTGCGATGCCATGATCAGTCTCTTGCGACTTTCAGTGATGGGGCGACCCCAGTCGATGATAGCAGATTTGAGCTTTCTGTCACTAATTCTCCGCACTGCACTATCACCCAGGATTAGCACAGATGCGATCTCCGTCCGCACTGGTTGCTGCCGTGTGGGATTGCGGAAAGGAGTAATGAAGTAGGGACACTGTCAGGGTCCTTGTGGGTCAGGACTTGAGGCTGGGGATGTCCATGCTTCATATTGACATGCATCCGTGCGAGGAGGATACCGAATTGTCAGGCGATTCTTCGAATCATGAAAGTCGCGCGCGACAGCAAGTGGCAAACATGATGGAAACTCCCTTCCAAAGATTTGAGAAGATTGCCGGAGACGTGAGGGGTGGGGAGACAAGATCCTGACGAGCGACAATGACATTGTGTCTCAAGTTAGTCAGTGCAGCTTGCATGATTCAGGGAAGCCTGATGTAAGAGCCTGAACTCCCTGTACTATGTGGTAAACGGCCAGGCACGCCCTCTCACCGCTTTGGCTCGTCTGCGCTGCCGAGCGCTTCGCAGGTGCTTTGGCCTTGTTCTTGGCAGTGAAGATCCGGTGCTTGGCAAATGAATGCAAGGGCCATGTTTGCATAAGTGATAGTTGAAATAGAACGAGGCCACCACGACTGGCTTTGCGGTTGGTTGGCTTGCAGCAGCAGCTGGTGCAGCTCCGCCCGTCCTGAGCGAGAAAGCACCGGCTTCGGGTGACTTGACTTGGAGACTGAGGCCTGGATTGGCTGGTGCTACCACGGACTAAGAGACCCACATGTTCGAAAATTGCTTTGCCATTCTGTCGAAATTTTGAGATTTATCACTTGCTGCCTCAGCATGGAATTGGCTCCGCTTCAACCTCACACCTGGAAGAGGCACAACAGGATGACCGTGAAGCTTGATGCTCTTTATCAGCTCACTGTCGACAAATCTCAGAGGGTTTTAAGACAAAGGACCAGTACCCAATGCACGGGGAGAATGCTTTCGCATTTTCCTCAGTACGCAGTAACTAGGAAAGACGGAGGGTATCGGACACGGAATGGACATGTTATGGACCAGGTGGACTGGGTGTACCATCCGTAGAGCATGCTCGACTTGTAAGGCATTTTCAGTGGGAGAAACCGCTTTTGCTTCCTGCTGCTTCCTGCAAGAAGCTCTGAGGCCTTCGCTTGTCTTCGACGCTCTTGACTTTGTCGGAGCTTTGGAGATCTGCAGTGTGCCACTTATGAGAGGGCGAGGACGCAAGCGGGTTTGTGAGAGGCGAGGCTCTGGCACTGCTGTTTCCTAAGTAGGACATGTGGGGGGCTTCCGAAAATAGGCGACCCTAACGTAGCAGGATCCTTATTATAAGTACCCTGACTTTCCACACTGTTTTTCATAGTGGCTGAGGGAAGCTGCAAAAGAGAAACGAGCCAGTTGGGCCTTCGATGATGGCGGCCTCCCAAAGGCGATTGCGGCATGCTGGAAATCTAGTTTAGGGGCCTTATAATAGGGTTTAGGGTTTAGGGGTTTAGGGTTTAGGGTTATAATAGGAAAAATAGGGTTCTGGGGCCCATTATTGGAACCCCCCCTTTTTTTAATAAGGAACCCCCCAGAATAGTATTGGTAATTTTCTAGGCCCCGACATTACTAATTACAGCTTAGTCCAAAGTCTGACCTACGGGAATGCACCGAGATCTGGTCTGCAGCAGAGCTACCGAGTGGTAGCGCTATCATGTGAGAGATGCTAAAGCCATGGACTTTAGCAGCACTTGCCTTCTTGCTACCCGGAAATAGCCAGGACTTCAGACCACCATTCCATCTGCCGCCCTTCTCCTTCAACAGGTCCTGTCTGCTATGCAACAACTCCGAACCGACAAAGTCCATGCCTTACTTCTACACGGCTGGTCGACACAGGATCCCGAACTGAATCTACTTCTATAGTCTGCTGCCTGCACCATGGACTCCGAATTTAAGGCGCCGTCTGTGTGATTCCAAGATGGATTCTTGAGGTGTCCACATGCAGTCAAACTCGTGAACAGCTAGACTATACTTCGCTCATCGGTCCTTGATCGACATGGTGTCGCCTTTGACGAGCACTGCCTGCATGTGCAACATCAGCGTGCAGCAGTTCGACGCTCACACTCGCACACAGCAGGCAAGGCTCCACATAGTCCCTCGTGCGTGCAGCAGTTGGTGATTTAGATCTGTGTCCTGCTTCCTCAACAGAGCACTTGAAACAGTTCGTGACGTATGTGCCATGGACAAGCATTTCGAACAGACTGCGCGCACACGCAAAACGCGCACCTTGCCATGTGCCTCCAACCAAACAGAGGCCATTTCGACTGTCACTGCCCGAGACGTTGCTAGAACATGTCTTGACCCATCCGCCGCGCAATGTTGCTGATATGGTCCTTATGGTTGAACAGGTCGTTGGCTTTCCTAAGACCTCTGTTGTGCGTTGAAAGACGGCCTCTTGTTCTGAAATTTCGTATTTGACATCTATGCTGTTTTCGCAGCTGCTTGGTGTAAAATTGCGCATCATCCATGCCACCTAGTGCCCAGATTTGGGCCGAGGACATCTTCACACGACAGTAGTGATGGCATCCAGCAATTAGGGGACCCAACATGACAAAAGCGCTTTGTAACCACACAGCGACTGCCGTGAACTGAAAACTGAATGAAGAGCAAACCTCGCAGACGCTGGAACAAGGGGCAGTGCAACCATGGGCCAAACTGCATCTCTGCGAAGATCTGCTACGCGAATTATACTAAAAGTGCGTTGAAGCATCCTGTCTGCACTTTAGCTTTTCCGGCACTCGGATGTAGCGGCTGTGCCGGATCTACAGGCAACTCAGCTTAGGTATACTCGGGCCAGTATCATCTGGGCCTGTTGCATATGGAACACTCACAAACTCTGTGGATGCAAGAATTCAAGGATGTTAAAGGCATTTTGATTCCAGGATATTCCAGGCTTGTGACTGCTAGTTGGCTCTTCCGACATACGCCCACTCACTGCGTTGCGAAGTGGGGTTCCACCATCACCTCCATGGGCTCTGGGCCAAGCAGATGCGTCAAGTCCGAATATGACTTCCTACATTCGACCTGTGCTTAGCGCATGATGCCAAAGCACACCGTCGAAAGGAAGAAACGTGCTAAAGAACTGTAGGGGCCTAAATGATAAGTACCTATTCTATTTTGGGGGTTCCTTATTATAACATTCATAGTTTAACAGGCCCCAAAACCAGATTCTAGTCATTAATGCCCCTATATTACTGCTGCCAGCTGCCTCCGACGAGGCATTGGAAACTGCGAAAGCGACTTGGACACGAAGGCGCTGGGGTTTCGCACCTGCAGGACTCAGGTGACATGTTACAATCTGCAAGGTCTACATTCACACAAGCAAACTCCGTATCCGGGGCGTCCCTCTCTACCGATGACAATGGGCACACGGTGGGGGGGTTTCATTCATCGTGTTTGCATACATGAATGTGCGCGCAATGTACGAGCAACGTTATGCGGTGCGTTGTAGTGCAATGTGTTACATGTAAAGTATAAAAACAAATAAATACATATATATATATATATGTAGCTAGGTCGGTCGGCAGGCAGTCTCTCCTCTTGCTGTTTCATTCGGGTTTTCGGCGTCGCAAGACACAGCTTCAGGACGGGGGCTAAGAGGCCTCCTGCACACATGTCTGGCACCATGTGCCCTCCAAGGCATTCTCCCCATGCAGAAAACAACAAATAACCACAAGAGTTCGAAGGTCAAAGTGTAGTCGGAATCCAGAAGACCCTTAGAATCCTTAGAAGGAACTTGAGCCCTCCCAGTGGTGAGGGACTCTGCCTCCCTGCCCTTGAGCTCAAGCTCTTCCAAGACTTCCGCAGCCCGGGCCTTATCTGCGTGGGTTCATTGTTGTTGCTACTACTCTTATTCCACACAATTTTGTGTACGTACGTTATCCATAATTCATACTAATCCATGCTGCATTTTGATCATTTTTGGTTGTTTTGCAAGAAATGCCATGGCCACACTACTGTCCTTCCGTGAAACAGCAAGGTTCCCTTGAAGACATGCCGGACGTTCTGGCCGGCCAAGCTCCAACCGGAACCGAGGGTCATGCTGGATCTGCTGCGCGCACGAGCCTGCAACCGAACATCCCTGTGGAGATCCATACTTCACCCGCCCCGAAGCCTCTAGTCACACTAGTCGCGCACATTCGAGCACCACAGTAACATGTTGCTGGAAGATACTGCGAAAGCTGAGAATGGTGTGACTGCATGTGCGCGGCCGCGGCCTCAACGCGTCATCATCCTGTTGCAGCATTTTGCAGATCTGGATGCTTCCGGCATGCCCTAGATGCCCTTTCGTACCTTCCGTCCTCTCCACTACCCTGCGATGCTCAGCTGCTCACGAGTCCGGCTTGCGCAGCACGTCTCTCGAGATCCGCCTCAAAGAGGATAGCGCCAGACAGCTGGGACCACAGAGACAAGGATGCGCCTCCGGCATCCTCCCACCAGTGCGAGCTTCAGGATAGAAGCCGTTTCTGTGTTGGGTCCTGACAGGGGCATGCAGGTCTTTCGTTACAATTCAATGGTACTGGCTGGCTGTTGCAAGACTGGCAGGGTGTCCATGCTGGTACATGGAAGCACCAGTTCCCTCCTTGCGATCTTGGCTGGCGGTGGCGCCAGTGCCTTTGCAGCTGGAGTTGTGCACCAAATCGGCAAGGATTGTGAAGAAATTCTAAACCGATGGTGAATACTAGCAAAACCCCGTTCTCATCGCTAAAGAACTCAACACTCGCTTAAGCAAAATCTGAAACCCAAGCCTCCAATGACTGCGGTGGCCAGTGGCACTGAAGCTGTCCCGATGCGAAGCTAATGCTCAGGCTTAGTGCAAATTCCACCTTTCGATGAGCGCCTACAATGCGCTAACGCGACCACAGTTCAACCATGCATTTGTGCATACCTTGTGGTATCTACACCAGCCGGGCGAGCCATCATTCAATGTCCTGGGTTGCCAACATCGGGGTTTCCTCGCCGGATTCTCGACGACGAAACGGCCTGCGGACGCCAGCATTGGAAATAAATCTTTGGCATGCGGCAGACGGACGGACACACAACATTCCTAACGCGATGTCACCACTTGCCTTGACCACAAATGCAGATGGATTGTGAATGCCTTGGCGCGGGACCGGTGGCTGCTCCGACACTATTGTAAAGCTTAGGTCAAGCTACTTGCTGCAGCAGGAAACCTGTAAGACTGTAAGACCTCGTGGGAGAATCAATGACCTCATTTATGAGAACTGGCGTATTTTCATTGTCGCAAACACTGCCGGCACTGGTGCTGCTGGTACTGCTACGATATCTAACTACTCCTCCCGTTTCTCCTCTTCATACCGACACCGTTACATACCCCGATCCCTACTCAACTCCCACAACAACCACCCCTGCTGCTTCAACTGTGACGACGACGACGACTCCCACACTGCTACCATCACTACCAAACAAGCGTGGCACACTCGTACTGACGGGACTAGTAGTAATCATGCACAACACAACCACTCGACTTCGCCAACATTATGTCATGTCACAAACAATCAATCATTTCCATTAATGGTGTTGGTGATAAGCCATGGTTGTAGTGGCAGCAGTAGCAATATCAGTCGTCATCATTACCACCGCCAGTATCCCGCCACCCCAGACAGCACGAGCTTTGCTCGGAACGGGGCTCGGATTGAAAATTGCGAAAATGGCATGACTGTCCGTCGGGGCGAGACAGCCATCATTGACAGAAGCTATACTAAGGAGGAGGCCCATATGAGCCATGTCTTCAAGGATCTCTTCGGCTCGATCCAGTTCTGCCTCCAAACAATCTCGTCGGAGCAGGAGAGAGAAGTATCTTTGGGGCGACAGACCTACACGTAGCCGTGTTGTCAACTGTGCAGGGCTCCGCAACTCGAGACCGACAGGGTATGTTCGAGAAGTTGGTATCGCTGCACCCGGCGTGCTACACTGCCAATCTATCCCTTCGCTCTTTGGGCGATCCCGTCCAAGACCTTAGGGTCTGACGTTGGAGAATGATTGATGAACTTTGGGCGTTTTGAGTTTAGCTATGCAGAACGCATGAACTGTCAAGCCCCGCCCAACTCTGCAACTTTTCCACGCAGAAAAGTTTTCCACACCTGCCAAACTCCCAAAATGAGGTAGCTGTGACTCAGTAAAGGTCGAACCAGATTCAGAAACACATCCGTGCTTGTGTCTCCACCGCCATCATCAACACCAACATCGTCGTCGTCATCGACCGCTCACGGTAGCATTTTCGATCGTGCTGGGTTATGCTGGGTTCACAGTGTGAGTCATAGTCTTGCCCTCTAGCCGTCCTCTAGCCTGCTCCTAGTGCTTCCCGTGATGAGGCCTCGCGGAGTTTCGACACGGCAGCCTGTGACGTGATTTTACAGCCAGGCTGCTTTTCAGCGGCTTGTGGGTTGGGCTAACTATCGCATCTGAAGGTTTGGATTTCCGTGTGCAGTTCTGCCGCTGGGCTACCGCAAGTGGTTCGCAGATCTAAATCTTGCTTCTCCACTGTGAGACAAGAGTACTTTCCCAAACCAAAGCCGCACTGTTGCTGACCTCGACAGGCCGGGTCATCTTCTGACTCTTACTGCTGTGCCCTGCTGGGGGTCGGAAATCCTCAAAGGGGTCACTTCGAAGTATTCCATTGGACAGGATCATGACGGAGGCCAGCCAGACGACGGGACTCGAAGGGGTGGTCATCTTGAGCTCATGTTCGCAATACATCTGCGAGGACTTATCTGTTTGAGCGCAAGCACTTGAGCTGTCAAAGCTTATGATTCCGATGGGCAAGTCCCAGAAGACCTTGCAATGTATCTGTCGGGGCCCGACCCGCACAGCGCCCATCTGAGTCATAAGCGATGCCAGTGTGTTATTGTCAGGCTTCTGGTTGATATCCAGTAGAAGCGGCAGTGCAAAACAACCTTGACTCGTCAAGGCCAGCAATCTGACTACCTACTCCTGGAAGCGAGGCACAAGCTAGAAGATGCTGCAAGTGATCGGACAGGGAGAGTACTTCGGTTGATGATATAAATCCTGCATTA